AAGTGTATGAAAACTACCATCGTGGGCTCCATCTAAATCCAGTTCTTGTCGGCCCTTGAAGAAAATCAGATTCTCAACCACAACACGGCGCAGCATGACTCTCTTTTAGCAACTGATCATGCCCAGCTTTTCTTTCCAGTGAACTGTTAAGAAGCAAAAAGAAAGGCAGCCATTTATGAAACATGCAATCAATGTTTTTGGAACAAAGTAATGGCCTATCGATGATTTAAACTGCCCACTCAGTTACATGTTGTATGTAGTGAATTTGACCAATTTTTCTTTTTAATGTGAAATAACTGTAGCCTGTGCCAAGCCACCGCCCCCCTCAGGAAAAAAAAGGGTGGGGTTTTCCCCACTTTTTGCTGAGGGGAAAGGGTGGCTGTACACACATGTAATTCCTTGGAATTCTTGGGGGAGGAAAATAAGGAATAAGCCATTCTTGGAATTACCAATGCACCAGCGTTATCAAATCATACGATAGCCAAATCTAAAAGTTGCTTATCATTCATTCAAAATATTTTCAGCTTAAAAACATGTTTACCTAAATGATCTATGTTAAATTCACACCCTCATAACATCTGCCTTTTCCTTGGCAGTTTCAGGATATAAAGAGAAATTTATTGTAACCTTCAAATAGAAGTTTCCATCAGTCAAGTGGTATTTTTGCTATTCTTGCTGTGTTATTGGGCCATAGCTTGGCTGTCTTTCTTGTATAATGAGTGAAATTCTCCAGCTCTGCCAAGACAGCTGAGCTACCAAGCCCTCTGCACACTGTCCCCTTTTTGGTCAATTATGCATTAGTCACTTCCAGCTGCACCCACCCAACCCCCCTCCCCTCCCCCCCTACGGGAAACTGTAGGGCATTTGGGTGCCTAGTCAACCCTAGGGAAGAGGCATTACCAAATTTTGTGCATCATAGAGGTCAGGCATTTGCCAACCATGGGGCCACCACCAGGAATAAACGCACGTGGTTTTTGACTCCAAAGCCAAACATAGCTAAACATGGCGGGAATTTACAAGAAAAGACAAAATGACTGGCTTGTTTGTCAAGCACTAAAAAAACTTGTCGAGGTTTTGATTGGTATATTTCCTCGTTTTTATGCATTTTTTCATTGCTAATACCGCCAAAACTGTTCTAGCAAGATCAGGAGCAATCAGTGTAAGTTGATGTATGGTTTGGTCATTGAATTAATCTTGTATTGATCAAGGATTTGAATAAAATTTAGTTGCAATAATATTCAGAACAGCTGACTTAACAGCAGACTATTTAATGACAATTTATATTAAGCAATGAGCTATTTGAAGCAAGATAAATAACAATAAAGAGATGATAATCACGTAGCGGCGTTGTTGTTGACATCATTACTAACATTAGTTAGTGCTATAACAGACAATTCAAAGATGGAGATGAGGCAGTCATACAGAAATGATTCAAGGGCCTCGATTCGAGAGAAATAATTTTTTACAACATTGCCAGAGATGAAAAACGTGATGAGAACATGGTGCGTCATTTCAATCATCACCAAAAATAAACCGCATGCTCATAACAAGGCTCATTTCCATACCATGAAAGTTTATAACACTCACGATCAAAGTTTTGCTAATTTTAAAGATTCTTCTTTTTTTTTTTCGACCACTGAAGTGTTTGCTTGTTCAAAAGTAATCAACGCTTATTTGTGGACCGACCCGTTCTGGAAAAGCCCTACATTTAATCTTTCCTAAGGTTTCTTCGCAAAACATGTGGTCACACAATGATTCTTATTCCCAAATAATTTCCAATATAATAAAAACTGAGAAACACTATTAGCGTATTTATTACCCACTTTGGGACCAATCAACATTCCTAAATCGCACATTTTTTCTCTAAATTGTATCTGTTCCAAATGTATTCAGTCAAATTGAATCTTTCAACAACATCAATTTTTGACAGAAGGAATTTCTGTTTCAGAAACAAAATGAGATTCAAAGTTTTTGTTTCGGCTTTTTAACAAAATCTTTATAAATACAGCAAATAATTTCAAAATGGATGTAATAAAGTGGTAAATGAATTCAATATAATAAAAATACTTGAGAAACACTGTTAGCGTATTTTTGAAATCACGAACAAAACTCTTCAATGCAATTCCACAAAACTCTTGTGCAATGCCACAGAAATCACTGCTACAAGGTCACTGAATGCACAGCTTTTCTTTGTGTGTCATGCAACATACAAAGCCTTTCATAAAAAAATCCACCTACTGAGATTACTACCGGTACATTCCATACCAAGGGCATACATGCGATATTCATGACCATTTCACTGACATTCATCATCACTCACATGAAATCGAGGCTATGGTTCAAATTCCCCACCCCTTACACATGGGGATCAAATTCCCCATCCCCTGGAAGACTCTGATAATCAAATTCCCTCCTCCCCAGGATGGCAAATGTGTCATGCCCGGGGGGGGGGGGATGTTGAAGCTTCGATTTGACCGATACTTAAATATAAAGAAATAATAACACCGCTTGCAGATTATGAGTCTCGCTGCTTACGCAAGGGAAATTATCAAGTTATTCAGAAACGGAACACTATCTTTGAATGAATAGTGAAAGGCTTATACCTAATCAAGATCAATCGACAAAATATTTCATATTTGATAGGGCATTATCGACTGATCGATTGGGTTTTCGATGATCGATCTCGATCGATTTGTTACTTTATGAAGTACGTCATTCCTCTCCTTATTCGGAGAAACTGAATGATGTATTTACTCCCAAGTCACCAACAATATACAATTCTCTGCAGATTAGACTGATTTCCCTCTTTTTGGGCAACCAGCACGGCTCTGCAAAGCAAATCCCTGTCTCGTTCGTGTATTATAATAACATGGCAGTAGCACTCACCTAACTATTACCTTGAAAAGGGAAAGTTCCACCGATATAGCTCAAGGACCTCAAACAGATCAATTGAAACGTTCTACGGCTTAGCTTGCCGGCCTTCGATCCGCGTTAACACGAAAGGGCAAACACCTTAGCAGCCACGCTTTTAGTTCAGGTGTCTCATCACGCAACGTTCTCTTTTGGAAACGAACATTGCGTGACCAGAAAAATCCATCATCTGGAATTACAAAGAGGGACTTTTTTTTCATCTTAAAATATTCAAACGGGATACCAGATATTTAATTACCTAGTCGTTCGCGGGTTTGAAGATAAAAGGTGGAAGGGGGAAGATGCCCTGTCTTCTCGGCTTTTTATTCGCCCTATCCCCTATCAGATAAAACAGATTTTAACCAACAAGTAAAAACAATTAATTTCAATACAATGGGATAAAAATAGTACCATCTAATAAAGGGTGATTTGGAATCACTCAAATAGCAAAAAGGTAAAATATACATAAAGAGGCAATTACATTATTTCCATAATATATTCTACATTGCTCACCGGTGAGGTTGGTCAAATGTTATCAAGATTTAGCTTTTTAAAGTCAAGTATGGTGACTGAGACCTACCAATCAAAGCATCCTTAATTCTGGGGGAATTATTTATTTTTTATTTCTGAACAATCTTTGTTTCATTTTATTTGTAACTGTTTTAGAATCTTTATCTGGGAGTAAAACCAAGTAAAAAATAATCATTAATTCAAATCAAATCAATATAAAATATTCGACCCAACCGAGCAATGTCACTGCCAGCATGGATTGCTGGACTATGACATGTTTGTGTCTAACTGAAAAAAGGTTAGGGCAAAGATGGCCAAGTCAAACGACAAAGTTTCCTTAAGACCATCCGGGGGGGGGCACTTGGGTATTTTTTGGGTGGGTATGTGCCGCCCGGGACTCCAAATTGGCACCCCGTTCTAGAAAAAATTTCCCCTAAAATTGATACCCCGTTCTAAAAATGGGCCAATTTTTTATACCTCGTTCTAGTATTCCCCCTAAAACTGATACCCCGTTCTAGAAATGGGCCAATTTTTTATACTCCGTTCTAGGGTGCAACAAGAGTACAACAGTTTGATTGTTAACGCATTGAACCGTATTTTTAAAAGCAATCTGTCCTTGAATACTTTCAAATGGCTGCTTACAAAAGTGGAGCTTTCGTGCGTTCGAAATTTTATACCCCGTTCTAGAAAACGCCTCTGAAATGGATACGGGATAATGGATAATGGGCGGCACATACCCGTATAGGTAATGTATGGGAGTACCCCCCCCGGAAGACCATTGACCCCACCCAAAGGGAGAGAAAATCATTGTTTTGTGACTGACAGCAGATTAGTTTCAGGGGGAAACAAAAACCCGGCAAAACAATCAGGCTAACACAAAGCAAAGGGGGGGGGGGGGGGGGGAGCTCTGGCTAGTACCCCTTACTTTTGTTTCACCTCCACACATATTACATACGTAGATGATAAGCAAGGGAGTCTCTTAGTGTTAAAAATAGTAAAAACCTTTAAAAGCAAGTGCTAGAAAATCAAGCACAATCAAACATTTCAGACCACCATGAAAAAAAAAATTCAAATCATCTTTCTCTTCCCACCAGGCTGAATGTCAAATTAAATGCAAAAATGTTTTTAGAAAAACGCACGTCAGGAAAGTAACAAAAAAAACAAAAAAAATAGTCGAAAATAGTTTCTTTTTTTAAATTGAAATGGATTGTTTTAATTGAAATGAGATGTTTATAATTCAAATAATTTTCTTTGATTACATGATTTTTTTTCTAATCAAAACTAAGTTTTTTGTTAAACAAAAGGGATTGTAAATAGTGTTTTGACGAAATGTTTTTTTTTAGGTAAATTGATTGTAAATAGGAAAAGCATTGTTATCAATAAAATATGTTCCATATTATTAAATTAGACAAGGATGTTTTATTTGTGCATGTATAATTTTTCTACTGAACTATTATATTTGCCTTACAGTCATTGCACAGGAGGGTTAACATTAGCTTCTATAGAATACTTTAAACGTGACCCACAGGACTACACGCAACTATACTGTCTCAGTGATTTTGCTAGCTCTGAGTCCTGTGTCATTGATGCATAAAAATCCACAAAGACGCAGTAATATTCATGAGATGCGTCCCATAGGATGCAAAGAATGATTGATTTGAAGATTTTTGGTAGAATATCCTGTTCATGTGATTTCTTTGGCTGCTGTTTAAAGATGCACATTTATTTCAGTCTTTTTTGTGCTTTAAATATATAGAAAGACTATATTTAATTTCAGTAAACTGTAATAAAGAGTTTTGTAATCTGTCTCCCGATTAACTGTTTGGTTACATAAAGGCCCAAGCATTTTCAATATTTAGGACTCCTCATGTTTTTGAACTGGACTCATTGATTATGGACTGGGACTCATGATTTTTCATAAGATGAGCCCACCATAACTATTTGCAACAAAATCACTGCTGTCTTCTACAAAATGAACATAATTTCGTCCTTCAAATTTTTCACAAACGTCACGCATGCTGACATGAACTGCAGTTGTCATTTTGTCAGTAAAAAGTCAGAGAAATTCATTTACTCCATTTACACTTCACCTGTGACATCTGCCTTTCCTTAGATCACGTATATATTTGCATTAAAAGTCTAATTTATCTTGTAAAACTGACTTTGAAAATGCAACTTTGACTTAACATTGATAAATGCCACTAAGAGAATTGTCAAACATACATTATAAATATCAGAGGGCTGGCAAGAAATATCACAATAAAACAAGCTAGGCATAGACAACCAAATTCAGTTTCAGTGTTTGTAAACAATCTACTGAACACTGTTTTGTGGTATTTAGCTTGTTTATTACCCTGAAATAGCTTCAAGTTCTCTAAGTTACACAGTTCATACCACAATGTAAACAGCACTCAGGTGCTAAGGATCTCAACTCAATTATTTACAAAGTTCCAGCCACACAGGAGATACTCTAACAGGTTAAAGATTAATGTATCCTATTATAATATTTTATTTTATTAGTCATGTATTTTGTATTGTGAGTTTTCCTCAATTAAACATTCTTCTTGTCAGAGGCACTGTATGGCGGTGGTGCATACGGTGGAGGAGGCTGTGGAAATAACCAACAAAAAAATAAATTTCCATAAGTCAAATAATAACTGTTTACTAAACTACAGTATTTTCTATAAGAAAGTTTGATAAGAATTCTCATGCCAGGAATGACAAAAATACTTTAGAATATCCTAAGAACATGGCTCACATTATGAAAAAAGTATGCAGGGATGAAAGAATATGTTTTGGAAGAAAAAATCATGATCATGTATAGTACTTAACAAGTTATGTATACTATTCTATGAGAAAGAATGTTGGTCAACTAATTATAATTTTATCAATTTCAATAATACTGGCTAAAATGAAAGTTAGTTGTGAGTCAATCAAATACATACAACAAAGTGAAAATTTGTCGGCCATTTGAAATTTTCTTACAAAAAAACCTGCTGACTTAGCAGCCTGGCTGTGTGCATCTTGGGCCCGTGATCTGGCTGAGTGGGGGGTGGGGAGAGGATGATGCTCTTTTTTCAAAGAAAATTTGTCAATTGCTTACTAAAACAGATATTCAGAATTGGTAGAAAACTAGAGGAAATTGCTCAGAATGCAAAAAAAGGTTGCTCGAAATACGAAAAGTTGCAGAAGAGTTGCCGAGCAACTTGTGGAAAGCCCCAGGAAAGGGCATCATCTGTCAAAACTTAATCATACCTGGGGGGATGGTACATAGACATTTTGCCCTGTGCTATAAGCTTCTCTTGCCTTTGCATCTATATAAAGGGAGACACAACACACAACATTGTCAAAGAAAAATATGGATGTCATTACACCACTACGAGAGCACTGGTTGTAGACGCAAAAAACCACAACCTTTCATCTGGAACTACTGTTACATGTCAAACTCATGTATGATAACCAACTTCACGATAAACATGGTTTCTGAATGAAATACAAAATGACAGAAATAAAATGAAGAACTTTCACTAACACTTAAAAATGACGAAATACAGCAAATGATAACAAACTTACAAACACGTGTTTAGACGTCCGGTGAGTACAATGAAAACCAATTAATAAATTTAAAACAAATACAACCTAAAACCTAAGTACAAACATAGCAAACACATTTGTACATGCTAACCACTCCGAGGTCGCACAGCACCAGGCTGTCAAGGACAGCCATCCCCTTGTCAGGTGGTATAAATGCACAAAGGGGTACCTCAGGCGCATGCGTAAACGTAGAATAGAAATACTTGTTGAAGGCTTCTCCATCTCCACTCCAAAGGAGCTCAGTCGCCCTCTGTACGGAACATTAGCTGGTATAGAATTTGATTTGGTTTTATGGCAGAAGTAACTCCCGAAGTGATTTGGATTGACTTTAAGCTTATGAGTTACTGCCCTTGAAAAATCAAGTCAAGAAAAAGGTGCACCTTAAATTAACTTTTGTTTTTTCTTACATTCCGGTATCTGAAATCCGAGATCACAAATAGAGATTGCTATTGTTTTTGTTGTTGTTGCCACAAACTTACCTCCATAAGCATAGCTTGAGTATCCCTCAGAAGGGGGTGGGGCAGATGGAGCAGCTTGACCAGGGTATGGTGGGGGCGTTTCCTGTTAAACAGCAAGAAACAACAAATATTCATTCTAAAATGTCCAAATTTTGACAGATTCTTCAATGTTTACCCTTACCTGCTCAAGCCCTAGGATTTCAAGGTAACGATTGTTTCCGGTACCGTGTCATTACAGTGATCTTAAAAAATAACGGAAACGAAAAATAGTTTCCCAGTGACATATCCTGATATATTCAGACTGCGGGATCAAAATACACAAATATAGTATTTTTCCACTCAGATTTTTAACAAGTAGAGCATTATTCTTTATGACTCAGCTTGTAAAAAAAAATTGCATTTTTCAATCGTCCACCATCTTGAATTGTTCCCAAAGTGCATTGCACAGCTGTTACTGATGACTCATGCAAAAAAGATGTTTTACAGTTAACAGCAGCGCGATTGTTACGGCTTCCAGCACCAAGAAAAACAATGTATGACTCCAGAAGTTTAAAACAATAATTAGGATGTAGTCTTTTAGTGACAATTTTGAACAGTGTTCAAACTGATTATGAGGCCTGAATCTCTTTATGAAAAGACAAGATCTGTAGTGAACATTTCAAATGAGTATACTTCTTTACTTGGATCGAAGAGGAGTCTGGAGTTTTTGACACTTTAGTGCACACACATTTAACACTTAAATTAACATTCTTCTGACATTTTAATAGACATTGAAGCTTTTTTGTAAATAAAAGTGCACACTGATGTTCTTTAATTTTAAAGCATGTTTAACAACATGTTTCAAGAAAAATGTTTCTGAACATTTAAAGAAATAAAAGTGGGTTCCCATGAATTTTCACAGAACTGAAAAATTGTACAGATAGTTTCCCACGATCTCTGGGCAAGGAAACGAAAAATTGTTATCCATGGGATTTGATATCCTAGGGCTTTCTGCTGGTAGTTTTTTTTAAAAACAGAATTAAAGTTATCAAATGCCAATTTTTAACTGTGCAATGGATTGCTTGAAATTATTTGTTATTTTAAAACTTACATTTGGCTGGTATGGTGGAGGCTGGCCCACGACACCAACTGCAACAAACAATGACAAAATAATGATAATTTAATTTTATATTTCCGGGTTCGTTTCCTCATACAACCAACATTCTAGGTAGCTAGGGAATGGTGATAGCAATGAAACTAAGGTCAAAATAGCAACAGGTTTAAGTACCAAAACAACAACAATAAATGTGGATCACACTTCTTTGCTGTCACTGCATGACTATGTTGTGGTTCAATTTTCTCTTTGTTTTAAATTTTATTTTCCTTTGTTTTTGGGTATAGTAATATATGATAATGAGTTTGAAACAAAGGAAAATAAAATTTGAACCAAGGATAAAACTGAACCACAACCACCACAACATGAAATCTCCTAATTTTTATGTTCATGTAACATTAAATGAAGGCATGCACTACCTGGGGGTGGATAGCCAGGATAGCCAGGATAGCCAGGATAGCCTGCAGGGGGTGGGGGTGGGTAAGCAGCATAATATCCTGCTGGCTGGGGTTGATATGCATTATGGTATGTGTAGGCATTTCCATTTGACAGCAAAGGTTGACCTGGTACTGGTGGAGGAGGCTGAGAACCTGGCCTGTGGGCTAAAAAGAAAAAAACAACACAAAACAAAGTAAACTTATGTATGCTTGGTATGCATGTAGTTTTAACTTCTTTTGGTGTTATTTTTTCTTGATTATCAAGAAAAAATAACACCGAAAGAAGTTAAAACTACATGCATACCAAGCATACATAAGTTTACTTAATTTTTCAAAATCAGATAAAATAAAAAGAACAAAATTTTGTAATAATAATAATAAATTAATAATTAATTAATTAATAATAATTTGTTCTTTTTAATGAATTATTTATTGCTGGTTCCAAACAATGGAAATTCAAACTGGAATAGAAAGGTGGAGATCCAAGGACAAGAAAAGCTTGTACGTCTTACAACAGTTGACAGCTGTGCAGGACTACACATACCATTTGCTACAGCATGTTTAAAGTGTTGAGCAAATTCTATGGCTCCACCACTGTTAAAAGTTACTTTGAATGATCCTCTTCCTTGCCAGCCACCTGGAGGGATAAAACAAGTATTCACTGCTAAGATAAAAAATACAGCAACTGGAGATACTAGGCAACCCAAACCACCTACTTAACCCTGATTTGCATTTTTAAACACTTCAAAACCATTTTACTAATAAAGTTAAAAGCTGTGGAAAAAACTATGCTTTTTTATTTATAAAACTTGGTGTGTGTCAAGTTTTTGTTGTGGTAGGCAAAACATGTAAGATTGCCATAACTATATGTATTTTGCTTTTCTTCTTGACTGTATTGTTTTTCACTGGACTGGACAATAGTTAAGAAATAAAATATTGAAAGATGCTATGCTTGATGAATGGAAAGATTTTGTCAGAATGGCTTGGGATGATTCCCTGCCAGTAAGTAAGTAAGTTTCCCCACTAGATGATCATCACTGATAGAGAGAAGATTTGGGCTTGAGGCACCAAAAAGTATCATATTTTCCCTAAACATCACATACATGTATATAGCAATGAAATCATAATCAATGTCAAACTAATCATAGCTCTACTCATAACAAATTAAGATGGAATCCACAAGGACATTGAGTAACTTTGATTTTCAGTGGACAAAAATCTTGTACCAGAATAATATTTAATATCTAAAGCATATTGCATTCTTCCTTGCATTTTTTGAAGACTAAAGATGTAATAAATCATCTGTAGTAACACCAAAAAAATTTCTTATGGGAGCCCGAGAAAGTGAATGTCAAATTTCACAAAATTACACCTTACACACTAAATTTTCAGAATTTTACCTGCATAATCACAATTTTCTTTGGTGTTACTACAGATGATTAATTACATCTTTAGCCCTTGAAAAATGTAAAAAAGAATGCACTATTCTTTAAATTATTCTAAACATACCATCTGGCTCAGAAATTACATCCCCTTTGACATAATTTGCACCAAACATAGGTTGTTTGACCTGGAAAAAAAGGTTGTATTATGTCTTAAATCCACTTGTGATGCCATTTGAATGAGGCTGCTTACAGCTTTACTTAAAAAGAATTGCTTTGAATTACTGGCAGCTGGTTAATGACTAAAAATCATACAATATTAGTAAATAAGCAACATGGATGAAGTCATGACTTGGGGATTTTCAGTTCATCAAAATAGGGTTAAGGTACATTTGTTACTGACTCAGAAATAATTCAAAGAAAAGTCATGGATAAATAAATTTATTTATCACAATTAATATCACAAGCATGGCGATTTCGACATTGCTGATCCGAACAGTACACAAGACCCATGCTTGTGACATGTTGATCACATCATTTCTCCAAAGTCATGGAATTTGAAACTCATCTTGATATGATTTTATCGATTGATAGTGGAGATAAAAAACAAACACGAATCAAAACCTTCTGAGTTCAATACCTTGGTAGGTACAGTCTGAATTCTTCTTTTGCTATGTTTTTACTCACAAAATGTTTAACAGAGGGTAGTAAAAGATAAAGAATGCAGAGAAAAGAATAAATAAAAACGTAAATAAAATATCTTTGTATGTAGACGTACAAGAAAAATCTTACCTCTACATTTCTAATGCTATGAAAATTCATTGAGAAAGAACCATAGTTGGATCCGGCAGTTGGTGCAAATATAACCTGACATGGAAAAAGATGTCATAAGATTTGTTGGTAGAGAAACAATTTGATGAAACAATGCAAAAAAGACGGTGCTGTGAGACAGATTGAACACAATAATAACAGTTTTTACCAGTTTAATGGTCACAGCCAACCTTGGGTGGCAACTTGAAATTCTGAGGGCGAGAGGGGAGGCAGGGGGTTCTTTGGACTAGAAATCTGAAGAGAAGAATACGACTTCCAAAAGTTTAGGGTTGTGGGTCCATTCACTTGTCTTTTTTTTTTAAGAAAATTTTTAAGCAATGGGGAGGGTTGAAAGCAAAGATGCAATCCAAGATATGGATAGATAATTCTCCACTTTAGAAAGCTTTTTGTTTTTTCAAACAAAATTGGTACATTTGTAATACTTCAACCTTAATTTGAAAAATCAATAAAAATAAAAAATTATCACAAAAGGTTTAAATGATGTTTTAATAAAGTAACAATGCCTATCTTGATTGTTTATTAATAACGGTAATCGGTCAAGCTTGCTTTAGCAGAGCGGGACTCTAAAAATGCAGCCGTTTTTTTTTTCGTTGGTCTACCCCAAGTGGTCAGGCATGCGGATGCAGTTTGTGCAACGATGTAATTTTCCCTGATTCGAGGCCCTTGATTTTCGTGTAATTATGCACGCAAATTAAAAAATACCTCAATAAGAAAATATTATAGTGGGGAAATCCAGTTTTGTGGTGTATTGAGGCATAATGTTTCTCAGAATATTGTTGCAATCACTGGAACTCTACGGTTAAATAGATTCACTTTGTTGTATGTATTTGATTGATAGATTTTCGTAGTTGTTAAGATGTGACGTCGCATTGCACAGAAGAGCTCTGGGTCAAGATAGAGAAGTAGTCAAGTTTGAGCGATTATGATATGTTTTGACCTTTTGAGTTGGCCATCTTCTACTGTTTTGCTAAAGATTTAAGTTACATGTAACATTCCAGAAATACTTTAGTGAAAAGAGTTCCCCCCCTAGAAAATTCCTCAGATGGTCTTTTGTGCTGAGAATAAAAATAGTGAGAAATAGTTTGAATAAAGCAATTTAAAAATCATCCATATGTTTTTTGTCCTTTTGAAATGGACCATCTTGTCCGGAAATGTTTTGAGCAAAATTAGTTTTTGTTACATTAAACATTTCAGGTGGTAATCTCTTTAGCAAAAATTATTAATCTGGCAGTTCCCCCTAAAAATCAAAATTTGCTGCAGAGGTTTCTAACGGGGCGTAAACAAACCAACTATGGTCTTTTGTGACTTTGTAGAATAAAAATAGTGAGAAATAGTTTGAATAAAGCAATTTAAAAAATCATCCAGCTCCTATGCAGGCACTTTTAGGGGAGCTCATATTAATTTTCATCCCTCCCCACAAATGCCTGCTCAACTGAGAACAACATTCCTTTCCCTTTGTTTGATTCGCGCGGTAAGTGACCAATCAACAGTTTTAAAATAAAGTGTTGACAGGCTAAACACGACTCATAAACTCATGGCAGCATAAAATCATGACCCTAGAGTTACCTTCTTCCTTCTTTTCTTTCCTTCACTAAGGTTATGCAGTGCACAGAGTATTCTAAAATCTGACTAAATCTGACTTTTGCTGCTGTAAGTCTAACATTTATTAGAGGTCATAAAGCGTTCCCAGTGTTTCACACTGATCAAGTAATTATCAGGTTACCCTGCAATCACCGTGAACCTTCCAGAATTTGGAAGGTACAAGGTGATTGGCTAAGCTTGGGAAAGGAATGTTGTTCTTGATTACGCAGGTATTTGTGGGGACGGACGAAATATGAGCTCCCCCATAAATGCCTGCGTAGAAGGCTAAAATCATTAGCCTGAATTTCATCCGATTGCTTTGAGTCGTTTTCTCCTCTCAGCAACGTCTGTATCAACCAGCTATTAATGCCGTCCAGTGACGTCACTACTAGCTGAAAACCAGGTAGTGATTTTGATTGGTTGATTGTCTAATGATTTGTATAATTATGTATAATTAGGAGAAATTTTAGCGGGATTGTCACTTGATATTCAGCGGATCGCATCGGTGGCATACTTGCATGGAGTTCAAACATTTTTTGCTTCTGTTATGCGGCAGGGCCTGAGAACTGCTAACAAACAGCCCAGATCGAGGTCAAGATTTCATGTCAGAAATAGGCCTTGTGCAGGCAGCAATGAAGGAAGTAGACAAAATAAGTAGAAGTAATGCTTAATTTTATTGTTTCTACCGAAACTGTTATTTTTTCAGATCTGACTCATTGACTCATGACTCATTTGACTCATTAATACTTTACACTCAGTATGGGAAGTTTCTGGGACCAATGTTATGTTGTTGTTCAATGTTCTTGCTATTTTCACCGTCAATTGTAATGATTCTGTCAGCTTTTCTTTCTTGTTTCCTTGTTTTCTTTTTTCTTCATTAAGGATTAAATAGCTTTTCAATTAAAGGAAATTGTTGTGTTTTTGAACTAACTGTTCTGTTTGTGTATTTATTTCATTCCGGGGTGTTTGTGACTGAGTCTGAATTACAACCGGTTGAGAGTACTACATGCAGTTAATAGTTTGAACGTTAAACATGAATTATGATCGAAAAGAGTAAAGCAATTCTGTCAGCTGTTCTGTATCATGCAGACATTTCCAAACGATATTTCATGGTTTGCCACTTGAAAATCGTGTTGTATTTTTTGCATGAATTAAAGCAAAGGAGTAGTGATGTCACTGGACAGCATTAACGGCTGGTTGATTCAGACGTTACCAAGGGAGACATAATGACCTGAAGTAATCGGATGAAATACAGGCAATAAAATCATATGAGTGATTTTAAAATCAGACGAACACCAGCTCGAGGTTCAACTTGAAATCACAAATATGATTTCAGACCAAAATTGCATGACACGAAGTTCAGTTACCACTTTATTACAGCCATTTTGAAATCACAGAATTCAGTCAGTACCAAAATTTATTTGACCAAGTATCCGGTTCATTGAAAAAAGAGATTAGTGAAAACAAAAAGGTTTTTACATCTCATTTTGTACCTGAAACAGAAATAATGCAACATATAGCAAAAATGGTGGTATTCAAAACAAAAATGATGTGATTTAGAACATGAATGATGCGATTCACATGTAGAACAGACATGATTTAGAGCAAAAAATAGTGTGATTCGTGAATAAATCACACTGCTGAGAGCCAATCAGATTGCAGGGATCACCATAGCCTGCAGTGCAGGCGTTTTCTTTTAGCGCCCAATTTGCTCGTGAAAGCGCCATGTTGAAACTTCCCGATGAGAGGAGGAGATGGGGCGAGTCAAAGGGAGCAGGGAGGGAGAAGAGAAAACGCCTGCCCGAAAACACTGTGAAAATGAGAAACACCCCCTAATTAGACGCACGTGACCGCATTGTCTTAGAAAAACAAGCTGGAGTTTATCATTGTTTTTATCTTGACTGAGTCACAATGCAATTCTCCACAGCTGATGAAGCTTCAGTTTAAGCTGCAATTCATTCTTCTAAATTCATCTCTGTAAATCGCTATCCGTGAGAGTTTAACATCCTGCAAACAATTTTAAAAACTAACGAGCTGGGCCCAGCGTGATACAACATTGCAGGAAAACATCACATTCTCGGACTAGAAAGAAAATCGCTTAGTTATTCAGATCCTGAGGCACTTTGGACAAAAATAAAGAACCCAACAGCCTTATTTAGTGACAAAAAGAGCTTTACGCTTCAAAAGAGATCAAAGAAAACACTCTTGCATCAGAGGGCAAATCATGAAGACCAGAAATTCAAAAACCAGACAATCAATAAGCGTGTCATGACCTCTCAGAGCGAAACAAGCGTCTAAAATCACATTTGCTTAGTCAAAACATAGAACCCTCTAGAGCATAATCTACTCGCCAGAAAAAAAACGTATTGGAACAAGCAGCATGTTGGCATGAGGTAAAAGTGGTGTAGGTTTTAGTACTGCGAGCAAATCTTGTTCTGATGACCAGTGTAGAAATCACTTTGACTTTCTCATTGCGTAATACATGCGACATTCCCAGCCGCTCCAATTCCAAATGACTGACGGAAACGGAATAAACAATATAGACTTACAGTTAATTGACAGGCATCAATCCACTTCCCTATGCCGCACCAATCAGGAGCTCCGTTTGCCAGCATACGGAATTTCCCAAAAGAACAATGATACCCGGCAGGCGTAGTTTTTTCTCCCCTCCCTCTCCCCCCTTTCCTTCTTTCGCCCTCGCACCTACCGTAAGGGTTACTATTTCTACTCTCCCCAATCTTCCACTGTCATAAAATCAAAGATGGCGGCTACAACAATATCACGAACACGAACAAGGTTTCGCCCACCCAAAATACGCCTGCACTGCAGGCTAGGATCACCAGTGATTTCAAAATGGATATAATAAAAAAATTAATTATCATTCACCCATAAATGGCTTGAGTTCATAAAGTTTGTAAGATGTTTGCTGATATCAATATGATTAATGTCAATCACAGAGAAATTGATGGTAAAAGGGATGCATTGTACTGCTGCTCAGCTGTTTATGCAGTGCAAAACTGGATGGCTCGCTTTGCTTGCACACTCCAAATTGAGAGCTTGCTGACAGGCTAGCAAATGAGAGCGCAAATTACACACATTATGTGATGACAAAATAGCTGAAGTAGTGCCTCAGAAACAAAGTAAGAATAGACAAAAGCAGACAAACAAACAAACACAAGGGGTGACAACTGCATTATGAGGTATATATGCTAGAATATACAGACACCACTTCATACATTGCTGAGGACGAGGACAATGTAATTCTTCGTATCATACCACAGCAGGATTAGCTCAGATCAGTCAGTACAGCGCTTGACTGCAGAGCGGGAGGTCGCGGGAGCCGAACACTCAGCGTCTTAAAAATGACTGAGTAATGAAGGTACTTCTTTGCCCTGCAAATGATTGGACCTTCGCGTGGCTCGGATGAACACGGAAACTGGCGGTCCCGTCTCCAGTAGGAGACGTAAAAATAGCGTCCCCAATTAGTACTTTCGTGCTAAATACATTGGCACCTAAATAAAGTCCTTTTTTTTTCATACCGTTTTTCATTACACTCGGCCTCATCGATTATGATTATTATGTGTCATGCCATACACAACTTTAAAACGTGTACAAAATCTTCGATGGGCTTGAAACTAAAATTCTAAAAATGGATACCTTTTGAGTAGTTATGAAAACATTGCCTTTCCTTGAACCTTTAAAGAAGCCTGGAATCTGGTCGCCTTCAAGTGAGAACTCGACGCCATCTTGATGATACACAACACTAAAACACAAGCGTAAGCGTGATGTTGAGTGTTTTACGCCACAAAAAGAACAAATATGTAGCCAGGATCATAACTAGTTTACTTACTAGTCACCATGGAGGGTAAGTCTTCCATTATTACAAAGAACTTTGTTCATAGACATGGTTAACACTTTTTCGTTCACAGCTTCGGGACTGCTGCTATATTTTGAGTTGACGTCATTAACTTCCACAGCTTGGTAACCGAGCAGGTTGAGTCGGCAAATTTTTTCCTGCTCGTGTCAATCCAGGCCGGCTTACTCCTGTTTAGACCTGCATAAATACATAAAAACATTGGCTGTGAACGCCAAAAGAAACACCTCTTCCAAATGTAAAATGTACCCGCAAAACGTCGCATTTTGGGCTAAGGACTTTGATAAGACGCCCGCGCGCCCTTCATAGCTGATCAGCGGATGCCAACAAAAGTAATGGCAGCTGGAACCATCTCGTAAGACTCTGGGAACGAGGTTGGATGTTGTGCAACAAGACAACCACATGCCGGTAATGCCGGTATGCCGTAAGATGTCGTAGATTTTACTCTAGCCAGCCGATCTAGCAGTATTTCAAAATGACAGTGTTCTCCAAAACTGTTAGCTTTAATGATCTGGTTCCTCTGTTGTCAGCACTGGAACTACCAGACACGCTAAAAATGTTATTTTCATACCGAAACTTTGTCCATGCCCTGGCCGGCGCCGTGGTAAGTAAATCACGTTTCACACGTACGTACTACAGTGTCAGTAGTTTATTTGCAATCTGGCTTTTCTGTGGTTACCGTGATGTCATGAGCCTGTGGTAAATCAAGTAAAAATTTCAAACAAATTTAAAGCAGAAAAATAGGAGAAACTAAACTAGATCAAACACAAGAAACTATAGCTCTTCTGGGGATCGATCAGCTGACGACCACTGTGTACTTTTGACCAATGTAAGCTTATGACTCTCATGTCGGTCTCGACATCATGCTTTCATTGTGCTGGCACGTGTTTGTTATACCAAACAAATCTAGAGATGCCTTGTTCCCCTTTCGAATGGTTCAAAGCCTGGGGGGTGGTGATGGTGGTGGTGGTGGTGGGGGGAAGGGGGGGTACTTGGGTTAATTTTTGCTGGGTATGTGCCGTTGGCCTCTCAGAATCCCTTCCCCATTATAGTCTATTATGTGGCCATATTATAGACCCCATCTTAGTCACTTTTGGAAAAAAGTAATTTTTGCAATCTCAACTTTTTCACTTTCTGTTTATGCATGAACTGACACATTTGTCAAACTTAATTTTTATTTTTAAATCCCTACATACCTGAATTTTCTGACCCCCAAAATCCTGAAAATGTGTGACCCCAGTCCGGTAACTCTTATAAAAATGCAACCCCATAATAGTCAATCCATTTGTGAAAATGCGACACCATCCAGTGGCACATACCTATTAGCCTACTACTAGAAGATGTAGTAATGTGACAAGATGATCCCTGGATTGATATTCTGGTACAAGGAAAGCAGAATGAACCCCAAGTCCCCATTATATAACTTTGAAATACTGGTAGTACCCCATGTTAGCATGTCAGAGGGGTACAAGCAGATACTTTGCCACACAAAAAAGGACTTGAAAAGTTTGGGTTGTCTGTATGCATGTCTGTCTATATGCAAACCTGCATTGCAGGGAGATTCTGATCAGTAGTGTTTTCACTCTTGCCAATAGTATTAATAATCTTTAATATCGTAGGGAAGTGTGACAGCCATGACTGTGTTTTTTCCTTTGGATACTGCGAGAACAAGGCTACAAGGTTGTGGTTAAGTTATAAATGTGTACATTGCAAAATAGTTAACAATAAATATTATTATTCACTCATTACAAGTTTCCCTTTTAACAGAAATCAGTGTAACAATAATATTTTTTCATAATCTATCATCTTGAAATGGAATGCAAAGAGAGCACTTCCACAGCCATGATTTCTAGAGAATTTTTAAGTTCTATAATTAGGGACAGGTTAAATCATTCATTAGCATGCAAAACTGAACAAACCTTACATTCATTGCAGTACTACTCTGACTGGAAGGTTATTAGTCTATTAAAACAAAAATCAATAGCTCCGACCCTGATGATGATGATGATGATGATAATAATAATAAATATTCATGATAAATAATAAGTAATGGTAAAAGGACTGAGTGGAGTCCAATTCCGTCTGTAATCATCCGAGTGATTAACAAAATCGCAGGAATCCGATTTGTTTAATCACGAGTATGATTACAGACCAAATTGGTCGACACGAAGTTTTGTTACCAATTAATCATAACTTAAACAAAATTTGTGATATAATAGGCTATTTTTTAAATCAAAACACAAGAAATTCTAAATTTTGTTTTGCTGGCAGTGAAAAAAAAAAGCTATTTAAGCATTCGCATGATGGCGCATACTGTCCAATTACTTAGGGATGACACGTACTGTCCTATTAAACTGTCCAATTAAGGCTGAAATCAGGGCAGTTGATAGCCAATCAGATTTGACAATTTTGTTAAAGTTATGATTATAATAATAATAATGATAACAATACTATCATTATTATTACTTTGTCAGCCTTTGTGTAGCCACATCGTCCCCTAGACCTGGGAAAAACAGCTTGGGGAAGCTGTGTGTGGATACATGTTGGCTAATACATGTCTATTGAAAAGACATACTGTAAGAATACATCATGGTGTCTCAATCTTCAAGAAGGGAAGCCTTAAATATCAATTTTGTATTTTGAAGAATCGTAATGATATTGTATTCAATATAAAAGCAAACCTTGACGAACAAAACAAAATTCTTTTAATTTGTTCTTTTCTTTTAGTTGATGATAAAAGGAAAGCCAAGAATACAGCTTATGTGTTAAGGGATATATTCCAAGAGGAAGGACTGTATGTGAAGGACTTGTTAACTAGCTATGGCTACTTTATATATTATTATTTAATTTAACAGGCACCTGATTTCACCAAAATGGAAGAGGGAAATTTTTCTAGACTTCAATTTTTTTATTCTTTTTGGTAGAAAATCATGTTAAGAGAAAAATAACTTTATTATTGTGGTGGAAAGTACTGTGAAGTTAGACTCCCAAGCTCAGTGATTTTGTTACCTCTGAATCCTGCATCCCTGGCACCTGAAAATGCCCAAAGACGCAAAATACAGTAATTCATGGCATGCATCCTGTTGGACATGAAAGATTGATCAATCAGTCCGAACATGTGTATTTCTAGAAATATCCAGCCCATTTGTGTACTTTCTGTGGCAGTTATTATGGCTGTTGTTTAACGATGCATATTTCTTTTAGTGTTTGTTGTGCTTTAAAATTGAAGGACTATATTTTAATTTCAGTCTACTGTACTAAAGAGTTTTGGAGTCTGTCTTCAGATTAACTGTCTGGTTACCTAAAGGCCCAAGCATTTTTAATTTTGGACTCGTTTTTTTTTATACTGGGACTTGGTGGTTTTGGACGAGGACTCGTGATTTTTCACAAGATGAGTCACACAACACACCATAACTATGTCACAAAATCACAAACTGTGTTAATTTGATTCCCTGTTGTTTTGAGTCATTTTATTTAATTTCTAAGTTTATATCAGAAATTATTCTAAGTATAAGACATTGTTCATACATATAAGACATTGCTACTGTTTGTTATTTTTCAGGCAATCTCTATATCGTGGTCTGCTACCAGTACTGTGCAGCCTTTATTGTTCAAATTTCCTTTATTTTTACACCTTTAACGGCCTCAAGACTGTTTTTGTAGGAAAGGGTAAAACATCTTCATCATTACAGGATTTGTTATTTGGATATTTGGCAGGTATGGTGTTTTTTTTGTTGTTGTTTTTTAAAAATTAACTCCGGCAGAATTGTTTTGGAACATCAACATGGCTTCTGTTGTCATATAATTTTGTTTTAGGATATCACCAATATGGCAGATTTTGAGGTCATAAGAAAATGGTAAAAGAGTTGTAAACTAAATCAAACTGATCAGTAATTTGATTCTGACTGCAGTCATGTTTGTTTTCAGGCATTGTAAATGTTCTATTGACAACACCACTCTGGGTTGTGAATACTCGCTTAAAACTACAGGGAGCTTCCTTTAGGACTAAAGGTTTAGAAACTAGTGAAACAAAGAAATACAAAGGGATTATTGGTGAGTCTATCTTTTCATGCAAGAAAATAAATAGTTTTTGATTCATTAAGTAGTGAGTGGTTTGTCATATTACAGTGTACGGCACCACAGAATATTCCCTTTCCAAGCTAATTAAGGGTTAGGGTTAGGGGTTAGGGGTTATCTAAGCACCCTGTGTGCTTTGATATCTATTTACCTCACGTTTTAGTCATCAGTAACTGTTATTGGATTTGGCTGGGTATAAAAAGAATTATGCCAGTCGAGGAGCGTGTCATACCACCCTCTAAGATCTGCATAATTTTTCATATCACACGCAGCCCCATCCAGTACATTTGCTATTGATTTTCAATCTCTCAATGAAAAAGCAGCACAATTTGAATCTTTGGAGCAAATGTGAAAGTCTATACTTGTTTTTTTTTCATTTGGGGGATTTTGTGGCTATAGAAATATAACTGAAGTTGTTATTGTAATTGTCATTGTAATTATAATATTTACACTCCCATTGCCACAAAATACAGGAAACAACAAAAGCCAAAAATTAAAAAAAACATTTGTTCTGATTGCTTTGCAGATGGGTTGCAGCGAATTAGCCGTGAAGAGGGCCTGGTATCCCTTTGGAGTGGTACCGGCCCATCTCTTGTTCTTGCTGGTAATCCTGCTATTCAATTTATGGTTTATGAGGCAATCAAAAAATTTTTGATGGAGGATAACAAGAAGGTATGTGCCGTCATACCCCACCAAAAAAATGAATTAAATACAACTTGGTGACTAAATTTATTATCAGTGCTGTTTCTGTTACTCAGAATTCTGCCAATCTTTTCTGACCTTGGGCTTGATTGAAATTAATGTCTTTAAACGCTGTGAGACTGGTCAATAGCATATTAGCGTCGTCCATACATTTTAGAGCCCAATGATTCAACGAAGCATCCCAGCTAATATCTTGGACCGAGTCAATTATAACTGATACACCCGAAAATTTGGGATCATGAATTGAAAAACGAGTACTTCTTGAATTTGCAAGAAAAGAATGTACTCAAACCTCTGCATTCAAAAGGAAAGTATTTTTGCATCGCCGCATGGCGTAATGGCTCAGTTAATTCCAAACGTGCCCATCCCCCCCAGTATTTGTCGAGCACTTGTCAAGCTATGCGTTCCCGCGGTGGGGCATCGGTTCGCATCAAAGATCACCCGGGCGCAGGAAAGATGTCATATTCTCTGCCATCTATTAACAAGAAAAACTTGAAAACTTTCTGTTCGAATTCTCCGAAAAAAGCGCTCTTCTTTACCAAATCTTCTGCTGTGGTCGTGCTTATGATAAAAAGCCGCAATTTTGAGGTATTGCCTCTTGCTTGTAAGGTAGATATCAGTGAATTTCACGCCTCCCTTAAAACTCCGGTCCCTCGAGTCAAGGAAGTGATTTTGATACCTTACCTTATAATTGGTGTTTTTGTTTTTTTATGTGATTATGGTTTACAGTCTTTACGTGGAAGACAATATTTTGCACTGGGTGCAGTGGCCAAAACTGTTTCCACTGTGGTAACATATCCTCTTCAAGTGGCACAGTGTCGGCAGCGGGTAAGTTACTCCAGGCGCTTAACACTTGCTCAACACATGCCTAGAACGTGGTCTGTTACTTCGTGTAGTAGACACAGGGGAGAATACTTCATAGTAATAGGTGTCACCCTCTTAAAATAAAGGTTATTATTAACGTAAAACGAAAGAACCAGCGTATTTACTCCCCCCCCACTAGATTTGTTTTGTAAGTTTATTCCAGTATTACGTGACCAGGTGCATGAAAACCTCGCTGTGGAGAGAGATGGTCACTAGTGAAAGCTTTGTGGTCTTAGCCTGGTTACTCCCAAAGCAACGTCAAAGATCAGAGCTCTGAGTTCTCATCTTCAGCGGCTTCACCATTTGTAGACATATTAAATTCTGCAAGGAGAATACTGCAATGCTGATCGTACTACGTGAAAATTTACTCTGCATTTGTAGTTTATTTCCTCCAACACAGCTCCGTTAAATTCATTGCGTTGGTTAAAAAGTAAAATTAATGGTAACGCTCTTGTCCTCTTTCCTCAGTCAGGACAAAAAACACCCAGTGGCAAGGGAGACATTTTCTCTTTCATGGCGAGAATTGTCAAGTACGTATTCAAGCAATATAAAGCTTAGTTGCTGCAAAATACCATTGATAATCTAATCTGCAGATTTGTTTAAAAAAAATGAAAGTGTTAATCTGGTCGAGTTCACTTTCGTTGATCAGCTTGTGGAATCCGTCTGAAGGATTTTTGGACCGCAGTTTGTAGCTTGCTGCAGGCGAGCGCGGGAGTAGTATTTCCCTTCATTTTCCCCATTTACGATTTAAGTCGCTTCCCATCAGCTGAACGCGGCCGGGGCTCTGCTTTTGAAAGCCTGGAACAGGCTAGACAGTTCGGGTTGTGACAGACGGAGGGACGGGTGCTCGGGGTTGTTGGAGATAATATATATATATAACATGGAGTCCTAGGTATGATACTTCTGGAAGCTATAAAACGTATTTTAGATGCCGGTTATTCAGCCGCGTGAGGAGGTACTGTAGAGCGCTTGGCGCGAACACTCGTCTCTCACGCTTGACTGTCTCCGCCTCCGCGCTCAGCTTATGCCGGCTATTTAAGTTAGAAATTTCCCATCGGCTTTTTTTTCAGGGGTGGGATGGAAAGGGGTGGATTGCAAATATTTTAACGACAGGGTTATATAGGCTTTCATTGGCAATGAACGTAAAAGGCATTTTAGCATATCACACTTTTCGTCTTACCAAAGTATTAGCCCGAACAACAGGCGTTTCTATATCGTGGGGGTTCAGGCGGGTTTTTGGGTGCAAACGGTAAGCTGACCGCGAATTGCTTTATCTTATAATACAGATATTTGCGGTATATTGTTCTTCATCTCCCCGCTTGGCAAATATTTCAAAGGTTGTACTTTTTGATGATTTACGACGTAAAACCTGCACAAAATACTGAACCATGAGATTAAGGGCGCCTTTTCTATCTGTTTGATTTCGGCATTTTACGGCGAAGCAGCCAGACTTCAGTGTTACCGAGTCTTTGTTTGTGTGGTGTTAATACAACCGCTGTAATGAACAATACAAGAGGAGAAAAAACACCAGTGGTGCTTCGTGAATAGTTAGTTCATAAAATACGTCTTCCTTTAATCTGATAGCAGTCTTGCTATTTTAAATCATCGTCTCACTTTATGGAAGTAGTGCCTGCAAGTACAGATACAATTGAGCGACAGATGTTCCCACAGTTGACTTCACGCATGTAAATTTGTGTTTTAAAAACCTCATAAACCGTGTAACAAAGAGACCTCGTGATATTCTTGGGTGCAACCACATGACAAAGTATCTATGTTGCGTGATAGAACCAGAAAAATAAAATGTTTGCAAAGAGTTTGCTTGAGAAAAGAGGGGAGGGAAACGCTTTTGGCGCCGTGTAAACCAGCAATAGACTGGGTGTACATTGGACACAGCATTCGGTGTATTTATTCGTAGACCTTATAATATTACCCTGCGAGTAGAGGCCTTCATCGAGAAAGATCGAAGGGCCTCTTCTCGCAAGGTAAATAATATAGGGAGTAGCAATTAAACCAATTATTATACTGAGTGTAATACTTGGCAAAGGGCAGATATAATGTTGCTAATAGTTCAACTAGTGAAACTTATATCTCTCGAGCGGCACCATAAACGAACAAAAAGAATAAAAAAATAATGATAAATGCAAAAGCGGTTTTATGTAAAAACAATGATGAAGTTTTTTTCACTCTGTTAAAATAACATAATGGTTTTTATTCGTTATTCCGCAGGGATCAAGGTTTTATTGGACTTTATAAAGGCCTGGAGGCTAAGCTTCTTCAAACTGTGTTAACAGCCGCTTTAATGTTCGTCGCTTATGAAAAAATCGCTGCATTTATATTTAGGTTACTTCGGAAAAGTTCGAGATAGTCTATGAAATATTGTCGAAAGGAAGTGATTTCAGTAAAGCAGATTTCTGAAAACCTAATTAACATAGAATAATATACTATTAACAAACTTGGCCGGTTGCTTAAACAAATTACAACTGAGTTCGCGATTTAAGGCGATCTGTGCACCAGCAGATCTGTTCAAGAAGATTATTTTTTGGAGCCAGTTGTTTTTCTACACTACACCAGTTGCCCTCTTGATATTACGGAGCCGGAAGCGGACTTTTTGCATTCTTTGACAGTGGTTTTGCCCAAATTTTCGGGCAAATCGTCTCTGTAAGACTGAAAGACACTTGGCAATTGACAACTACAGAAAATAACATAACATACCATAATGCTCTTTGTTTGTCACCCCAATGGCAAGAGAATTAAAATGGCCCTAAGAGAAACTGAAGACAATGCTTATGCAAAATTTTGGGGTGACAAACAAAGCATTATGGTATGTTATGGTATTTTCTGTAGTGGTCAATAGCAATTAGTTCGCGTCAAGGCACATCGAAGGGAAAAGACTTTACTTCCGGCTGACGTGCTTCCCCTCATACACGACTTTGCGTGCGTTTCGCGTAAGCACCTTCAATGTGTACAGTAAACAACGTTCAGATATTGGTGTTGGCCAAATTGAAAACACTTGAAACACTGTTTTGTTAAACGACCGCTACACTTCGTTTGGCAACCGCCCATTGATTTTAAAACTTTAAAGCGAAAATAATCCAAACCAAATGGTTACAATACAGAGATATACAGAAATGTTTTTTTATTCTGTTTGATATTTCATGTTTTAGCAAGTCTGTGAAAGGGCATTGCTAGGCTTTTTAGTATTTTTTTTTCACCGTCATTTATCCATTTGGCATTTCCACATCTCCAATAATACACCTTGTTTGCCCCCAAAAACTTTGCATAACCTTTGTTTTTTATTTCTCCTCGTTACTACAGTCGTCCCAAGAGAAATTCAAGACAATTCTAATACAAGGTGTATCATGGGTGATGTGCAGATGGCGATATAGAGACATTTAAGCACGTCATTTATGTCTGTGATGAGATCCTAAGCTGTAATCATTTGAAACTTTCATGATACTCTTTGGTTTTAGAATTTTGCAAAATGAACTTTGGGGATTTATTTAAATTTCGGGTTTTAATATTTTGGCAATATTCCGTGTAGCAGTTTATTTAACAGTACTCATAAGGCGCCTGTAGAAAATGGACTGGAATCGAATGGGATTCAGTGAAGCACACTGCGCATACTCGTTTTTCATGTATTCCCCAAAAATCAATAAAGAATTATTTTACAAGAAAGCGTTTACCTCTCTTATCGTACATTTGCTGTTGTTTTACTTCTCGATGTAGATTTTAAGACGGTGCGCGCGCAGGACGCTCAAGTCTGCGTTGACTCTTTCCCAGTCCCATTAAGCCCTAAGGAAACTGATGATGGTCGTGAGGAATGCTGGGAAGGACGAAAGCGTGGTCGCCGTTCGACTGGGAACGAGTACGAGGCCATGGTGAGGAATGAAGAACATGGGTTTTTTTTGTTTGATACCATTTTTCACCTCTTTAATAGCATCCGCTAGTAACACGTTTTTATTCGTTTACAAACGCAGTAATGATACGTTTAAATTCACAAATTACAGATTTGTGCGTTCTGCGCATGATCATGGAAAAACGATTGCTCAACTGGTTTTTCAATGGAGTGTCTAGGATATTACGTCAAGTTGTTTTCTTTTGTTTTGCAAGAGTGCATTTCTTAATGTTTTGATTTTACCTTGCGTCACTCTCTCTTTCGTCAAGTTATGCACGTACAAGTCTTTTTCGGGAAGGAAGGAATTCATGGGATTAACGATGGCCTTTCCTATTCTCACATCTACAGTTTGCATCTCAGTGTGAAATGTTTTTAAAAATTACGCCATCTTGAGAAAAGCGAGATCGATCTGATCAAAATAACACGATGGTGCGGGAATTCCAAGTGAATTAACTTCTGTTTTCTGTGTTATTTTGATAACCGCACAGAAATTGTTAGTATTGTTCAGTGTGTTTATTACATATCGCATATCGAACATCGCACGTGACACATGTGGTTCGTCAAATTCAGCTACGTCTCGATCTGGACTGATTTGCATTCCTATGTAGTGTTTTGTTTTGTTTTTTCATAACTGTAGAATTAAAAAGTGTCAATAATGAAAACCTACTGAAAATAGAATGAAAGCAATTCAGTTTCCCTTATGTCCTAACCAACTGACTTACAGTTGAAACCGGGAGTTAAAAGAAGTCTATATGGTGCTTTGTATTTTGTTTTGTATCGGCCATGCTTTTTAGCATACTCCGCCCGTGTATTGTGTCTCAATTCATTGTAGTGCTCAAGTGCTGCGATAAGATGCTAAACCACACAGGACTCTCAAAATTTTCATTTTCTCTGTTTAGTCATGAAATTAATGTTTTAGGATCAACTTCTTAAATACAATTCCCAGGTTTGGAAATTTAACAGTAAGGAATTGCCCCCAAGAAAGGAAATTAGTTCAGATGTCACATATCCTGCTCTCCCCACTCCCCCAAGGAAGTCACTATTAAGTCATTAACAGTTAGGCGCTGAGACTATTAGCATCAACAGTGAAGGTACTTGCTCCGACGCGTTTTTACGCTAAATGACGCCGGCTTAATATAAGCTTTACTGGCTTTGTTTATTGGATTGTCTGCACATGAATCACAGCAAGTACTTTGTTTTGACGACACTCATTAAAAACCCTTTCGTAACCGCATTTAAGTGTCGAGTCAGAGGCTTTCGTATGTTCATAAGTCAATTACTTTTGTTTTAGGCTTATTTTCTTTTTCCCCCTTTATTATCTTCGAAACAATACTTAGTATTAAAAACACTTGCATTAGTTTCCCTTGCATTGTAACACTTTTAACTTGAGGTTGGCTTAATCCCGTTCATTGAGTGTACGGAAAGAATTTGAACACACTCTGAAGTGGAACCTACTGGAAACGCCTTTCAAAAATGTGATGTGATGTGATGTGCGGATCAGTGATGAGTAGTTCTACCTCATGGCACACTGCCACTTTACACCCGCCAGAAACAAACATGTACTTTGTGGGTTTTGCGGAGATTGAGAGAAGAATAGAAAAGTCTGTATTACTAACTATTCAACTGACTCGCAACAGCTTTTCAAATGGGAGAAACTGTAGACTTATCCCAAGTGTGGGTTGTACCGCGGCCTTCAGCAAATTTGTTGATATGTTAATTAAGTGACGTCAGTTATTACCGTGGTCAGTCCTACTTGTAAACACTGAATATTAAAAAGATAGGAAAAAGGCATGTTACGGGCATGAGACCTGTTAAGGATAATTGAAGAGAGTGACATAAAATGACTGGCAAATACAAAGATTGTTGTTGACCTTTTCACTTGTTCGGTCCGTTCTCGGATTCATTAGTGATCCTGTACATGACAGGTCGATGAGTGCTCAAGATAGTTGAGAGAAAATTATTAGTGCCAAAATTGAGAGATATTTTCACCTAGGATTTTCATAAGAGGGGCGTTTCTTTAAAAAGCTATTAACCTAACTCTTCTTTAATCCAGCCTTATGTATGTTCTGTTCAGTTGTAATCGTGATAAACTCATTGAGTGTACAGTATGATTTCGTACTAAAAGCTCATATTGAAGAAACCAACACTTTGAAAAATTGTAGATTTCTGGATGCTAGCCAACCAAAACCCTCAATTATTTGCCCATATTTTTAAACCAAGTTATACAGGAGTCTGTCCCGTTTTGAAATGGAAACCCTGAACTCGTCACAGCAGTCATATGGACACCCTACACGTACACGTTAAGTGGCCACAGAACAGCGTTAGTCACTTTTTTTAAAAAAAGACGCTTTTCCTCATAAACTATGTGAAGGTCCGGCGACCTTTTGTTGCACATGCACATCCGCATGTGGTCGGAAGTCACATGTTTATACCCAATGCGAGCCTTATGAAAACTTTCAAGTGGAGGCCCATAAACAATAGAAAGTAAGCAACTTAAGGTTTCAGAAATCTGTTTGGAAAATTTGTTACTCAAACCCTAAACGGCGTATTTATACCTAGAGCCATTCGTACATTGTAGCTAGTAATTTCACCTATTCTTTTTCATTTCTTTGCCTGAGTTTTTCGACTGTTTAATAGAGGGTACTAGTAGAAAAAAAGGGTAGGCACGGCCTAGCTCTGGTCACGGCGCCGGCCACTGAATGATGACCTGCGACAGTTAAACAGACAGTACAAAGTGGACACTTGCTCTACACACCTGTTTGCTTAGTTTAAGGTGCTCGGTAAGTTTTCTTGGTCACTTTATTGGTTGTAGAGATATTGACTTGGTAAATAAGTTTATACAAAGCCCAACACATTATTGGCATGCTATATGTTCGAATTGTATAAGTTTTAAAAACAATCTATCGAACGAGCAACTTAACACTTTGTGTTGTTATGACCTTCCGGCCTCAAAAGGAAATACTCGTCACCCCACATCCTTTATGAAATAACCCTGCATGCGATCACGTCAGTTGATGTATCTTTGATTTAACCCACACAATAACTATTATAGACACCCTCGCCTGCCTATAGGATGGAAAACAAAAGGCTTTCTGTAACCTGAACTATGTGAAGCATTCACCGGAAACTGGTCTTCTGTCATCTGTGACTAATACTACATCACATGTCTATAATAATCTCTTGAGTATTATAAATGCTTGTAAATAGAGTTGAATATACATTTCTAACGCAAAACACAACACGGCATCAAACTCGCGCGAAGTAAGAGGGACCCTGCGATATGAACAAGTGGTTAACACCTCGATGCGAGGTTCGTTTTGAGAGACAAGAGGCAGATGATAACAGTGGTTACTATGGCATTTTAACATGGTTTATTCAACTTTATTTGGACGTTTTTTTCGCACTTGGTTCAAGTTTGCTATCATTCCAGTTGATGTGGAGAGAATTATTTCCCATTTCACAGCAAGAGCCGAGCAGCATCAGAGCGGTGGCTTGCGGGCAGGAATACGACTTACGATCCTTTACTGTGATTGAGTTAAAACAGTACGATGGAGTTCAGCAAAACAGTATTTATTTCGCAGTCAACGGCAAAGTTTTTGATGCTACAAACGCGAGCGGTATTCAATTTCTTGACGGTGCTATTGATTGCATTGCGGGTAGGGACGCTAGCCGCGCATTAGCGACTTACTCGCTAACCGAAAGTCAGAAAAGTGAATCTCAAATGGACGATCTATCGGATATGAACCCACTCCAACTGGACTGTCTCTTTCACTGGGAAATGCAGTGTTTAGAGGTTTATCCATGTGTAGGAAAGCTCGTCAAAAGTCACCAGCCACGTGCTCTTCAACAAGTGTGTATCAGAACAATTCGCGCTTCTTTGAGAAAATCGAACTCGTGTTCCAAACTAGACGAGCAAGCAGACGAACTACCACTTCCAAAAATATTACGAAACAATATAGTAAATTATGGATAGGATCTTAGAAATTTGTAGCCGGCTGGCTGGCTTTTCATATTGTACATATTCTTATTGTACATATTTAAAACCGATCGGAAAAATAGAGAGTAATTAAATTATTTATAGTGCCTAAGATTTGTAAAAAAGACAGCAGATGCGAAGCATTTAATATTATAGGGAATTAATCTGTGAATTGCTCTTGATTCCTTTCAAAATCGGAAGGCCACCCAGATGAAATTGTATTTTTATAATTTATGTTATGTCATGGTTTGCAGTCAATACAAGGTAATCTTGTTCAAGTGCTCGAAGTAGTAGTAGCGGCATTCAGTTTCATTGTTTATACTGAATAATAGTGGCAACTATCCAAAACTTAGTGAATTTGAATTGAAACAACACAAATGACGCGAGCTAGATGCTACAATACTAGAATCGCTAGTTTTGAAGCGCTGTGTGACAGGTTATCATAGGCTTGCAACGAGAGAACAGCTGTGGAGATTTGGTGTAGTATTTTTAGATATCAAATTACAATGAGAATAATAGCAGTATTCAATAACATAAAGCGCGATGAGTCTGTGAACAAAGGCATTCCATGTTTAAATATGGCTGAAAATAGCTGTTTCTATTTTGAGTTGTTAATTCGCCGTGGAATATTCTACGGTCTTGAATGTACAAAGCAAAAACCATCAAAACCAATCCTGTAAATAAGTACATACTGTAAAAATAAATTAATGTTTTCTAATGTCAAGAAATATCGTGTCCAAGTTTTTTTTTCTGTTTTCTCGTCAGAAATAGAAGGTAAGAAGACTCAGTGAACTTGTGACCGGGTATACAGCTGAGTTCATTATTATTATCATTATATTTTCATGGCAAAGCTTTCTCACAGCGAGAAAACGCTTAATTGTTCTTGATTTTTTCAGGAACCTGGAAGCAAACTGCTAGCGTTGCAATAATTCAAATTTAAAGGAAACATAAATTGACGTTTGCAACAACGCATTTCCTGCCCTCTTCTTTTAACAAGAGGAAAGATGGACGTCAGCGAAGGAAGTTGTGCTTTCGTTCATATTAAAACGTGAAATTCCGCTGCGTGCGTGGGAGGTGCTTGCTGACAATTTACATTGCGCAACAACGTAAGATACCCCAGGCACTTCGCTTTAATTTTCTGCTCTGTTGACTCTCCACTATTGCAAATATTTGCTGGCGTCCTTGTTTACATGTTGGTGAATAATTACCAAAGGAATTTGCCTACAGAAAATACATCATGCTAAGTAAGATTGGCAAGACTTCGAAACTTAGCTCCAGCTCCTTACATGAATATTAAGTATGAAATTATTTCATATAACACAACAAAATGGAAAGTGTTGAGAAGGAAGAAAAGTAAATAAGCCACGCAATCTTTGTGAACTTTTGCGATTTCAGAATCGCATTGGGCAAAAGAATATTTTGGCATGCAAAATAACGGACTGGCCTTCTTTCTAGAGACAATCGTTTAGATCGTTTGTGACCTGGGTATTATAACGGAATAAAGCAAGCTAATCAGGAAATAACTAAAAATACAGATTTTCCTCACAATCCGATACTTTCTTAGCTAATCTACTTTCTTTTTTCAATATCTCTTTCGGGTTGTTTTATGCAATGTTTTTATTTCGATAATCGGTGAGCTTTTGATACAAGTGCGCCCGGAGTGCGCCTTGTCGATTTCGTCTCTCGTACTTAAAAGATTCACCTAACGATTGATTTGTGAGTGAGTGAGTGTGTGTACGTAAACGAGGCGTTCCTTCTGTACAGTAAAAAACTGCCAATGTCACAACCTTGCATTTCGACCGTTTCGCAGAGCCTTACTTTGCTTTTGAACCTTCTGCGCTTTGTAAAAAAAAAAAAAAAAAAAAAAGGACAGTAGATATATCTAGCAACCTTTGTGGCATTACAGGTGTGGTATGGAATCCCTAATGAAAGGGTTCCCAAGTCTCCACTAAAATAGTGGTTAAGGTGGGGAGGGAGGATGCGTGTATACAAGGGTGTTGTGTGTATAAAAAACAATGTTTTTGTTATTGTTTTCTGACTGACTCCATCACTACGAGAAAAATGTTATTTTGATACAAGCTGAAAGTTGTACATTTGTCGTCTGGCGGCAATTGAGAAAAATACTTTAGTCTCTATAAAAAAAAAACGAAACAACACAACGGCAACACTTTGCTGGATGCATCTATCCACAATGTTCCTGATGCATAACATGACTAGTGTCAGCCTCGTGTGTCATGAGTAGCCTGCGTAGCAAGCGTTTCGGCGCGAGTTCGTCAGGAAAGTTGAGACGAGAGCAAAAAAAAGGAATGACAGGGGAGGTCAAAGAAACCGCGTAACAAAAATTATGCTCCTCGTGCAGAGGCGTTCTTTTGCTGTTTTTAAAGTTCTCGTTGCCGCCGTGTTCGTGGTCGCTTAAGCTTCCTGTCGAAAAATACGCCTACAATAAAGGCTATTCATTTTGTATCAGTTTTCTGAAATCCCATTTATTTTGATACCTATATTTGACAATTACATGACGCCAAGCTTCTTTTTTGTTACGTCGCTTCCGGACAAAAAAGGGCTTTATACAATTTCACCACCTTAACACCCTGCTAAACACATATTAATCGATGCTAAGCTTTTGAAAACTATTTTAAAATCGCCCTTTATCCATGAGCTCACGTATTTCAACAAACCTTAATAATGAGTTCAAGATTCTGAGACCTATATACCTAAGTATTAAAAAAAGCTAAAAAAGATAATTTCCAAAACGGCCCAGGGATTCGAGCAGAATAGAATAAGTCTTGAGTTCACTCAAGCACATGTAAACATTGGTACCTCTTTATATATAACCTGCCAAAAGGCACGTAACAGCATTTTCAACAGCCAATCTATTTTAACCCAAGAATAGTCTATGCACCGCTTTCCGCTGTTCATTTGGACGCGCCCCAAACCCACTCACTATTTCTGGAACAGGCAGTCCAGACAGGAAATAGGTTATCAAGCTGAACTTCTGTAAAAAAGACAAGAAATGCCAGTGTCTGAACTGATGCCTGTTAAGCCGTGAAGAGATCCAAAAGCCGGGCCTGATGATTTTTGATCCTCATCATACACAAGGTACATCAGGCACGAGTTTAGTTTATAATAATAATAATAATAATAATAATAATAATAATTTATGAACTTGTTGTGCGCAGCTTAACACGAGAATGATCAGCTGCGCATTACAACTGCATTACTGTACAAGAAACAAATAAAAGATAATGCATTAAAAAATAAAAAATAAAGTAATAAAAAATAAAAAGGCGCGGGCACTAATCTTCGTGAATTCGGATTTCAAATTTTACTGCTGGCAACTCACAGTGTAGTAATGTTCGCAAACTAATCCGATCCGAGTCTCCTACCTGCTACCTTGTCTCCTTATCGAGGAAAAATTTCTGTCAACCTGTGAGGGGCTACTAAAAAAGTTCTTTACCGAGGAGCTCTTGGATCCAAGTTTTCACCGATTTATTGACCATTTTTTGACAGGAAAGGTTCCCCTTTCGTTATACGTTCCACTGAAAAATGAGTGGTACCCTCCTCACACTCCTTGGTCTCAACCTGCATCCCTTTTCTAAAAGATTCAAGTAGAGTTTTTTATATGAAGATAGCAAAAGGTACGAGCCCTTTCCCGCGGCACCTCCTTGTATAGGCCATTATAACCAGTACTCCCAAAACAGTCTCTTCGTTACGTCAGAATTTGAAAGAAAATTCTCATCCTTTCTTAGAAAGCACACGTACACCAGACACTAACCTACCATCAGGGTTCTTTTTTTCGGCAAAAAGCGGAAAAAAAGGTGGGGAACGGGAAGAGCAAAAAAATAAAAGGAAGAAGGGTCGCCTGATCGCAGGTAACCAGACACTGGATTCGACTGATTGAATTTCAAACGAAAATATAAGACATTAAAAATCCTGTAAAAGTAGTTTTAAGTTTATCCGAGATATCTGATCTCTTCTGGGGCTATTTCGTTACCGTTTAAGTCAAGTTTTAAGTAAAAAAGTGAAAATTACGTCCGCAAATAACATTTTGATGAATGCTCAGCTGAAATATAAATTTCTACTCAAAAATTGTTTTTTTGTCTATTCTACGAGCACGTCATGTTGGCTACACGGGGATTCCCGGCTACACCAACCTTCAGGAGTAATATTTAACTGAGGAGAATGAAAGACTTGTGGCAGTGCCTTTGCATCGGCAGTTGTTAATGATCTGATTTTCTAGTCTTCTTGGATAAGAAGAAAAAACCATAGCACCGATCTCACGGTAAATTGACTTGATCTGTTAGTGCACCTAAAAGAACCACTAAGGATGAAACAAATCTCTATTAGTGAACACCTCTAGTTCCTCACTCTCTTCATATTCACACTGGCATTCATAACTCACTACTTCATTAATAATTGTTAATTGCACCACAAGCAGTCTGGCAAAGTCTCCTTCCTACACAGTGTTGTAAAATAATAATCCCTGAAAATCCCTAAGGTGTGTAGAAAAGAATATTGAAAATGACCACAGTGCTGCCTAACGAACAAATCACGTTCAACAACAAACATATCCCGGTTACAGGGGTCTGTCTTTAAAATATTTACGACGACCGAGAGAGAGAGCAAGCTGCTTGACCCGTCTGCATCACTGCATGTACGAAAAGATATTAATTAAATCATCAGAATCAGCTTATGCCCATTCACACCAACAAAACTTGCTTTGTTAAATCGGGTTGAACAAAGCGAAAATCAGTTAAAGAAAACTACAGGACTGGCTTTTACATAGAATTCATGTAAGTTTTAAGTTGTGCTTTTATTTGTGCTAACTCTGCTAAACTGAAAAAAAAAGAGAAGTAAACAGTGTTTATGATGAAAACAATTCTAAACCGTGTTTAACCAAACAGCTTTTAAACAGGTTTATGCTCGTATGATTGGGGCAATAATTGTTTGCCATTTCTCAGATGAGAAAGTCCAAGTTTTTTAGGATAATTATTCTTCAGGAAAAGAAAGGAGCCTGGGAACGAGGTTGCTCGGCGAGATAAGATAATATGACATCGATACTTTCAAAACTGCCTGTTTTCATCCGTCTATTCAACTACGGACAGGGCATCTGATCTGTGGGCAATTTCAAAAAGCACATTCCTGCTAAAAACACAAAATCTATAACATAACTTAATGACACAAAATGCAAGTCATGGACGGATCCCGACCAAATAAACTGACATGATAGACAGTGGTATTAGAAAATCTTTATTACAATTCAATGTACACCAGGTTCAACTAGTAACGAAACTTTAAGTGACACGCGGGGCCTCAACAAGTGGCTCCTCTCACGGACGTGATGTACGATCTCTCCCAGTTTAACAATAGAGAATCTTGGCCAGTTAAAACACTAAAATAAAGCAAAATGCCTTGTGAACACAAATTGTCTTGATTTAAAAAACAAGTTGATTTGCTGCACTCAGTCTCTCTTTTTCTTGAGATTTTTTTTGATGGAGGCAGCGTGGCCACGCGGTTAGAGTGCTGGACTTGTAATCCGGAGGCCCGGTGTTCAAGTTCAGCACTGACCACTTGCTAGATTTGTTCTCGGTAGTCCCGAGTTCAAACCCTAGGCCACGCTTGTAAATAGCCAGCTGGTTTGCCTCTAGCCAGTTCTTAACCATATTATGTTCCATTTGAATTGTTGGTTCATTATCCCTGAAATGCCCCATAAGGAGAGAGGATATTAAAAATAAATACATAACATTATACTATATAGTTTAATATTATATTAAGTGAAGGGAGTACAAGTGCGAGCGAGCATTGAGTGCCTCCACCGTCTGGAGCCTTCAGTCAAGGGCGTGGTCATTTTCGTGCCTTGCACGTTTTGCTCGACGTACTTAGAAAAAACAGAGCCTGCTTACCACATTATGACTAATGTTCATCCAATGCTTTAGCTATTAACTGCACAGCATCATCAACTGTAAACACTTTTTCAGCTTCTTCATCAGATATTTCAATTGCTACAATAGAACATGGGTTGAATGTTAGTTACAGACTATGCAAGCATGGAGAGCTTGTTCGCAGGCTAAGGGATAAAATTCTGATCAAACCAAAACCACTGTCTTAATTTCTCTTTTTCAGCTGCTGAACATAAGTCCTGACTCCAGAGATCCAATCTCAAAATACCTAGGATGAAATAACCCATGCGCAAGGTTTGATAAAGCTTTTGAGAAGCTTTGCAGCAAACTTTTTGGAATTAGGAAAGAAAAAAAACCTCTAGCAGCCAGGGCACTGAAGGTGCTGCATCTTGTCTTGTCAAACATATTATACTTAGTTACGCATCAACTATGATTCATTTTATAGGAATCTGTAAGAAGCAGACAACTTGTATTAAACAAAAACTTGCACATTTCTAGCCAACTTTATATATGATGGAATGTTTAATAATACCCAAAACTGAGAACCAAACCAGAGGATACACATATTTTAAGGAGTCTAATGACAATTTATTGTCATAAGCCTCAGGATCAAGGAGCTGTATGACTTCATTTAAGTTTGTATGAAAATAGTTGTGACTTCTAGTATAAGCTTGGCACTAGGGTTAAAGTACTCACCAAAGTCATCTTCCAATGCCATGACAATCTCAACTATATCCAAGCTGTCCAATCCAAGGTCATTAATAAAATGACTTTTAATGGTGAGCTAACAAAAAACAATGCCAAAATATTAACCAATACAGCCACACGTAGCAATTTAACAATGTTAAAACTTAGCTTACTGAAAAATTAACTGGATACCTTTTCAAGAACAGATCACATAATATAGTTGGTCGGTATACCATTCAACACTCCGACGATACGGCTAGTATCAAGTGTTGGTAGAATATTGTTTGACTGTCGGTGGTATGTTGATTGACTGCCGTATAATTAAAGTTGTGTTATCAGAAGTGACATAAATTTTCGATAGTTTGCTGGCATGGAATAATTTTGTTTCTCATGTCATTCTATGGTCAGTCTCACCGTGTCTCCTTGTTTCATTACATTTAGTGTTACATTTGAATGTCTCAGTGTCCTAGATGCACTATAACCTTGTTTATATTACTATTAATATTTCCCTTTGCAATGAATGTTATAATGGCTTCATTTTAATTAGATCAGCTTTACCATCCCAAAGGTGACACCATCAGAAAGTTTGGAGGTACACAGTCCCTTTTTATCCAATATTTTTTGGGGGGGGTTTACGTGTTTGGCTATGGTGTATGTATGTTACTGCAATGATTGTAATGACAATAAATCAAGCAAATTAAATAAACAACAAAAATTTGTGCAGACAGGAAATAAAACTACAGAGGAAGAGTCAACTAAGTATCAATAAAGTATAAGCAAAATGTTGTTGACCTACTAATTGATATGTTGACTGATTAACAGTCAACACAGTGACCAACACTATTGACCGATACTTTGGTCGACTAGCCTGCGTCGCACACACTCTAAACCTTCTGTATAGAGAGTCTGCGAATTAGTGCACAATATCGTGTTCGAATCCCGTAGAGTAGCATGGATATATGTCGGCGTTATTGATTGGCTATTTTCTTTCACAGTTTGTGATTAGTCCGATTTGAATTAAGCGTTGACAGGCCAAACATGACTCATAGCTCGTGACCAGAGAGATTGAGCTCGTGATAGTGTGAAACGTGACTTTAGAGACCCCTAGAGTAGCTTGAACAACACATGTTTTTCTTGCTCTCTTTTTGCGTAATTTATACAGTGCATGGAGTATTCTACAATTTGACTGAGCAAATTTTTTTTGCCTCTTTGAGTCTCACCTTTAGCTACATTTAGAGGTTGTGAAGCTGGTCTGTTTCATACATATTGAGTAATTAGTTCCTGTAGTTTATTTTTTGGCAAATGTTTTCTAAGAGGATTTGATCACAGATGCATAAATGATTTTCTTTTACCTCTGATTAAGCCTTAAGCTTCTTTATTGCGGCTAAATAACCTAAGTTTCTTTGGTTTTCAACGAAACGCTTGGACCTGAATAGCTACATGTGTGTAGTTTTTTTTTTTTTTATCGTGAATAACGTGATGATTTCTTCATTTGTTTTGACTCTAGAACTGTCGGTTAGATTACAGAATACGCAATAGTACATCTGCAGCGATTGGAAGACGCTGGGAAACCAGCCGGCAAATTTACTAGCAAATTTTGGCCTTGAAGGAATTATCTCAAAGCGTTTTTTTGCTCAGAAGACGGCTCTAAAGTTCGAACTGATCTTTCGATTACTGTAAACGATCCTTGCCAACTCCCTTCTGTGAATTTTAATTGACATGTCACTGCGCCCAACCGTCACGCACACGTAAAAATTAGGCCAATCGTGCGGCTTGTAAGAAACCTGTAAGAAACCCGCCTATCAGAAACGCTCACATATGTCCTTGCGACTCTGCAGGATATTAGAACAAGCTTTTGTGCACTAATTCGCAGACGCACTATACAAATGGTTTAGACGAGTACGTGGGCCGGCTGCAACGCAGGCTATGGTCGACGTGTCAGCCAGCTCTTCATGTAGACCGACACCTGGCAGACTGATGTCGACGGACATATCAACCGAGTCAGCCAGTGTGTCCACTGAGAGTTGGCTGACAGGTCGACTGAGTATCGGCCAATACTGATGGCCGATACTTGGTCGAGGGGGTACCCAAATTACACAAGATTTTGGTTCTGTAGGAGTCCACACAATGAACATTATATTGTTTAGTAAAATTACATTAAATCGTGTTCAAGTTCTCAAAATCCAAGCAATAGCGAGGCTCAGGAGATCTTTAAAAGTATATAGTACTGTATGCGATGAAGCGACCAATCAGTGAAGGTTATACAAGGGGCAGGTCGCCCCAACTTGTTCAAAGATGCCTCAGGCTGATAAACGCAAATTAAGGAAGGAGGAGTGACCCTCACCCCCTTATTCAGGAACTAAATACTTGCCTTTTCGGGCTCCACTTTGTCAAAAAGTTTTAAGACATCCATGACTCGTGTCTGAATTTCTTCCCTTGATAGCGCTGCTCCAGCATCGGCAAACAAGCGAACGCCCATAAGAGATGGAGGTTTTGCTGCCAAGCTGCTGCTGACAAGAAATGGCTGCTGCAAACATTTGTTACCAGCAAAAATAACACGTGGAGAAGAAGAGACCAGCCGTATGCTCTGCCTCCTCAACAATGGATGAGCGTATACAGCCCGCCTAGCAAACTGTCGAAGCATGTGGGTCGCCATCTTTGAAAATCACTTACCTTCGAGGGCTAAGAATTATGGGAATATCGGAGGTTTTTTTCTAAGCCTTTTTTCTATTGGTGGGTTAATAAAATTAACCAATCATAAGGCGTCTAATGTCCTTATGCCGCTGACCTCTCTTACGTAACTAATCCGTTAACTGGCTCGGATGGCACGTGTAATGCAAAATGGCGACCATCACCAATATACCTTTAGCCAACATTCATCGTAGTGTAAAGGGAAAATTTGGATTAAGACGAGGACTGAAAATAGCACTCTTAATTCAGAGAAGATGCTGTTCATATATTTCAGCTTTTCAAGGAGAAGTTAAGTCGAGTGGTGACTTCAAGAAGACAAATCCGCAGATTCAAGTACTCCACCTAAACTCGTCTGGGTCGGATGAGAGATCGTGGACTGGTATAGCTTCCAAAACGTTTTTCACAGCGTACAAATCTAGAAATCACCAACATATTATCAGTGAGATAAATCTTTGGGATAAAGATCTTTTACAGTATGATTTATCGCATGTTGCAAGCAAAATGCGAATGGTGACTGGAGAGGACAAACCGTCGGATAAACAGAACTTAGAACCAGTGGAGAAGATGGTGAAGACGTTGTTTTTAGCGGATAAACTTGTTATTTCGTGTCCTATGTGGAATTATAGCGTTCCGTACGTCTTGAAGCAGTACATCGACTGTGTTGTTCAGCCTGGTTTGACATTTAGGGAAACCTCAAATGGTCCTCAAGGGCTGTTAACTGGAAGGCCCTTGCTTCTTATAACCTCATCAGGCGGGGACTACTCAACCGGCGATATGAAAGCACTTGACTATCAAGTTCCTTATTTGAAAGATATCTTTGGCTTAATTGGTTTTACTGATGTAAGGCATATTTATATTAAGAACACAGCACACATGCAAAAAGATGACCTGAGGAATTTAATTGAATCAAGTTGTCTGGAACATGCTGCTAAATTTTAACCTTGATGTTTAAATTTGTGGAATTATAATTTTTAAATGAAGGTTCACAGATAATAAATGATGTGTTTGTTGGAACTGTTTAAATATCTCTCATACTATTGGCTCCTCAAATCAATTCCAAACATGCCCAAGTTGATGCTCTTTACAAACCTATTTATTAATCAGTGTAGAACACAACGGGGTGGGGCTTCAATTTAAGTGTGTCCTAACAGATAACCCACCCAGCCCAGGAGAGGTTGGCCACACCACTGGGTAGCCTCAGCCACAAGTTGCTCAGCAACTTTCTGGCAACTTTTGCTGTTTGGAGCAAATTGATTACGTTTTTAGCAATTTGTAAGACACCATTAAAAGAACATAGTAGTTCAGAGGTAGAATTTTTCAACTCTAAATTCTCTGCCTCGAACGAAAATGACCCTATCAGAACAGGAGTCAGAATTCACTTGCACAATGAATAGCAAAGAGAAATAAGATCATAGCATGTAAACTGGTCTTACAAGTTAAGTCTGAGAATAGAAACCCCATCTCCTCCACAGAGGTATCACGTGAGTAGAGAGAAGAGAAGGTGTCCGTTGGCAGATCCAATCCAATTAAAGGTAATGCAAAATTTCTCATTAATTGACTCCATTACAAAAATGTAGTTTACACAAATCCCTGTGAAACCTTCTGGGATCTTCCCTCCGATTGATTTTCCAGAGGAAAGCTTAATCCTGCCCTTTTTAACACTGCAAATCTCCATTATACGTGTGGGGGGCTTTTTGTAAAGCATAATTGAGCGAAGGGCTTAATGGAGTGAAACCTATTAGGCAAAATGCAGGGCTGTATGCAAAGAAAGAAGGCAAAGCAGATTACAGCCCACCAACAAGGTTACAATTTCTACTCTTCCAAATTTTCCTTTGCTTTCAAAATCGAAGTCTGTACCTCCTCATGAGAAATACCAAACCCTTGCTCCACCCAAAAGATGCACCTGCACTGCAAGTTATGAGTGAGGGAATGACTGTCTGACATGCATGTTTGGATGATCTAATATGTAAAAATATTATATGAATAGTACATGGAGTGTTAGACAATTTTGACTCAATCCAAGATGGATACCACTGGGACTGGTTCAGGTGTTCATTTAAGGACACTAACCAAAAGTCAGAACTGGCAAACCAGACTAGTTATTTTGAAATGGGCTTTACTCAAGAAGAGGTTTTGACAAAATTCCATCACTGTCATGTATACTCTTTATGTATAAACTGATTTGGCCGGATAGTCCTGGTTAATAATGTTAAGACTAATGGTAAGATGGACCGAGGTCTATAAGACAGTCTCGCTTATTACTGGTAGTTATGATAAACTAATCATTTCAAATTAAAGGGGAGAGGGAGGTTTCATGTCATATAATTTTCTTTAATAAAAGGGGCAGGGGCTTAATAAATTCACAAGAGACTAAAAAGAAAATAATTCATACTTGGGTTAGCCAAGGCCTAGGGCAATAACTTTATACTACTTGTCCAAAATCACAATGATCTCTCTTTCTTTACATCATAAATTTCCTTCATGCACTTGCAGCTTTTCAGTACTAATATTTGAAGCTTATTTCATTTTTATTTTTCATTATTTTTTCTTGGAGAAGGACCATTGTTTTTTACAACAAAATGAACAGGAACACAATTAACCAGGTTTACATGTAAATAAAACAATATCGTGAATTTCCATTAATCTGTAATGTTGTTAGGTTAAGACCATGTGAAAATCACCCTTGCTTGGCAAACCTACTTGTAACTACAGCATAGTTTTTCCACTTTTACAAAAGCTTACAACAGGGATTTTTCTGGCTGTAGGCATAATGATCTACATGACTTAGTGTGTTCAAGCCATTAGGTATGTGGAAGGAACTAAAGGGGCACTTGTGGCATCCACTGAAACTGAAAGTTTTTTAAATCCAATGCATTGAATGGTTTGAAGTGGAGTTTACTGCCTTCCCATAAAGACCAGAAAACCAGTTCTAGAGGCACATTTTGATTTAGCTACCTTGAGATAATAACAGAATAGTACCAAGTATGTTTTTGTCAAGAAACACGTTCTGACAAGAGTAGTAGTATAGAAAGGGTTGAAGCTATTGTCATACGTTGAAAATGTGATGATGCTGGGAGAGTTATATCCCTTATTGATTAAAAAACTGAAACAACAAAACCCTCTTACTCTAGACAATGACCCTTTAGTCTAGTTTTCTGCAGTGACAGTTGATTGACGGTCAACCAATAGGTGACCATTTTACAGCAGACACAAAATTAAGACAATGACAGTTTATTCTTGATGTCCAAGCAGTCAATAACTTTAAGTGAATTGTTTTCTTCTTGTCTTAGTCCATACACCAACACGGCAAGGGCCTATAACATTTCTTGATGTTTTATCCATAACTTGGTGATATGTTTACTTTTGATGGATCAAATTCTGTGCCAGCAAATGGTGAACCTTTTGCATCCCAGGCTTGCTTGAGAAGCTCGTGCGTTTTCTAAGTTGGAAAGTGAATAAAAAGCAACTTAACAACAACTATCAGAAAATTATCACATCTACGAGGATCAACTTATTAAGGTCTGAACAAATCCTGTAAAAAAAGTAGTTACTGGATGGTCCAGTGTGGGTTTGCTCACATTCAAATTCTCTACACAAAAATTTAGTTGGTTAACATGTACATGTTTACAAGAAAGTGAAGAATGGGTTATGCAAAGTACCCAGAATTTCAGTGAAACCTTTTTGTTTTGAGCATACAACTACTTAAGATAACTTTATAACCGGATATCTCCATTGATAAAAACTATTTACAAAATTATTTATTATCATGTAATAGAAATTAAATTCTAAAAAGCTAAGACTAAGGTATATATGTATATATAAAAAAGAAAAACAATAAGAATTAAAAAAAGATATTTTGCCACATTGCAACATCGCAATTAGCTAATAAATATTTTCACATGTTCACTTTTATTGGTAATTCTATTAAAGATTTGTTCCAGTCCGATAGTTCCCAGAAACCATTTAAACCAGGTTTCGATGATTTAAAACAATCGAGACCAGCCTTAAAGGTGTCAATAATTGCTGCACATCGGACTCCTAATGGTAGCTGGTTCTAATATTTGCTAACTCTATTACTAAAAAAATCATGTGCTGTTCTTAAAGAATGAAGCGAAATGACTGGAAGATTAAGAGTTTGGTAAGATACATTTTTCCTGAACATATTTTGGCCATAGTTTACTACAAAGCTGTTCAGGATTTTGAAAATCTCAATCAAGTCACCATGCATTCTATGTTCCTACCCATTAAATGGCTAAATCTAACAGGAAAAAAAAAACAGAAAAAGAGGTACATGTACTATAAAAGAAATAAACCCGTGATATACGCTCTTGAAAGTCTAAACAGTACATAAGTTACATGAACTCATTACTAACCAATTCCTGACTGGTTGGTTTTCCTTGAAGTTTTTGACGATGATCATACATAACATGTTCAAAATCACTCTGAGTTTGTTCATCAAAGTCACTAATGTCTCTAGTCGTGTCAACCTTAGTCTTGTCTATTTCAGCATCTCCTTCTAAAACCGCTGTCCAAAACCTCTCTTCCCTTTTCTCCAGGTTGACAATTATAAATTTTCCACCTTCCAGTAACCACATAGAATCTTCACATTTTATGGTTCTTTGAAGCTTTCCATCAACAAGAACATTGTTACCTGTAGAGAAAAACTTTCAGTCAATGTATGCTAGACAACCAATGACCATACAAAGGACCAAGATTGCAAGATCTAATGCCGATAAAGTATGCCTCAAGCCAGTTTAGAGATTTTCCTTGGGCACCAAAGTGCTGTGGTTCAATTGCACAGAAAAATTGGATGATCTTCAGTATCAAAGGCCTTTTAACAATAGTGAAGATGATTGTTACCAGTTAGTAAGGCCTTTGTTCATGTTTCTATTAATGATATGTCTGCATTCATTTTCATTATTTACAAATGCATTTAGCATTTTTTGCAAGGAAATAAATATTTAATCATTTGCACAACATCAACATCAACTCGGTACTAGAAAACATGACCTCAGTACTAGAAGGAGAATAAGGGAACAAATTAGTAGGAGATCAAGACTGAAGAAGCCCCTGAAGCTCTGTACCATTTTTGCTTATTTAACCAATTTATGACACTGAGATACACTTTAAATACCTGTCACTGGAGAGATGTCTTTTTTTAACCAAACTTTTAAATGTGATGTCTTAATTTCCACCCCAACATCACGGCCTTTAGTTATCGAACTTGGTACTGGAATTTTCACTTCAATATCCTTTATAGTTTGTGACCAGGAATATCTGTCAAGAATTGCTCCATTGTAACACTCTGCTGACTTGCCAGGCATCAATCCTTTACCTTCATCACTGCTCTTGCTGTTTTCTGGCTGAGCTGCTGAACTGTACATATTAAAAATTTTTAACACATTCACATACCAGTAACTCAAACAAATATAACTAATTTAATAACAATTCATTCATTCATTCATCCATTCATTCAGGCAGCCTCAGCCGAGCTAGTTGCCTGGCTGCCCAGTCCACTCTATTGTCCATGCAGGCTGAGAGTTCACTGGTGGATGCCACCCCAGTGTCGCTTATCAGAGTGTCTATGAATGAAAACAATAATAATAATAAATCTAGTCATCTCTGTGGGCTAACAGTATACCCCCGGAGAATCCTCAGGTGTCAGGTCTCATTGAAAAGTCTGAGGATGGACAGCAAAAAAGTCAAAAATACTTAGGACATACCAAAAACTCATTTGAAAGTGTGCCGCATTACAAAGATAAAGAACATTCTGAGATATGTGTTGCGGTTCAATTTTATCCTTGGTTTAAATTTTATTTTCTTTTGTTTCAAACTCATTATCATACAAAACCATGCCCTAAAACAAAAGAAAATGTAATTTAAACCAAGGATAAAATTGAACAACAACATATCCTTGAATGTTTCCTAATCAATGACAAATTAATCCAACATGGCAGAAGAGGTCTTAACAAGACAGTGCCGTCATTTGATTTCTTGTAAACTGAGTTGTTAAATTTCAAAATATTTCCTTGCTATGTTTTGTCTACAAAAATGCTGAGCTCTTGTGTTTCACAATACAATGCAAATCTATTTTGATTGTTGCAAGTTGATTTTTGCAACATTCAACTAAACTAACTGAATTTATCATGATCATTAGTTGAGTCTGTTTTAAGTTTTAATGCAGTTGCTATAAGGTAGAACATATTATTAACCTTGTTGACACTGTGGAAGCACCTGCAGTAGATTCTGATAATGGCACTGGAGCAGCTGCTTGGTCTGCGGAAGATGATGTTTCTACTTCAACTGTGGTACTGCAGACAGATGGAGTTGGTGGTGATGGAAGTGATGAGGCCTGCAGAAGTGTGTAGAAATATTTCTGGAATGTTATTGTGTTGTGAGGAAAAACCCATTCAGGTATGAGAGAACTAAACCGTAGTTACTAAAACAAGGAATGACCTACAATGACCCACAATGATCTACAATGACCTACAATGATCTACAATGACCTACAATGATCTACAATGACCTACAATGAGCTACTATGACCGAATGTGTAATGCCTGTAAATATGAGCTAAAATGAAGATTTTAGAAAAAGACAAAAAAAAAAGATCAGGGGACATGTGTGCGTAAACGTAACGCGTTTAGTCTACTGCATGACAGCCCATTTAACTATGACAGCATCTCTAATTATTACGCTTGGAGATAAATTTACAGTGTAATAAAACCATCCCTTGCAACCTTTCGCATTAGTTTTATTTTGTCTTGCAAACACAGTCACGGACACCCCAACAGTCGATCCGGGGGGATCTTCAAGGGACGTAAGGGTAGAGATGAACAAAGGAGGCCTTCAAATTCTGACCCTGTTCAAAAGAAAAATTGTTCATTTTTTTTTAAGTAACCTGGCCTGTATAAGACATCATAAGACCCTTTAAATGGCTTTCGGTCTCACAGGATGCTCTGTTTGTAACGCTAAATAGTAAAATCCATATCCTGCTCAGCGGCCCATACCCATCTAGGCCAAATAAGGGAGTGCCTGCATGACTTCCGTCAATACAGGGTATAATAGTGCTATACTGGTAAAAACGCGATTGCAATAATCTATTTTCAACTTTCTCAAGTTACCTGAGATCAGGCACAATTTTTGTTTTGCCTTTTCAAAATGTGCTTGGCAATTTAATACTATAAGCCTAGTGTCACGTCCAAGCGTGACACACGACAAACATCATTGTCTGTCATTTTGTAGCTCATTGTAGGGCTTATTTTAACTCATTTTAGCTCGTAGTAGCTCATTGTAGCTCGTAGTAGCTCATCGTAGATCATTGTAGCTCATTGTAGGCCATTGTAGGTCATTGTAGGTTATTCCTTGTTTTAGTAACTACGAGAACTAAACACAAGCAATAATGGCAATTATTTTGTCACTGGTTTTGGGTCTGCTTGTTGTAAGTCCTGAGCTTTTTTACGATGATTTAAGGTGTTCATAGTTTTCTTAGGTTTACAATAATTGCTGATCCTTACAAAAAAACATGCATACATATGAAAATATACGCTGATAACTTCAAGTCTGAAGGGAAACAAAAAACAGTTCGAGTGAGTGGGCATTCAAGTTATTGGGGTAGATTGAATTTTAAATTTGTAATTATTTTCAGTAATTATTGATAGTTGCTGATTTTTCAGCACTTCAGTGTGCATAGTACAATGTAACTTTACTTATTTCATCAAAATCGGTGATATGATTATGCATTTCTATGATAAAGAATGATCCATTTGTTGCACCAATTAAAATTAAATTTCTGTAGGATTAGTTTTAATGTTGTTACCAATTATACAACGAAAAGAGCTAAGGGAATGGCATCCAAGTGGGGTAGCACAAACCAAAATTCGTAGTTATCAGTGAAAATTTCAGTGAAATTTTGATCAAGGGAAGGAAAATTTAGTTTGAGTTAACGGGGAATTAATTTGAGTTTAGACTACAAGTAGTCCCCCATTTGTCCTCAAGGATAGTAGAGCAAATGAAACACGAGTGCTCGTGAAAATCACCCCATGCGAGAAAATGCGACACGCGGTGGGGAGAGCGAAAAATGAGGGACTACAGACAAAGCCCAAGCTTTTGAACTTATGCATCGCTCTCACAACACAAAACTCTGATTGGCTCTTCCATGGAAATCTGTCAACATCTGTCAAAAACGCACCAGCCACTATCAACACTCGACATAATCACAATTTACAGAACAAATGACAGCACAGAACAAATATTAAACTAGAGTTGCTCTTGTAGAAGCAACTAAGAAGAAAGCCAACCTGGCAACTGATGAGGTTTGCGTGGAGAACCGAAACCATGGTCTTGTCCGATCACAAAGTGGCAATAACAGAACAGTCGCAAGGCTGTTAAGCTTATTCAAAAGTTATCACCAAGGGAGGAACTACGCGCTCCAGTCCAAAGACTCACATTATCTCCAGAAAAAACAAGCGGTAGTTAAAATTCATGAGCAGTCATGACTGAGTCACGTCGCAATTGTCCATAGTTGATGTAGTTTTAGTTTAAGCTGCAATCCATTCTTCGAGATTTGGATATCACTATCCGTCCTGCTAAAAACGCTAGCGAGCTGAGCCCAGCGTGATAAAGCATTGCAGGAAACCGTCACATTCATGGCCAAAAAGAAACTCACTTAAAATTATTCAGATCTAGGAGGCAATCGCCGGAGAAATTGAACAACCCAAAACCCTTATTTAGCCCCATTGAAGAGCTTTACTTTTCAAAAGAGGTCAAAGAAATGCTCTTGCATCAGAGGGCAAATCATGCCGACCATAAACAATAACGGCAGAAAATTAATATGAGTGTCACGACATCTCAGTATGAAATAAGCATGAAGTATGAAATAAGCAAAAATCAAATTTGTTCAGTCAAAACGTTTTCCTCTAGAGCATAATCTACCTGTCAGAGAAAAAAATTCGTTGCAACAAGCAGCATTTTGGCATGAGTAAAAGTCATGTGTTGCCTACACCATTAAGTTCTTCACGCGAAACAGCTGTGAAGAAAATTAGTATCTGGGTTTTCTTTTGCTTGCAATAAATATCGCCCGCAGTTTACCGATTACAAGAGCAATGACAGCTCAATGAGGAAAGGAATCTCATTGGATGCGCTTAATTAATTTGGAAGGGGATACGAACTTCACACGCCAAAATCAGTCAGCCATGAAGGGTCAAAAGCTTGGGCTTTCTCTGTAGTCCCTCATTTTTCTCTCTCCCCACCGCGTGTCGCCTTTCTCGCGTGGGGCACGAAATTAGACTACTCGTAGTCTAATTTGAGTTAGTTTGAGTTAACCAAGTAAAAATGACTGACAAGTGGGGTGAAATCCAAGGGAAAAAGGACTTAGTTCAAGTTAGTGGGGAGTTTGAGTTATCCGAGTTCGAGTTAACCAAGTACAAATGACTGACACCTGGGGTGAAATCCAAGGAAAATAGGACTTAATTTAGTTCGAGTTAGCGGGGAGTGTGATTTATCCCGGTTTGAGTTATCGAGGTTCTACTGTAGGAATGTACATAAATTCATTGGAAACAAAACAAAACTGTAGCAACTCACATTATTATCCGAAGAGCTAGGTTGATCACTTGAGGTTTCTGTTGATACATTTTCACTGCCTTTAATCTCATCCTTTTCTGAACCTGCACTTTTCTTCTCTGTTTGATTTCCTTTGACTAATTCCTGGTATTTCTTGAAAATCTATAAATTCAAAAAATTACAAAAAAAACAATATGAACTTTCATGTCTAAATGTATTAAACTTTACATAACAGAAGTTAAAATAGTAGCAACCACCCATGCAGCTATTATTCGACTGTTTTGAGGTTAAATGAAAGTGGGCGGGTATTCTGTTATCTAGCTATTCATGATGCAAACAGTGAAATTGTAAACCCTTTTAAGACTCAACACCCTGAACACCATACCCTGTTCAGAGAGGTGCAAATAAAGGTGTGTTCCCCCGGGGGCAGCAATATACCAGGAGGGAGATACTCCTTTATATGACCTATAGAGGGATGTGCCGCTATACTAGGTATGGTTTTTGACCTCTCTGTCCTAAACAGGGTAAATAATTTCCTGCAAGTCTGTCCTATCTAATGGACCATTTTACAGTTGTGGACTTAGTACCCTAGCCTTCGAGTGAATGTGAGGCTGAAGTGACCTTGTTTTCATGCAAACCTCCTTTGCTTTGTTATGGAAATTGTCCTTGAAAAATACTAGTTAGCATAAGGATAACTTGATTTACATAATAAAGCAGAAAGGTTTGTATCAAAACAAGGTCACCGTCGGCATCGCTTCCATCCATAACTATTAGAAACAAGATATATTGCCTGCACAAACAGGGTAATAAAATTGAGGGTGTTGTCCTAAACAGGGAATGTATTTTAGGATTTTTTTCTCCTGAACAGGGTCAGCGTTTCAAACCCTCAGCGGCTCACATATATCCAAATAAAATTATTGGTCGAGTACCCCCTCCCCCCGGGTGATGTACCAAAATCGCCAGAGGATAGCACGTTTTTAGCGCTACAGATTTATCTTACTTTAGAGGAACCTGAGTACTGATAATCAAACAAAAATTAAGCTACACCCTTTATTATCCAAACACACATGATGTATATCGCACCTTTAAAACAATCTTCTCTGCAACTCCAGGGGGGAATCCCATCTTGTCATCTCGAGAATGCATGACCCGAAAGAAGTCAGTTCTACGAGCTAAAAAACTAAACATGGCATCTAGGAACGGTTCCACTTGTTCACAGTGCTGTAGCATTCCCATGAATATATCATCAAACTTTGCAGCATCCATTTTTTCGTGTTTTCTCGGCCCTCTTTTACAAGGTAGTTTCGCTGCAACCTTCCGCGTTGTTTCGTACACGCAGCCCGCTTTCCTTTAGGTCAGCACCAACAACTCGAATGTTGAAACTACGTCATATATTGTGAACGAAAAATGATCCTTGCACAGCAAGTTTTTTTGCGCAAAAGTTGGACCGAGAGCAACAAATAAAGAAAAAAAGGTTCCTTTTCCCTCCTCTCCACTTCCTCTCCACCCCCTGCATCCCCTGGCAAACGCTTGCTACGCAGGGCATGGCCTCAGTCACTCTTTGCACGTCACGCAACGCTCCTCCACGAGCGATGTGTGACATGACAAGGAACGGATGCACATGGATGGTGAGTACGCTGAGACTAGTCATGAGGAAAATGAACTGTTCAAGAAAAAAACGAATAAAGAAACATACTTGTAAACCGAAACGAAACGAAACAAAAAATATACTAACAATCAAAAGAGGCAAGGAAAAGACGCATCTTGAGTTTTCCCACCAATCTGCACTAAGGATAGGGAACTGAGCATACGCACGTGCACCCCCCCCCCTACACGTTGAAATAGGTACCCCCAGGAACTCTTGTGGATCTAAAGAAAAGTCTGCAAATTATGTAAAACAAAGCTAGAGAAGTAAGGTTTCCAGGGTCTAAGCTGCTGTTGGGTGACATGTTTTGACCCTGAGGTGAAGCGGAATATGCCCAATTATCAAATCGGCTGGCAATCGTCTAGAGAATGTGCATGTTGAGAGAATGCTAGGGAAGTCATGGGAAGTTGGTCTGACAGTCTCGGTCTCCGGGTTGTGGCCTGTGAAATCAAACAGATTGCTATCTAACACTCATTTATATAAAATAACATTCCCTAATATGTACAAGAATTCAAAAGGTGCAAAAGGATTTTTTGAATATTTTGACATGTCGCTAACTTTAGCATATACTTTAAGATAAAGGAGAAAATTAAATGGACTATTTAAACGATTTGTAAACCTGAAGCATCTACTTGATGAGTAAAAAGCTGACTCATTTTGAATCTAAAAATTATGGGGGACAGAAGAAAGTGTTAGCTATTTACTCTTTAAGGCTGCTGTCAAATCTCTAATGGTCGTTTCCGGAATTTAAGTCATTCTTAGATGAAGCTTGTTGGGAGAATATAAATGTTATATTGACATTTTTTATCAGATGTACAAATATACTCTCTCAAATGGATGATCAACTTTCTTCCGCTCTGTATTCTTACGCTTTCATTAAGAATTATTTATGACCCCTAAGTTCCCTGCTGTGTAAGTTCCCCAGCAACGGTCACCAACGATGCAATACAAGAGATAGGTCTGTTTCCACGACCAACTCAATTCCCCGCGTAATTCACGAAAATGATTCTTTTTGTCATGAATTTCAGTTTCCTTTTCACTTTTGCCGTAGCACTAATTCGGGAGCAATTTTTTTTTGCCATGGTTATTTTAGTCTCTTACGGCCAGGGGGGAGATGCTTGACCCCAGTTTCATCTTGGGGGGGTTTTATTCGAGTGGCGAGCAAAGTGACCCGTGAAAGAACCGCGGGGGTACTCCTGGGAATTCTTGGTGGGGGTGTGCCGCATTGTTTCTCCAAATCCTGACCCTATTTCACACCCATGCCATTTTCACACCCGTTTTCAGACCTGGCCTCTGAGAAATTGTCATCATTACTTAGATTAGAACGCCAACAAAAATTTTCTTATTTCTCTTTATTTCTTATTCATTGGGGATTGAAACGATAACGTTCATACACTCCCGTAGTTTCCTAGAAAACCCTACCCGATTCCAGACCAAAACAGGCAAAGTCTATACCCGTTTTCAGACCAAAACGGCACGAAACCATACCCTTGGTGCGACACTTAAGGTATACCCCTATGGCTAATATAAGGGAGTATTTCCCTTCGACCCCCGGGGAAAAAAAAAAGCAAGTATGGAAAGGAGAAACAGATAATAATTTATCTAGAAGAAAGTTTTTAACAGTATAACCGTAAATTTTGTTGATTGGCTATGTTGTGCAAGGCCGGGTGGAAGGCTTCTTAAAAATGTTTAACTCAATCGTTTCTTCTCCTACCGCTGTTTCCTCTTCTCGCTACTCTCTCCCCGGATTTCTCCCCGGAAACGCCTAATGCTCAGGTTACGAGTTTTCCTCCTTTTTATTTTAATTTTTAGCTTACTGGAAAGGTTTCACCAAAAAGCAACAAAAATAGGAGATGTCTGCACATAAAGACTAAACTTTACCCCTTAATACGGCCACAGAATGATGACCCATTGCACATGACCTGTTGCTATCAGCACCAAGGTGCTATATCGTAACAACAAATGATTCATCTGTTTTCTCGCTGTGATTAACAGTTTTTTGCTAATGACGGCACACAGATGAATTTTAAATTGGTTATACGTTATCTTTCGCCTGAAATAGCAAATGACAACTCGATTTAAGGTACACGGTATAATAATCTGTTTGTTTGTTTGGTTGGGTTTTTTATGGTAAATTTAATCACAGAAGGGGGAAGAGACAGCATCCTGGGAACGAGATTTTAGTGCATGAGGACGTTTTGGGGGAATTTTGCCAACGTTTGTCCGGTTCTAACCCTAACTCTTTTACACCCGTAGCCTACTCTGACGAGAGTTATGAAATTTTGACACACCACTTAAAGTGCTTGGTAGCATTTGCTGTGTCCTTTGACAAATCACTGTTACTGAAATTTTGGTTTGTAACTGTTAACTTAAGTAATGTTTGATCTGCTCAGCATACAATATGTCCAAATCTGTAGCAGAAGGGCCTGGACGCTGCCCACGGTGTAGCGACAGAGTTTACGCAGCTAAAGAAGTAGTGTGCGAGGGACAAAAGTGGCACAAAACTTGTTTTGGTTGCAAAGATTGCGGCAAAAAGCTAGACAGCATTACTTGCAACTCTCATGATGGTAAGTCAGACTATAGCTATCCACAAGCAAGGGTGGTGTAGTGGTTAGACCACTCACCTCCTACAAACGCAGTCCGCATCGGGTTCAAAACTCGGCGTCGACGTCATGTTTGAGTGGAATTTGTTGTTGGTTCTCACCAAGTTGCTCCAAGAGGTTTCTCTCCGGGTACTCCGGTTTTCCCCCTCCTCAAAAACCAACATTTCCAATATTGCACTTCGACCAGCATATCAGCTGCCTAGGATTGCTACCGCTAGTCGTTATTTATCATTACTGATTGAGTTTAGTAGTCTGTTGGTTTACTCCTAGTCTATTTTTAAGTCATTTGAAGTAGTCTCGAAGTCCTTTTTCAACCAACAAGTCGATTAGAAAGGGAAATTCTGGCCTGCGACTGAACAAAAACAGCAAGAAAGGGTACTTGTTTTTAGTACAACCTTAATAGACCAAAACTAAATTTTCTTTAATTACCTTTTAGCTGAAATTTACTGTAAAGGATGTTACGGCAAGTACTATGGACCCAAAGGTTACGGTTTTGGGCAAGGCGCAGGAGCCCTTACTCGCACAAAATGAAGACGATGATAATAGCCGCATTACTCTGATATAAAGTATAGCTTGTGTTCGACCTGATTAGAATGGCAAATGAATAAAGTTCTTACAGCAAAGTAGTTACGAGTTCATTTGTAAAGCAAAAGTAGGCTTGCGTTATGGAATGTCCTAGAGGTGTTCCCACCGTAAAGTCAAGCGTTTCTCAGTAGTATGACTAGTAATGCCTTACTCCTGCCCATGTTTTAGAATGACTGACAGTTCACCGAAACACCAAGTGAAATATTATTTCCTGCTGGCATATATTGGTGGGGAAATTTTCGTGACAACCAACCTCACTTGATAAATCTCATGAAGCAGACGATGTTTGTAAACTGACTATAGTCGAAGCTTCATTAGTCACCATAAGGATACAAAAAGTGTCAACATCTGGCGTGGAGCTAGCCGCTTTAGCCGTGAATTCTTTGTTCGATGAATGAAAGAAGCAAAGTAGGATTCTGTCTTCGACTGTACATAACTTTGATCGTGCAATTACTTCTTGCAATATATATATATATATTCTTTATGGAAAAACCTTTTTCGCTTTTAGGTTTTTAAATCAAAAATTAAAATACCCATTTTTAGAAGGGCATCCTGTCCCCTTTTACATGGAAGGAGCTACCCCCCCTCCCCCGCCCCCCCCCTTCATCCCCCGCCGGGGTTACCAAGTTGTTGTTGTTGTTGTGAAGGGAGGAAATTATGTTACTAACGCCTCGTTTCATTCCAAGGAAGATAGAATGTTTGGGATACATTAACGGATATTCTGGATTATTCCATGTATTCCTGTTCATCCAAAATAGGGTAGATCGAACGCACCCTATAAAAATACTACGTGTTATTGTCGTTTCCGGAATTTAAGTCATTCCTAGAATTCGCGATGTCGATACCAGAGTCAAAAGATTAAGCCTGTAGAGAGAATTTCAATAGCCATATTGGAATTTCCAATTGATAAACAATTATATTCTCCGTTTCGCATCATGTATTGGCTTTGTCAAGCGTCCAAGAAATAAGAAATAAAATCAATCAAGGGTCATTTCAGAACCTAGTTGGTCGGATTTTAGTAGACGAGTGTGTGGTTGCTGCGAAAAGTCTGTTTGTCCGTTGGAAAAGTTAAGGTCTTTTGCTCGACGATTTAAGGTGAGTTACTGTTTAATACAATCTATTACATTTCCTTTAGCACTGCATGTACTGCTGTTACGCTATCCCACTGAGTTTAAATTATAAAGTAGACCCCAAGTGGTACTGTACCTGATGGTGCGGCTACATTTACTAAAATGCTCTGTTGTCAAGACCAACGATCCCTTGAACGAAAATATAGTTTTTCTTCCGTAAATCGGACCAACTTCGTGTTTTTTAAAAACATGACATTTATTGGCGGGTGCCGCAGCTAATGAACAGTTCAAACAAACCTCAGCACAACCGAATGTATGAATGACTTTCACCTTTATTAACTATAACGCCCAAAAACAAAACAGACAACTCGTGTTGGGAATATTTCTGTGAAAATTTAAGACACACTGTGTTAGCTTTTCTCTTGGCCTGCGTAGCAGACGTTCCAACTACCTCAAAGAACACCAGGAACACGGAGCGGAAACGCTTTTTCGCACGCTACCTTCTCCTCATTCGCTTTTTTATCTTTCTTTTTTGCGTTTAATGGACAAAGGCGTTATATAAGTTACATATGTAATGATTCCATAATTGTTATTGGTCGGTAAGCTGGTTTGTACAAACTTTGAACGAAACCGGAATTCTGATCATCAGTTTCTGCATCAGCTGTCGCATCTTGAGATTAATGAACAAAGAAGTTATTATATTTTTGGGAAAAAAGCATTCTCTCTTTGCGGATACTTGTTTGGAGCATGTCATAAAACTGGGCAATGAAGTGGATGTCTAAAACATGATCTTAACTAGTAAAACATGGATTTGTTTGTTTGTCTTTTCTCCGATAAGTTCTCTTTAAAAGTTATGAGCTGTTAAGGACGTAATTGTTAGTTTCAATAAATGTACTAAATTAACAGGATTATGGGAACATTATTTGCCCTTGTCACATTATTAAAGGCCAGAAAAAGTTTATCAAAATTCATTATTTATTAATTAAAAATTCTGGACACTCGAAAACATTGTATGATTATTCACTTTGTACATGAATTTAACAGCTTCAAGTTCCCGCTAAGCTAATCTGTGCTGATGTATATAAAAACCATAAAGGGGGACTAATAATTTTTTGTCTGAATTCTTGAAATCCACATCACTTAACAATTTCCATCACTCGTGTGAAAAGCATGATCTTAAATGCGAAAGCAATATCAAAATCCGTTTACGAACCGGCTTTCCATGTTTCCCAATCCAGTCCACGTTTTACAAATACTTTACGCTATCCCTGTATATTATTTGTTCTCTATCACCGTTGGTCCTCCATTAAATCGAGCGAGAAAAATGAGCAAAAGTATTAACTCAATCGAATTTTTTAACTGAAAGGCATATTAGAGACACATAAAATAGCTTTAAAAAATAACGAGAGGTCAGGCTAGGTCACGCTCTCTTTGGACGTAAAATGACATCTTTAAAATTTTAGCCCTAAATAGCAGCCCATCTTCAATCCTTGATCACGTCCTCTGTCAAATTAAAATAAGCGGCCTGCTATCGACCAAGTGGGGCAAAAACAAGAAGTATTATTTATTTGGTAAATAAAAGACGTCACTCACTGTGTTTGTAGCAAAGAACTGCTTCAGTTCTATTCACAACGGAATACTTACTTTGTAACTTGGTTCGTTCACGGGGATGTCGCATACAGACCCCACTTTTAAATCCATCTAATGAATTCACTCTTATCTTAGCTTTAAGACAAATGCTGTCCAAATTTCGTTTATCCTTAAAAGGCCTGTTTACACAGCCCATTTTTTGTGTGATTTCGTGACAATTTTTTTGGCAACCCCAACTTTTTGGTCTTTTCATTGTTTAGTTAAGGCGTGGAGGCAAAAAGACTATTAAAAGGAATCATCCCAAGGCTAGACTTCTTTTTCGCTAAAGTTTGCATGCGAACTTAAGACCATCTTCATATTTAAAAAAAAGATCAGAGATTAACCATCACTTTTTGTATCGATGTTTTCACGCAGCTGCATACAATGCCACTAAAGATAGCAGAAGCGGCACGCTGCCCAAGGTGCAATGATAGAGTTTACGCAGCTGAAGAAATCAGCGGGGCAGGATCAAAGTGGCACAAAAAATGCTTCTCCTGCAAAGATTGCAGGAAAAAGCTAGACAGTACCAACTGCAGCGACAATAACGGTAGGTCAGCGTTCAATTGTCTGGTCACTCGTGACAACAAGAAATTTGATCACATTAATAGCCTGGCCATTTATCCCTATACGAAAAAATAAGACGCGTCTTCTGGACCATTTATACGAGCATGTCTTATCTAAGTCTTCTGTATACTTAAACTTACTTTTAAAGTGTAAGTTTATAATACGGAGATAGCAATTTGATTAGTAAATATAAATTGTGATAGTTTAAAAGGGTCTACTTACACCAGCAGATGTCACGCATTTTTCCAGGAGGTCTATTATCGCCTTCTCCTTACATAATAACAACAAATCTTTTTCCTCCGCGATGGACCGTGTTTCTTTTTACCTTTAACGGCGTGCTCATTGTATTTGAGCGAAGAAAAAAAAGCAGAATAGACAAGGACACGAAAACCCGTTGTAAACAATTTTTCCCCGCCAGTAGCCTGCCAATCCACCGGGCAAGCGATAATTTTCCCGCCAAAAATTAACGCGTGCGTACTATGCGTTCGCGTCTTATCTAAGACGCGAAGGTCATTTCTACGAAGTTTTTCTCGTCTTAGCTAAGACGCGTCTCATCTAAGAACAGGTGTTAAGGGCTGTTCTAAAGTAAGACGCGTCTTGGCTGAGTCGCGTCTTATTTTAGAAGAAATGTGCCGTTTATACGGAAAGTTCGCGTCTTATTTTTCCTCCTATAAATGGCCCTATTGAGATTGGTAGGCTACCCCCAGGCTTAAACTTAAAACTACACATCCTGTAACTTATAGTACTGATGAGGAGAAGTTATGTAACAATCAATTCCTTTTCTCCTTGTTTATCATTTCATTTACCGTAAATGACCTAATAAACGCCCGGGGTTTGATCCAAGTGGTGCCGTTTACTAGGTAGGAGGCGTTTAAATGAGAGGGGCCTTTATTCTCATAACTGTAACAAGCTCGATCCCTCAGGGTCACTGTGTTGCCATCTTAAGTCTATCCTTACTTTGAACTTGACATTGAACAAGATGAAATACATAAATCCTAATGTTAATCGAGCAAGAAACTGAATAAATTGAATGATTTTGTTCCTTTTTGCTAATTCTTCTTATTTTGGAGTAATTCTGATAGGGGTCGTTTATTAGAGAGAGGCGTCTACTAAAATTTTAACAGCATAGAGAAGGCAAATATTCGAGGCGTTTATTTGGAAGTAGGCGCTTATAAGGTCATTTACGGTATTCTCAAGACCTTTGTTATTTTACGGAGAAATAAGGGTTAGGGTTAAGGGTGGTACCCCTTTTGTGCTTTGTAGGCTGAAAGTAAATTATTTTCATCTAACTTTAGGTGAAATCTACTGCAAAACATGTCACGGCAAGAACTTTGGACCTAAAGGTTATGGTTTTGGAGGAGGAGCAGGAGCTCTTACTCGCACACAGTGAAGATGATAATATCACTTCCATATAACAGTTTTTGTTTGTCCTGTCTAAAACGAAAAAATAAAGAAACCAAAACAAAGCGTTTCTGACATTTTCTATTTCGCTTTGGAAATGATGTATGATGGGCAAAAGATAGGTGATGTGTGTATGAGGATGACTTTGCATCCATTTCAGAAGGCCAAGTGAAAACAGTTGGGTATGTTTTGAGCAATACTTTTAAGCACCTAAAATAGCAGGCTGCCCCAGCCAACAGGTTGCCTTAACCCTTGTAGACTGCGAGCAGTCTCTCTTTTACTTCAGATTTAGTGAGAGCTATGCGCGCACGCGAAAGCGGCGAAGTTCGCGACGAGATGCACAAAACGAGGCAGGCAGCCTGTGCCTCTCCCGTCTCACGCCATCAGTCACAAAAATAAAACAACTAATGGTGTACACTGGGACTGAAACCTTATATTTATTTACATTTAACCCTTTAAGTGCCAAGAGTGACCAACATCAATTTTCTCCTAACAATATCCATACATTGTCAAGAAATAAAGTTATGAGAATTAATAAAATGATCACCAAAGACAAAATGCCATGATCTTTTATCAAATTCTCTCAACTAATTCTTAAAGGAAATGTATAGAGATCAGTTTAGAGTATTTGCACGTGGATATTGGGGCTTAAAAGGTTAATCGACATCTGAAAAGTTTGGTGTATGAATTCACCATCTTCTAGAGGTCTAGATGACAAGATAATTGAGTTAGTAGATGATGCACTTCTTCATACTGTCACTTAACATAAATCATAGAAAATTAACTGCACTTGATAGCTGATTCTAAGAATTTATTTTCCTACAAAACTAATCTGAAAAAAATTTAAAGGTCACAAAATTTACTATGAAACTAACAAAACCTTGAACACTGGAAATACATCTGGAATGTTATTGTGTTCCAACGAAAAAACCAATTAGACACAGGAAAACAAAAGTGAAAGCAAACATTAATATTTAGTTTGTGGTTTTGTCGCTTGCTTGCATGTCTTGATCTTTGCCGGCTGTATTTGGTCATGACAAAAAATAAACATTCCTGAAATATTTCAGGTGTTCACAGTTTTGTGAGTTAATTTTGATGGTAACTTACAATTTTGGCAACCACAGAATTAACTTGGAATCACTTCCAGTCTTTATAAGAGTGAAAGTTCTTTATATGCATACTTGATTGAAAACTACAGCAACTATACTTTTAAGCACAGCACAGGGACCCCATAGCTGTATGACAGTGGTAAGGTTAGAGAGCTGAGTTTGTTACTTTCCAGTTAAGTGAAGAGCACCAGCTCCAGCTCCATACCCATATCCTTTGGGCCCAAAAAGTTTTCCATAGCAACCTTTACAGTATACTTCTCCTGAAAACCATGAGCAAACAAAAGTTACGTTAGAGTCTACCTCTCTGCTGGAATTTTAAAATGCAAATCATTTTTTCCTATCCAAAGGTTTTTGTGGGGTATTCATGTAGATACAATATTGGCCATAATGAAGTGCATGCAAAAGCTGAAAGATCTGTCCCCACCTGTCACAAGAATTCAAGCCTGCACTCACTTTTCTCTGCTAATTTCCCGCCCCCCAACCAAAAGAGGTTTTGTACCCACTGAGAAAGAGAGGGTATAACAACATCATGCAGGATGTTGAATTCTCATAAATAGTGATCTACGGATCTAAATTATCGTACTAAGCTTTAACTGAAACTTCACCAACAATGGAGAATTGTGCTGTAATGTCCCATGCTATCTGTTTCACAAAAGCCTTCATTATTTTGTTGATCATTATGCAGCATCTTGATTGTCACATTTCCTGGTGCATTCACATACAAAACTTTCACACCATCACTGGGCAAATCATCAACATTCAATCAACGTAACATGGTATCTTCACCCTTCTCAAGCCAGTGGACACCATCTCATCTCCAATGATTGAAAGAGATTTTCTTGATTTGCCTTAAAAGACGTCATGGAACTTTAAATTGAGAATGACTTTACTACCAGTGAATTGACACTGACGGGTTTTAATTTTTGCCATGCTGGGCTAGCTTTGTCCGGGATGTCAAGGGAATGTTTGATTCTCATAACTGGGGTGAGACTGGCTGTATTCACAGCTTTACTATACTGGTATAACTGGCCCAAGTCATGAATTTTCTGACTGCGTGGATTATGTATGGGTTTGTTCTTTCACAAAAAGAAGCCCCTAGAGGCATTAAAAGTAGTAAGATAAAATTGACCAAAATTACATGAATTTTTAAGGATATATTGTGGGTAGGGGGTGTGGGGTGCATTGGGGGATGGGGTGGATGCAAGGAACTTCATTGATTGATGCATCATATCTACAATTAAAACACAACATTATAAACTGCATTGTTGAAAACTGCTATGACAAAATGGTAACCTCAAGGTAAATTATTTGTGTCATGTGGAATGCCTCCCTATTTAAGAAAAAAGGTAGTCAAATAAGACTATGCGGTACAGCTGTAAAGAACAACCAAACTGCTTCATCAACACAATAGCCATGCGTTCAATCAAGATGAGCAACTGAAGTTATTGAATTCCTCTTTAGCAACACTTCGTATGGCAGCTTAGGCTGATAACCTACCTCCGTTGTCATTATAAGAGCCACTACTCAGAGACTTGTTACAAGAAGGCTTGTTGTTGCAGGTAAAACAACGCTTGTGAAATTTCATGTTTCCTGCTCTTACTTCCTCAGCTGCATACACTCTGTCCTTGCAACGTGGACACCTTTCTTAATATTAAAAAATGAAAATTATAAGTTATGAATTCAACATAAGACTGCTAATTACATGAAGTTCACTCAACCATACACCTCAACATTTTTCACTTCTACCTCTTTCATGGATAATAATAATTATACTTTTCCATTGTGTGGAAATTAAGAAAAACAAGACTTGAAACTTGAACTTGGATAAGAAAGGTCTATAACTTTTACGCCAGACGATGTACAACCTGCCCAAATCATGGCAAAACATGAAGTCAAGACAAAAAAATGGTACTTCCAACACGCCGATTCAGGAAAAAACCGGAAGTTGCATGGAAGCAAGGCCTAAGGGCCCTTCGGCCTTTGCGGCGCCTGGCGGTAAAAACAAATGGTTGTCGAAAAAAGTTTCAAGACCTAGCAAGTAAATATTGAAGTGGTCAAATTGACACCCGAAAAAAGAACGGGAGCTTAAAAATTTGCAGGTTAAAAGTAAACCAGGTAAAATTCTAATAAAAAGGTACAAGAATAAACCAAGGCGGTAACAACAAAGTCCTTAACGAAAGTTAAGTTTAAGGTGAAATAATTTTATAACTTTACAAACCGACCGATAGATACAATAAACTCATTTGTTTCCTGGCCCACAGAGACAAGAACCTTAATGTTATGTCTGAAAATAGAGATAAAGGTTATGATCCTGATCCAGGCAAAGGTTTCACCAGGCCCATCTCCAGCGACACTGACCGATACCCTAGGTCACCGTAAGGATTGCGGCAAGATTACTGAAAAAAATCTCTCTCTACGTATGCCATTGGGGAAATGTTGTTCATGATCTTGATCATGAAGTATCTAAACCTGTTGATAACGACGTTGTTTACATTAGGCCATGGCTTTTTGTTGTTCCTCCTGCAAAAAATATTGTGTCAAATATAAAGCACGTATGATTGTTAACCCAGTTGGAAAACCCAAACTTATGACTAGCCGCGTTTGATTTATTATGTCCTGCTGGTAGGAGCGGCTGCAGTTGCCTTGCAGTTGTCTTGGCAGTTAAATGGAAATTGGATGAAATGTCATGGAACAATGAAATGAAAAATCAATGCGAGAATAACGTTCCCAGCACTTCTTAGTCAAGAAAATGAGGAATTCCAGGTAGATGAATAGTGGAACACTAGCGGTCAATCATGGCCTTAAAGCTTATCAAGCCAAGGCACCATGCATACACACCAGGTCATAAGAGGAGGGGCCTGTTGTCTACTTTTTATGATCCCTGTCGTTTGAAATCGAGAAAGTTAGACCCCTATACTGTTGAAAAACTCAAAGTGAACATTGTCAGAGTTAACAAAGGTCTTCCCTTTTAAAAGATGAATCCCAATGCTTCTGATATAGTACTTGTGAATTCCCTAATTGAAATTGCTGCTAAAGGATTTGCTCTACAAATGCAAATGAAAGATTTTACTCACATCTGTTTCTTCTACAGACAATAGTACATATACTTCTGTTCTCCAACCAAATCCATGTTTAACAAATACAACAGTGTCTCAAGTCAATTTAACAATCACAGCCAACAATACACACAGACAATAGTTGATGTGACCACAAATCAATTTCACAATCTCATGTGTCAAAAAAATACAATCTTGTCTCACTGAGCCAATTAAACACAGTCAACAATACAGATACTGTAATTTACCTGAAATTGAACACAAATCATTTAATAGATCAGCCCTTCAGCATGGATCAACAAGGAATTGTTTCAGCAGCAGGTACCTTTTATTATGGCATCATGGAAGGAGAAATTAGTACACCTTTAGAACTTTTTTGACCAATACATTTTACCAGAATTAGCATACCCCATGCTCAAGTTTGGCCTGTGGTATGACCTCAAGTTAAGATAGTTTTTGTAAATCAAGCAAGTCGGCTTGGGTTATTGTTAGCACAGGTCTTTTATTCACTCTGATCCTACATGTGAAGAATCCCTTATTATAATCTGTCATGTCACAACCTGTAACAAATTTAATGTTTGCACACTAACTATTAATTGTGTGTGATATTATACCTTATATCCATTTCCTTCCCCCAAAAGTAAAAATTTGAAAAATATTTTTTCCAGGTGTATTTATTTTTTGGAAAACGTCGTCAGTATTCACTTAAGTGACATCTCTCACACTGCTATAATACGTTAGACGGGAAACGCTTGGTTCTATAATACTTCCAAAACGCTAAACGTAAAGTAAAGTTTCATAATCTCGAAACCCAGTGTAGCCTTCGCGCAGACGAAATTAAACTCTGGTTAACTCCGTCTGCGAAACAGCGCCGAAATCCTTGTTCTGGACTTCCAGCTGTGTACCCAGATTTGAGTACGCGCCATGATTGGCCAGTTAAAAAAGACCTTTGTTTTGTTTGTCGTGATCGCCAATCAGGTTGAAGGGGAATTCGAAACGCACTTCCGGTAATTCGTTGAGTCCGTTGGGGGTCCAGAACAAGGATCTCTGCGCTGCTTCGCAGACGGTACTAATCAGAGTTTAGTTATCATCTGCACGCAGGCTAAACCCAGTGTAGACTAAATGAATATCATCTGGGTTTTACAAAATGCGTTCCAGACCAAACGTGAAAACCTACTCCTTCTTCCTTAATCCTTTTTTAAGGATTTCCACTTCTAAACGTTTCGCTTCAACAATTTGTTCGATCGCTGGAAGACCTATAAATTAACAGCTTGTACTTTATCACTCAATGACGATTCTTCTGACCTTTTTTTTTCTCATGGGATACTTTTCCTTATGTCCCCGTTATTCTTTAACATTTGATTTGGCTGAAGACGAAGCAGAAACAGGAACGGATGCCTCCTATTTTTAAGTCGACCTTTCTATGTCCGGCGAGACTAATTCTGTAGTCGTTTGGTACGAAATGCTCTAAACAACAATATTCCTTTTTCCCATCTTCTACTTGATTCAAGATCTGATGAAACTTTTTTGGTATATAGGTGAGATCCGGCCGATTTTCACTTCGATTATTTTATGTGGGTGCAGCAGTTGTCTTATTTTGCTTACAAGAATCTTTTTGTTACGTCGTCATTTTAAGTGTGAGGGCCCTTAGGCCTCGCTTCCATGCAACTTCCGGTTTTTTCCTGAATCGGCGTATTTACTTAACATAAGATACACTTGGGTGTCCTGTGAGGTGAATGGCAACAGTTAATTATGTATTCACAAAAAGAAAACGAAGTTTTTACGTCACGAACACACGTTATTTATGTTTGTAAAATAAACAGTGAAAGACAGGCATCAAAAAGGCCCATAAATACGCCTTGTAATTTATTTTAACGGAAAAACCCACAAAACATCGTCAGGATTCAATGTTCGACACTTGAGGACTAAAAATGTAATTGGCTGTTTAGAGGCTTATTAAAATGATAGATAAAAAGATACATTCCTAAATCTGTATGATACGTTCATTCTTGGTCGGGACAGTTTTCACACAGGCACAAAATTCCATTCAATTTAGCTAGCTTGCATATAAATACGCAAGCTTACCCACACTGTCAACACTACATTCTTTCTTATCCTCGAGATATGAAATCGCATATCGTTATCGGCTGTCGAACAGACGACAATATCTTTGCGGTTTCATTTTATTACAGTCCCTCGATCTACTCAAAAAAACAATTTCAGGTTATCGTGTCAAATGGGTTAACCTTATTAATAGCTTTTCGAACCAACGTTTAACAAATTGGCGAAAACTTTGCAATGGCGTGGGCGTTGGTTTCTCACCAAACAGCGCCTCGATCGTCAAATTATAGTGTCTAGCCATCAATAACGCGCCAAAGCTGGCGATTTTCAAATGTATACTACGCTGGATCAAACAACTTACCAGCCATGGTGCAAGTGGAATTTAATCCTCTTGAATGAAAGAACTGTTTACTCGTCTGCAAACACAACAGTTCCTCTTAGAAATTGCGTGCAAAAAATGTCAGTCACGTGTCTTGCTTCTATCGCGATCACGCAAAAAGCGTGACAGGCCGTTTTTTGTAGCTCTGTAACTGTCTAAGGTCCGAAAGGGGTGGAAAAGGGGAAATGAGAAAGCAAATGGGAAGACAGTAACACCCTGACCCTCTCTCTTCTCGCTCTCAACTTTGTCCTTTAACTGATCTCCTTTCCTCTAACCAACCCACCCATCAAGCTGAAAAGGGGTACCATTTACAGGCTTGAGGCAGCTCAGGAGGTTTGCTCAAGATCCAAGAGTGGGAAATGAATCAGTCTGTGTTACAGAAGTTATTTAACCTCGATCAGTTTTGTCTGGTCTGTGTCGCAGGCTATAATCACTGAGAAATGGTCAGAAAAGAATCTGTGTAATAAGATGTAGACCATGTGAATGGTACGTTGGTGTTTCATTTAGTTGTCTGGTCTGACCCCTGGAATATAAAGCCCGCTAAAAAATATACTTTGTTAACACTTCAAATTAAATATTTTAAGCTACTGAGAAATATTCACTGAACCTGTTGAGAAATTATGATGAATGAAATAAAGAGATTTGTCCGAAACACTCCGAAGATCTTCTCGAATAAGACGCTTTCTGGTACCATTCTCGTGGGGACTACATCGGCATACCGTACAAATCCCATTTCTCAGAGTAAGTGACCCCTACGTCTTCGAATTTTCGGGGCGTAGCTACCTTTACGCTATGTGACGAGAAGGAATGTCTGAAATTCAGGCTAACCTGAAAATTGTCAAAGATCAAAGATCAATAACAAAAACAATAAAAGCTAAAAGGAATGAGAATAAACTGTGCGCACCTTAGCCTTGCCACGCCACAACATTATAGCATAAGCTTGGGCTGCCTGTGTCCAAATCACGTTCGAGGCTTGGGTACAAGTTTCCAGGTCTCCAATCATCTCAGCAGTCTTCACAGACACCGTTTGGAAATCACCTTGTCTCGGATCCTTCTCTTCCGATTGATGTACTGTACTTTATTTTCAGCGTTTATAGCTCTTGAACTTGACATCTGCCATCATTTTGATTTTCCTCAGTCTGCTAATGGTATCAGCTTTACATTAAGCACAAACCCTACAATCGATCGTTGATTAGGTAAGCTTTATAGAAGTCATTGAGAAGTTCATTTCTACCGTTCATGATGTTTAAATAGTGTCTTTTATTTTTCACTAAGCTGCAGGCTTCAAAGAAGTTAACAGCAAAATAACATGCAGCCCTTTCACCTCTGTTGTCATTTTGTTTTATGTGAAAAGAGTTAGGAAGTATTACATAACCCCCTCCCCCCGGGGGGATTCTATGACTCTTTGGGTTGGAGTGTACCACTGTGATGCTGGGTCTTGTTACACGAAAGCTATTATCAGACAAAACGTCAGCATCTGGCAAAACATAGAGTTTGACTGAGCTGAACATCAGACTTACATGTAATGCACCTATCATCAGCTTCCCCCAGCGGTATGACCCCAGACCAACCAGAGGAATTGAATTGTAAAATGGGGATATTTAAGGTGACAATTTCCTCCAAGAGGAGAAGAATTTAACAAGACAAAGTCCCCTGGTTCAAGTGCTTCTATGAAAAATCCTGCCGAAGACCCCGGGGGGGGGACTCCCATATGAAACAGACGGGGATGCTTGTCGTCTCGCTTAGGGGTGTAAATTTTGGATTTTGGTCTCGCTTAGGGTGTTCCGGGCAAAGCGCCATTATTTAAAGCCACCAAGGTCTCGTTTAGGGTTCTGCGAAGAAACACAGAATTACGCTAAGAGAAACAGAACTCAATTTTCTTTTTAACTTTGTTTATTCTGTCTTTATATCATTAAAACTCATTGCATGTCGTATTTGTGTGTTTTTAAGTGGTCTCTTTTAGGGGTCAAAATTTGCTCAAGCCACGCCCAGATTGGTCTCCTTTAGGGGTCACAAAAAGCTTGAGCCACGCCCAGATGGTCTCCTTTAGGGGTTAAATTCAAAATTTCCGACGAGCATCCCCGTCTGTTTCATATGGAAGTCCACCCCCCGGGCCGAAGACCACAAAAGCAATATGGAAAGAATTTCATTTTGGGTTTAAAGCTGTGAAAAAAATGGGGAAAATACTTTGTCGCCCTGCCGTAAAAATGCACTTCCACACTCATGCTATTAAAGTTAATTACTATTTGTTAATTCTCAGTTAAACAATATGACCAAACTCATATGTAGTTACAGTATCTTAACCGCTAATTATATGTAGGTCTGTGAAAGGGGTGCATAAGAATGTGATCCCTGGTACAAGCACTGAGTAAGTAGGTGGGGAATTGAATACTTAGATAAAAAGTTCTTTTGGTTTTATTTCCTTTTTACTTCCTATTAAAGAATCCAGGGATCATGCTTACAATAGCTGGGGTATCCCTGGCCCCCGGTCATCCCTCAGTAACAGCCCTGCCCTCTTGCGGACCCAACTTCCTATCCCCACCTTCCCCTTCAAGCACCTGTTTCACAGACTGGAGTTGTCTTGACTCAAATTTTTGCTTTAATCATGATCTTTTGTAGCTATTAGAGTTATACCATGAGCCTTTTACTGCTGAACAGATACCACGTGAAAAGATGGCTACCATTATCACTTCGTTTACTAAATGGCAAGTATCTGCTAATGAATGATATACCTCTTCCATCCACTTGATTTTACATGTATATGCTATGTTTTTTATATTGTATAAAGTCTGATTGAAACTGAAACATATCCTGCATGGTTAAGGCATGGTTGCGGAGTGGTTAATGTGTGGGACTTCAGATCTGTGGGTCGTGGTATGAGTCAATATCTTTCATGACATAAGAAATATTGCTCTCCTCAATTCACTTTAATTTGTCTGTCTTCACTAAGGTTTACAAATGAGAGCCAGAAACACTCTGCCGGGAAAACTACTGTGATTATACACAGGTCTACGTAGTATTGAGTGGGATAAGGGGGTTTACGGTGTTACGGTATTGAGTTTTTTTTCAAGCGGCTTTTCGGTAATTTTGATTTTAATATGCAGTATTGTGCTATCATCTAACCCTGCGGTATGTGGTTTCTTATCCTTCTGGCTAATGGTATTTGGTAAAGGAAGATCCTTCACTGTAAGTTCTCCTGTCTAAAGCATGTCAATATTTGGAAAACTTTACTTTACACTCAATGGTAAATGATTACACAATTTGTGACAGTTGTTCTACAATAGAATTGTTGCTGCATCCAATGGCCGGGCTTTTCAATCGTTGCACTGAAAAAGTCAAGGTCTTCTCACATTTTCTCGCAATTATGGCTGAGGTTGATTTGTGGTGCATACATGCTTGAGATAAACAAGAACGCTCGATGGTTACAACTTTAAGTAAGAGTGACCAGTCATAAATGCAGTATCAGTATTTCGTCTATTTTCGACACGGTATTTCAGTATTTGCCAATTTTTCTTACGGTATTGGGTACGCCCCAATGTCTCCCTCAGTATCTTATCTAGGGGGGAAGCAGAAATACTCCTAGATACTTCTTGTGACAGTAACTGGGGAAAGTTTTGCCTGTGTGAGCTTCATGGCTCTTACTGCACCTTTACCTTCTTTTTGCATCTTCCATGTAATCTGGATGATGTATATGGCCTAATATTACTCATACAATAATATTATTTTGTCTTCAGCTTATCAAGCAAATTTTCATCAAAAATGTCTCTTATCCACCCTGAAGTTTTCTTCAAGCCATGACTATGTGATATGTGGAGCAGGATCAGCGGGTTGTGTTCTGGCAAACCGTCTCTCAGCAAATCCTGACAACAAAGTTGTTCTTCTGGAGGCAGGTCCTAAAGATTGGACGTGGAAAATCCACATGCCTGCTGCACTTATCTATAATCTTTGTGACAAAAAGTACAACTGGTATTATGAAACAGAACCACAAGAGTTTATGGACAACAGGTAATAAGATGATGTTCATGTACTCTACTTATTAAAAAAAAGCATACCACACCTCTGGCATTGAACAGCTTATCACCTTAGCCACTATTATTGTGATAACCGTTGACTAGTGAACTAGTGATACCTGCAAACAACAGCATGATATGCTTTCTAACAGCAGTGACCTTTGTTAATTTTTGAAATATAACCCTATTCTGACCAACTTTGAATCTGTTTTGTACATTTACCGGGGGGCATTTACCTTAATTATCGTTTTTACTCCAAGATCTCATCATGGTGAGATTATTGTCACTCTAACTTTTAAATCATGCTGTGAATGAAATCCAAAGGTTTTACCATTCAAACAAAACCTCTTTAGCAGAACTTTTACTTAGAATTTTACAAAAATGAAATTTGAATGTTCTTGTGATTTTTGTCTCCTTTGCCCACCATCAGGAGTGAAAGAATAAACCAATAATTTAAATCGTTTATTTATTTTACAGGCGCATCTACCAACCTCGGGGTAGGGTGTGGGGTGGATCGTCATCTTTGAATGCTATGGTGTACATCAGAGGTCATGCTTATGATTATGATAACTGGGAGAAGCAAGGCGCTAAAGGCTGGTCATATGCTGACTGTTTGCCATATTTTAGAAAGTCACAGACTCATGAATTAGGTAAGCAATTCCCTGTGAGGCCAAAACCTTGAAAAAATGTAATGTATTTAAACATTTAAACCCGAATACTGGAACAAAACCTCTCCCCACCATGATTTTAGAGTCATCACTGTTTTATGTACAAAGTAATTATTGTCATAAAATTCTACCAATATTGAGCTTAAGTAAGTTATTTAAAGTTATAGAGCGGTTTTCACTTGACTGTCGAAAGTAATTGAGGAATTGGTTTGGTTTTGGTTTTACTACGCCCTTTGGTTGGCTAGTGTATTTACTTTGGTTTTGGTTTTACGACAGTCAAGTGAAAACCGCTCTTTTTTATTGTCATTATCATTGTCATTTATTTTGTTCATTTTTTGATTTGGCAAACAACTGTTAAACCATGCCTGCAAACTGGCACCTATACTATCTGAGAACTTCACATTTGGCCATTCTAGTCACAGAACCTTACTGAGGCAGGGACTGAAATACAATGATATTTGTGTCCTTCAAATTATTTTTAGGCCCAGATGATTACAGAGGAGGTGATGGTCCCCTGCACGTATCACGTGGCAAATCAGACAATCCTCTTTATCAAGCATTTATTGATGCTGGCACTCAAGCTGGTTATCCTTTCACAAATGACATGAATGGCTATCAACAGGAAGGATTTGGATGGAAGGACATGACAGTCCATAAAGGTGTACGTTGGAGTTCAGCAAATGCTTACCTTCGACCTGCACTCAAGCGCAGAAACCTACGAACAGAGACTGGTGCTATGATTACAAAAATAGTCTTTGAGAATAATCGAGCTGTAGGTGTTGAGTTCCATCTAGGAAGACAGCTGAAACGTGTAAGGGCAAGAAAAGGAGTTATTTTAACATCTGGCGCCATTAATTCACCTCAGTTACTGAACTTGTCTGGTATTGGAAATGCAGATGATTTGAAGAAGCTCGGTATCCCTGTGAGGGTTCATCTTCCTGGTGTTGGAGAGAACTTCCAGGATCATTTAGAGATGTATTTTCACCAGGTACAGTACAGTACGAGGATTTCCTTTTTATCAGTATAAAATTGACAGTGAAAGAAAAAAAGGATGCCTTTATGTGAGAAACATATTTTTAGTCAAGTGGAGACGTGTGTGGCCAAATGGTTAACACCTTAAATTCTGGATCTGTAGGTCCAGGTTTCAAGCCTTGCCCATCGCGTTGTTTCCTTAGACAAGGAACTTTTCTCCACTTTGTCTTTCTTCACCCAGGTGTATAAATGGGTACTGGCGACATACAGCTGGGGGTAACCCTGCGATGGACTAGCATCCCTCCTAGGCTTGCTTCATGCTACAGAAACTGGTCTAAGCCTCGGCCGTGTGAGCCTTTACCTTTTTACCTAATTGTAGCCTTTCTATAATGGGTGACAAAATTGAGATGGAGAACAAAACAATCCGCACCCCTCCTCCTTTCCCTCAATCCATTCAAAGTTAGGGTGTTTGTTGTTTCCTACAGATACCTTGAACAGCGGCACAACATTGCATGGAGAGGATAAGTGTAGAAAAACATTAGAAAGGCCCTTTAGGCAAATTGTCTTAACTAATTTTGTCACCAATATTTGTAGTTTAGAGAATCATTTTGTGTTATAATCATAACTGGAGTATAGGCTCATTCAAGCAATACTTTCTAAGCCCCAGTTATGTGTTCATAGGCAAAAAAAAGTTGCTTTACCCTGGGTTAGACTTAACCAACTTTGAAGGCCCTAAACTGCTATTTGATAGTATAGCCATGCATGTCCTTACAAATGTTACAAATAATTATATTTGTTAGGAGTGTACTCAGCCCTTAAGTTTGTACCGATCTCTCAAATGGTGGAACATGGCTCCTATTGGCATCAGGTGGTTTCTTACTCGATCTGGGCCCTGTGCAACTGCTCATCTTGAGGCTGGTGGATTTATTCGTAGCAGAGAAGGCATACCTTATCCAAACATTCAGTACCACTTCTTACCTTCAGCTTTTAAGGATCATGGAAGAGTAACTGTAGAAAAAGAAGCTTTTCAGGTGAGTGTTTATCCCAGCCAATATCACTGCAATTAACGATCTTGAAGTTCTTTCTGAATGGGTGACAACCACTGAAAACATGGTCTAGAGATGGGGAGCCACCCATGTGGTAGAAACATGAAAATGGAACGACTTATCTTATTCCCTCAGAAAGAAGCTCAGTTGTGCCAACATAATTTATAGAATGCTTCTTTGCTTCCCAAAGTAGCAAGCTTTCTTATTTTAATAACTAATAATACTTAGAAGCAAATAATTCAAATACAACATAACAGGATTAAAAACCACAACTGGCAGGAGGCAACCAGTTAGCTATTTACAAGTGTAGCTGAGGATTTGAACTTGGGACGATCAAGAACAACACAAGTCGCCAGAGCAGGACTCAAACGCAGGACCGCCGGGTTGCAAGTCCGATGCGCTGACCACTTGGTCACACTGCCTCCTTCAAAAGGTAGTGAGCCCCAAAGGTGGCTAATTCCAAAGGATCAAATGATTTTGCTAATATAGTTACCAAGTTTCTCTGTGCCAATTTATGATATATTATACAGTGCAGGAGGAAATTAATTACATCATTAAATTGCACTGTGCAATATTAAGAAATTAAGATTAATTAATCTAACTTGTACATAGATCGGAATGATTAACTTCTTTTTTCTCGTTTAAAGGTTCATGTTGGTTCTCTGCGAGCCACAAGTCGTGGGTATATAAAACTCAAGTCTGTAAACCCTTACGATCATCCAATTATCAATCCCAATTACCTGTCCACTGAGGAAGACAGAAAAGAATTAAGAGAAAGCATTCGGCTTACAAGGGAAATATTCAACCAAAAGGCTTTTGATCCATTCCGTGGAAAAGAACTTCAGCCAGGTAAGAGTCAAGGATAAAAGTTGTCATTTGTAGTGTGGAAATGCATGAATTAATTAGACAAAGTAACCAATTGAGAGGATTATTATTCCACTGAATAATTTGTTGTAATATTGCTCCTTGTGTGAGTAAATTTGGGATTAAAGAAATGATTATGAGTCTAGTTCATTTCAGTCTTCTTGGACGGAGTTGGGTCTTGTGCTAGTTATGGCCCTTCCTACATGTACAATAAGGGTGTATACTGCACATCATGCAGAGCTTTAAAACCAGTAGAAATTCCAGTGGTAGCTGGAGCCCTTGACTTAGTCATAAGTTAATGAAAAAAACTACCTCATTTCTTTCTATGATACCTTATTTTAAACGTTATTTTATTATTTCAAGGTGATCATGTTCAAAGTGATGATGAGATTGATGCATGGGTGAGACAGAATGCTGATACTGCTTATCATCCATCATGCACCTGTAAGATGGGTGCCGAAGATGATCCAATGGCTGTTGTTAATAACAAATTAGAAGTCTTAGGAGTGGAAAATCTGAGGGTTGTGGATGCGTCAATAATGCCAACCATCGCTAGTGGAAATCTCAATGGGCCAACTATTATGATTGCAGAGAAGGCAGCAGATATCATCTTAGGAAATCCCCCACTTCCTAAATCAACTGCTCCGGTGTACAAGACACCTGAAAAAGGCCAGAGATAAATAATAACCTGCTTACTGAATGACATCTACAATTCTACAGTCACTATCTGCCATCAAAGAGGATTTTGAAAGTTTTTTGTATTTGATTACATTTTGATCCTATTTGGTATGAAGGAAAAATTAACACAAATGTGTACACACAGCGAGATGCAAACTGAAACAGCACATGTTGATGATGAGGCAATAAAAACGACATCAGGGACTGGGATTTGCTTATTCCAGGCCACATCTGAGCAAAGCCTCAGATTTGTCAATGAAATGCATGGTCAAGAAGATCTGAGAAAATGTAGTCTAGAATTTATGAAAAAAAAAGGAATTGAAAATGAAAATCAAAAACGTTTTCTCAGGGGAAAAGGAATATTGGTGAGGTCTGTTTCCCAAGTCTTTAAGATGTAAAGAATGCTTACCAAGTTGAATTAACATTAAAGAAGAGTCAATACATTTATCCTTTGAGGAATTTTAGTAGATTTTCCTGGTGCAGTGTAGTTTAGTGGTAAGGGAGAGAGATTTTTACCAGCATTTCTGTGCTCAGACCTATCCAAAGGGGATGGGCACAGATGGACGCTATGGTTCTATCATGTCTACCCATTGAAAACATTCCAATTACTAGTCAGGGGTGCGTCCCACAAAGACGGAGAAAGTTAATGTACCATGGGATGAAACTTCTTCCTTCTTCCTTACCAAAAAAAACTAGAAAGTCAGGCCACAGTTGTTCCAAGGGTAGACAATGCTATCCACCGGGTAAATCTCTATATTGGTTTCCCTCATACTTGTCTGATGGATGATGATTTACCAGGTGCAAAGTGCTATCCAATGTTCGAACAGAAACAGGGCCAGATCATTTGCAGATGTCAGAGCAAGGGTAGCACTAAATCATGTCTCTTTTTAAAATCTCTGAAGTCTGGTTCTGCATCATTCTGCATTGCAAATTTCTTTCTTTTAAGTAAAAAAATAGAAACACTTTCAATAATACTTTAAAAATATTCAGTGTCTTAAAAATGGTTATTATTCATCTGTCAGCAGCAGTTAAAGAGTGACTTCTTAAAATATGCACTTCTAGTTGAATGCATTTGGAAAATCTGAAAATGGAAAAAACCTTGGGGGGGGGGGACATTGGAACAAATGAACGCTCATTAGTACTTTTTAACCTTTCTCATAAAGTGAATGGTCCCTAAGGCATAATGTGTTTTTATTAAAACAATGCGTTATAAAAAATGGCTTTTCAAGCCACCAATAATATGATGTGTAGGAAATATTATAATCTACTCAACACTATACAAAGTTCATTTCTTTGAAACTGGATCAACAAAATCCCTATTTTCAAATCTAGTACAATAAATAGTTTATAATTTCAGCCCAAATGACAATATCTTGTAAGTAAAATAATTTTTGCATGCATATTATCTAAAAAGCCACATTTTTGCTTTCTTCATCTAAACTTTGATTAAACTAGAGACAAAAATTAATTTGTGCTTTATGTACAAATATTATTGTAAGCATCAATTTAGAAATAGATTTTAAAACAAAAATCACCAATATAAAAGAAACTTGACATTTTGATGGCTTCATGTCATCATTATCAAATGAAAGAAATTAGGATTCCGTTACAGTAAAAACCCGCGTATAAGAACCTAGGTTTTTCCAAGTTAGCCTAAACAGGTTCTTATATAAATGGTATTTAGTGTAAAATTAGGCTAAGTAGGTTCTTAATTAGGTTCTTAACTTTTGTTCAAGAAATAAAGCTGAATTTTTAAATGATCTGGTGTTTAATGTCCAAAAACAGTATTCTTGGAGGCTTCGTTAAGCAAAATACTATACTATTTTAATCTGATTCTGTTACAATCAAACCTATGGTAAAGTTTTATGTAACCATGCTATAGTGTTTACAGTATTATTGCATACAGACTGTGTTATATATATACATTTTTTTTTTGAGAAAATTTCTTAATTCTATATTTTTTTTTTTGAAAATAAGAACCTGTTTTAGGATTTTAGCCTAAAATGGTTCTTATGTGAAGGGTGCTTAAAAATGAAATTTTAGCCTAACAGGTTCTTAAATGTTAGGTTCTTATACGCGGGTTTTTACTGTATATGGATAGAAAAAGAAAGTGCAAAAACTGCATTTAAATTAAAGCGTTAAAATGGAAAAATGACAATTAAATAAAGGGTTTTGCATTGATGGAGTCTGCTTGAGTGTTGAGTGTAGGCACAAATCATGTTAATTTCTTAACTCTTGATATGATGACATGAAGCCATCAAATGTTAATGTTGAAGCAATTTTTCAAATTGCTGCATCATAAATACTCTCAGTATGTACAAGACTAGGTAACATGAGCCACACAAACAGAAGTGCAAGTACACTGTTCATACATAATCTAGTGCACAAGCAAGCATAGAGAGAAATGCACAAACAATTGATTGGGCATCCTGCATCCCAACTTGGTAGAAAAACATATTTCAACTTGCTTTCGTTCATGCATTTGCATCACTCAAGTTGAAGAGTGTTCGATGCAAATGCAATGCAAGCCAAGTGCCAATACCCAAAACATAAAACCTGTCATCATTTCTGTTGTTGCTTTTAAGTAAAACAGTGTTCTCTTGTGCATGTGTTTGCTTTTGCATTTGCATTGCTCATGTAAACCAGACCATAGTATTATTCATAATTTGACTTGTGTATAAAGAATGGTCAGCTTTTCAAACACACTTCTAGAATTCTGACAACGTGGCAAACAATTCATGTAAGCTTATGTATTCAATGGAAAATGTATCATTTAAGTTGAACACTTATCTTGCTTATCTTATAGTTGCACTGATTTTGAGAATTCTGTCTTGTCATTTTAAAATTTGCTACCAGCACAGGCAGGAAAATTTTCATCATCTGAATCTGAGTACAGAAAATCATCTTGTAATAGCTGAGGGGGGAATTCTTTCACTTCCTTCATATCTGGCATGTCTAAAAATAGACAGGATGACCAATGTTAGTGTAACCAGTTAAATTATTACTGTTAAACTTTTTACGTGCTGCCTATTTGAAATGATATTTTGACTGTGAATATTCTAAATTTCCTGCACGTAATAAGCTTTGATATAGGTATATAGAGAGGACACTTCCTAAGAAGCAAGGGAAATAATTCTACACCCATAATTGTGATGCACCGTAAATACCAATTCTGCTAAAAATCTGTCATAATTTCCTATTGACAGGCTACTGACTAATAGAGGTGCTACACCTCATGTCGCTAAACAGCATTCAGAAAATTTCATAACTTACTGTCAGGCATCCCCTTCCATTCTTCTGCCAACACCCCCCCCCCCTTCCCCCATTGCACCTGCACCCACACCCACACACACGCACACTCACACCACCACCAACTTTTTTTTTCTGGTCCTTCTGGCACCCCATGCCTCCATGGTCCAGGGAGCTATTGTAATTTGTTATTATATTCACTTCCTTTTCTGATGGAAATTTGACTGCTACTATTTCATGATTATTGTCTTAAGAGATAGGACCTCGATACTAGCTTTCACCTGCATTGGTGATTTCCCTATCTTATTTTAAAACAACACTACTAAGGAAGAAGCTCACTATACTCACATGTTTGACTGAAGCTCTTTGTTTCAATCTGATAGTCATAGCTACCAGCTGTACTGGAACTAAACATCTGGCTTGGAACTTCTATATCTGGCTTAACAATGACAACTTCTCCATCTTTGTTGTAGCCAAAACCATGTTTATCATCCCAAACAAAACAGTTTTCCAAACCTAGACAGAGAAAGAGACAACTGTTATATTTCCCTAAGTGACAAGCAAAATCTTTTGCAACCCAGTGCACTTGCTAAATTTAAGGCACTAGAGAAGCAGTGTTAGTTCAGTCGGTAGAGCGTGTGATTGCAGAGTGAGAGGTTGTGGGTTTGATTCCTGGGGGCAGACCGATACTCAGGGTTCTAAAATAACTGAGAAATGAAGGTACTCCCTTTGCACTGCAAGTGGCTAGACCTTCACAGTGCAACCCTACGACGAACTAGCCCACTCTACAATGAATACAATGACTTCACCATAAAGTGACCCACCCTGCGAAGAACAGGGCAATCCTACAACAAAATCGAAAACTCGCCCCGACCTAGAGTAACCCGCCCTACAAGAAACCACACCACCCTACCAAGGATAGTTCAAACCATCCAATGAAGAGGTTACCCACCCTACAAAGAACCACTGTCCATTATGTCCCAATCACACATCATGATAAGGACTTCTGACTGTCTACAGTTTCTTAACTAAAAAACATACTGAAATAATTTGAAAATAACTGCTCATAACACCAACCATGAAATCCATTCTGATTACGACTTTCTTGCAAGGCCACTGGTGCTGTTCGCAACAATTTGAGCCCAGACTGCCGTACCACAGATAACACAACTTTACGACCTGCTTGCAAAAATGCCATGATTCAGTGGATTACTGCCCTTTCTGATGAATTTTTCTGCTGCATGCAAGGAAAGAAACAGTTAAGTTAGAATAAAAAGCTGATTTTTGAATACACCTTGTCACGGTTTTCAATGCCATCTTGACGAGTAGGCAAACACCTGAGAAATTACTGTCAGTGATTGTGTGAGAATCTGATGTCGAATAATTTCCGTAGAACGGCTGCTCTGAAAAAAATATGATTTGTAAACTAAAGCTTCATTCCTAAGGATTCTCCTGAAAAACTTTGAGGGCCTTACATGCCCTAGAAGACCTAGAACCACTTTTTAAAATTTTCTATACACTTGTCTGTAAGAAAATCCCCAGAAAATTACAGACAAATATATGGAAAATCTAAACCAAGCCTCTGGAGAAATTTAAGTACCGGTATGCCCCCCAATTTTTTTAGGACAATCCTTTCCTTTGTAGCTTTAGTTTACAATTAATATTTTTCGCAGAACAGCCATTTTATGGAAATTATTCGACATTAGATTCTCATACAAACACTCTAATTTCTCACATGTTTGCCTACTCGTCAAGATGGCTTCGAAAACCGTGACACGGTGTATTAGCTCCGGGCAAAATAAGTGAATGAAATATGGAATATTATTACGCTCATAACATAAACCGCTGACAATTTCTCAGCGTCCTGCAAAATGCCCCTGCAATAAAAACGGGGGGTCTCCCATGATACCCTTCTTTCTTCCCTTTGCCTTAAACACGCTAGAAACACAGCAGCTTCGTGAAAACTAAACTGAACGTTTTTATATTAGTCATCATCAGGGAAAAGTCCATGCCATAGTATCAGTTTATGAAATACTTTTAAACCTTCTAATAGGCGAACTAAAGAGGAGGGCTACGTAAATCAACTTGTACGGACAAAGATCTCATGTGTTGTGTTGCTCAAACGCATCATGGCGTAATTTCAAGAAACTCAATCGACAATAACGACAATATTTGATATATATAAATATCATATTGGTAACGGGGAGGATAAACTAATTCTTCCGGTAAAATAAACTGAAATATTTTGGCTATATCTTACCCAGCGAGGCCAGCTTTCCCAGAGAAAACCAAGCGCGTATAAACTTAAGTTGAAGTTAAGCGCCTTGAACTTAGCATTGTTGAAGCAGTGGTATAGACACTGAATAGCGAATATTCGCTTCGTGCTACACTAAGACACAAAGGGCGAAAAATATCTTACCTTTTTTTGGAAACTCATGAACAATTAAACACAAAAAAAGTAATTCCCAGGGCTCTGAAAGACTTGAAAGCGTTTTGTACTCCACCTTCACAACAACGACAGCGAGGGTACACTTTCATGAGCGTATCAGGTGACGTGCAACAACGAATACGGTGTGGGGTGGGGTGAAGTTTTTTCGGTTGGCGAGCTGGTTGCCGTTATGCCTGTCGACTTTGGATTGAAAATTCAATAGTATTCAAAGTAATGAAATAAAACTACCAGTTAACAAAACAAAATGGACTTCACTGTTAGGGGTCAAGATTCTGGGTTTAGATTTGTGTAAGATATGACCTTTGTAACATAATCGGTCAAAAACGACTCATTCCCTGACCATGCCACTGGGTTGATGCTGAGCTTTTATATTGCAAGGTCAGGTTGGCGTGGAAACAAACAGTGATGGTTTGGTGGAAAGGCCGGGAGCGCACGGACTAGAGATTTTTTGCCTCTTCAAGCACTAAACCCAGCTAGAAACATATCCTCTCTAAACCAAGGAACTGATAATACTATTTTTTCTACCAAGTTGTGACAATTTAATTTACAGGCCCCAGTTGTTCAAAAGGTGATATGGTGCTATCCTCTAGACACTACTCGTCCACTTAGGACAGTAATTTATCCGGTGTGATTAAAGCGCTATCATACGTTTCTGGGGTCAAGTGCAAACTTATCACAAACGTAACGTTTTTCTTATGTCTATCAGTCTACGTGACTTAAAATACATAGCCGCTCGATACCATATAAATTTGCTACATTGTTAGATTCACACAAACTTCGGCCCGTGACCATTTTTCCCTCTCTCTCCAAAAACTGCTCGGTACGGTAGCCTCTTTTTCAAGCAACCAATCAAACTCGAGCTTGCTGGAATATATTCAGGAGAAGGTCAGTAGGTTTTAATGGACACACAGCTGTTGCTATAAAGAAAAACTTATTAGAACAAAAATAATGTATTTTTCCAATATTATCATTCACATTTCAACCCATTTGTCGACGTCATAATTGTTTAAGCCCTTTGTGAAAGAAAGTATATTGAAATCGCATCTCTTAAAACTTAAACAAAATAATGGAATAAAAGCGTGAATATTATATAAATTGAGAAGAGCGTTCCTCCAACCTGTCAAAAGCTAACAAAGACCGGGTTGAAACGGCTGCTGAAAGAAAGTTCATCAATTTGGTTACACAATATTGTTTTCATGTGAACAATAATACCTTACTGTAAAAGAGTCAATGACGGTTTGGGCGATGTGATGTTTTAGTTACGGCAATGAGAAATTTTGGATAAGGTAGGCGTTTTTTTCTTGTACTGAACTGTTTTGATCCTGTTTTTTCAGGGCAGAAAAATAACGATTTTAGAGCATCTTTGTGCAGTAATTATACAGAGTACTTTTGGCGCTTGGTGGTTCCCTCTTTTGAGATAAACGGGACCAAACGTGGTGAATGTAGGCGATATATAGACACTAACTACTGTAGCTTTTTAGTATCACAGCAACCTTTCTCACTATTCAGTAATCCACTCTGTTTCTTTTCTTCTTTAGGATAAAGCAGAAATGAGTAACAAATACCGTTTGTTAATATCAGATAATCTGTATTTACACATACCGCATTAATGGGAGTGTGTTTCAATAACCTTATGGACAACAACTTTTTTAAACTCGCAAATTTGGAAATGTCCTATATTGAAAAGTGAAACTTCACACCCCAAGAAATAGATTTGCGAATTGGCGAAGTGGGTTAAACAGAACCTCCCCACATTTCTGATTTTTAAGCAATTTCTTCACGGATTATATAAGCTTGGTGAATGAACGTTTGCTTCAATATATTTTAACACGTTTTTTTTTTGTTGAAGTGCAAATGGTGGAAGTAACTTCAACTTCTGTCCAACTCAGTTTTATCACGAGGTAATAAAACTTTGACTTCGGAGGTGTTTCAGTGATCAAAGACCTCCCAAAGCCAACACCAAATCCACTTTTACGTATATTTTTATAACTCACTGACGCACTGATTTCTCTGCCGCCGACATCATGTTAGGTACTTTAACGTCGTGAAATTAACATTACTGTATGGCCATCATCACAACGTTATTTTTCCTTGCCGATTCTAAGAGATCCGATAAAAAGCTGCAGATTTACGGTAAAGAGAAAACTCAAGTGCGAATTTAATTCTCAGCTTTATCCTTATGATAGTCTTGGGGAAATATCACAATTGCGTGTCGAAAACTGATTATCTTTTCTTGACACTGTGGAATTTTAAGTTAATAAACCCTTTTAAACATTTGAAATGACTTTAATAGATATGCTAGCAGCGCTAGTGGAATTGTTTCTTAGTCTCGGAAACTGAGATTTGCCGAAGTTTTCAGTTTTTTATTGTGAGATTTTTAGCAGATACCTTTGAGTTCCCAAAAGAAAAATTTTTTTGAGATCATCAAGAGATCGTGCAAAGTAAATCTCTATTCTGTGCCTTATAATTCTTACTGAATTAGGTCAGAAAAATCTTTTAATCCTTCACTAAAGTTCTCTATTTTGTATATTTTTCACTTGAGTTATAGATTCGCACCCTCAGCTTTATGAAAGTTTCTATCTTTTGAAAACTGCCGGAAGAAAACTTAACAGGCACTGTCCATTATATTACACTAAGAACAAATACATATGCGAACAAGCTCAATAACTTTGTGCTCTGTTTATTACACTCAAATTTTCACGTACCATCAACATGCATGGGTTCAAAATACCAAAAATAGTCTATTTAAGAGCTTTCAGGCTTAGTTTGATCATGAACTTTTGTTCCAAAAGAATGAACAAGTACGGTGACAAGAATATATAGTCTAGTAGAAAGCTTAAAGTGGAACCTTACAGTAAGCTATGGACCGGCCCAAAACAGGTTTGCTCTCAAATGATATAATTTTGTATCAACGGATTTCAATTTCTCGCATCTATCATATTTTCCCTAATATCTTTTTTTATTATAAGGTACAATGGAAAAAGTGTATTTAGAAGGTAATAAGGAGGATATTGAACTTACTTGTCTTTCCTGTTAATGTACTCATTACTACTTTGGTAAAAGCAACACTAATTGGAATTACCACAAAGGCATCAAGAGGATGTAGCAGCAAAAATCTTATTTTCCGGAATAGAAAAAAGTTTGCTTAATGCTAAATTGTTCCAGTGATATACATATGCAATTTTCTTAAAACTTAACAGATGGAAATGTTCATAATTATGCCTGATTTTGAATGAAATAATTAAGTGCTTCTTTTTTTACTTTGTTTTTCCACATCATTTGCCAGCATTTTTCTTTAATAACCTTTCTTTTTTACTTCCAGCTCAATGACCGATAACGTCAGTTAAATTAAAAGACATACTGAAGATTTAGTTAAGTCACTTTTCTGAAAAGTCAGGTTTTTTTCAATATCGCAGATTCCTTTGCGACTTAATACTTCATCAAATCACACCAAGGCTGTCAAAGTCCGTCATTAAAACTACAACAACAACAACAACAACAACAACAATAATAATAATAATAATAATAATAATAATGATGATGATGTTCTCGTTGTTATCTTTTATGATAGAGTCATTACTATAATTCACACATTTCAGGGTCAAAACATAACAATATCAAAACGTGGGTCTACAGTGTAAATAAGTTCAATAGCAATTCAAATTCTGCATCTAGAATAAAGAAGAAAACGAAAACAATTTATTAACCTACAAACTGAACAAGCAATGCTTAAGCTTTGCACCTACAATGCTTTGAAGCATCGGCCACGTTTTCCCAGAGGACACCCGGCGAGTGAAGGTTCAAGAGTTTATATCGAAGGTTTAATGAATGCTCATATTATAGTTGGAATTAATTTAAAAATTACAGCTTTGTTAACATAAGGATGCATTTTCAGGTCAAGAGAGTTCAACTCGTAAAAGAAACATCATGACGATCTATACAACATCCTTAGCTGCGCAGATCACCTTAACCACATTTTTTTGCTTCCTGGTACTAGTGGGTGTGGCCGGAAACACTTTGTCCTGCCTGGTTATCATTACCAACAGAGCTATGAGGACACCCATGAATTATCTGATTCTAAATCTGGCGATGGCAGATATTATGGTTGTGCTATTTACTGCCCCTCGCTTCATTCTGGCCCACGCGTTCAATCATCCGGATGGACTTCTCGGTTCATTCGTCTGTAAGTTGTTCACGGGCGGTAACTTTAGCTGGCTGGGTGGTTCCGCCTCTGTTTTTTCACTGGTGGCCATCTCAGTAGAGCGCTACTTTGCTGTTATCCATCCATATGGCACCCGAGGAAAACTCACCATGAAGAAAGTCAAATATGTGATCGCGGGCTGCTGGCTATTGGCTGTTGTATTTAACCTGCCACTCTTCATATTTATTGACTACAACAAAAACATAGATTTCTGCACCGAGTTCTGGCCAACAACTTGGATGGCCAGGGCTTACAGTACGGCCTGGCTTGTACTCTTTGGCGCGCTACCCATTATTCTGATGTCTGCCCTTTACATAAGAGTTATTCGCCGTCTTTGGTTCAAGTCCCAACAAGGTCCTCGAGCCACACAAGCTGCAATTGTCAAGTCTCGAAAACGAGTTACAAAAATGGTGATCATGGTAAGTAAATTCAAGTCCCCCCCCGCCCTCCCAATTACCGTGAAGAAAAGAAGAAGAAGAATCTGTTGTAAAGACTTCAGGGGCGGATCCAGGATTTTTTTAGGAGAGGGTGCACTCGTCTCTTGCGCCACTTCAACACATATAAACCACATAGTTTTTTTTTTGCAGAATACCAGTTGTATTAGAAAACCGCAGGTCATCTCAGGGGGAGGGGGGGAAATGCGCACCCCCTGCATCCTCCCCCTAGATCCGCCCCTGCGGCGGCCTTACTCTGTTTTAGCTATAATGGCAAAAATTTTTGCTTTTAGGTGAGCGTTGTGTATTCAATCACGTGGTTTCCAGTCCTGATAATCTACATGCTCAACTACTACCATGAGGCACAAGAGTACGGCAACATCACCTACATCATTGGGATCCTGATCGTCACTTTCAACTCCTGCGTCAATCCTTTCGTTTACGCATTTGTTAATGAGCGCTTCAGAAATCACCTGAAGAATCTGCTTCAACTGCCATGTCTGAAACAAAACCGAATTCAGCTAGAGAGACAACGACGTAAAGGCGGTTCAGAAAGCAGCAATTCACAGCAGCCACGTCATGCTTTTGAAATCAAAGAGTAGCTAATACATTTCTAGGGTTCGTACGGGGAGTTCCGCCTTTAGGCTTACTCTTCGGTGGTCTTTTCTACTTGCCGTAAAGAGCACATGTAAAGTATAAAAAAGGGTCTATATAAACTGGCATAAAAATTCAGTGAACGGGAAGGGGAAGCCTACTGACTGAGCTGACTGAGTTTGTTCAGGGTGTTTATAGCCTGCGCCAAAGTACTAGATTTCGCTCGGGTTGTGAAATGAGGAGAGTGAAAGTGTGAACAGGGCCGGGGAGGACTGAGGCCTAGGAGTCAGGCGAGAAAATTCCTTTCTCCTCCTCCTACCCCATCCAACTTTTGTCTTATACCCACCCCGGCAATCAGTTACAATTTCTTCTCTCTCCAGTGTTTGGTCCCCGTTTGCAAATCACAGATGGCAACTCAGCAAACTGAGGAAGTCCTTAGCACTCGCTTGCACTGGCTTTGGTGCCTTACGGTTTAACAGTAAGAATATCAAAAGAAAAAATTGTTATTTACCATGCTAGATTATGTTTTCTGTTAATTACCATTTAATACAGTCTTTGGCTATTTAGCTAATTCACTTGACATTGTAGTCAGCCTTTTCCTTAAATAAAATCTACATACCAAATAAGTCCCAAATAAGTATTTGAGTAAAATTGACTATAAAAAGAAAAGAGAAGAAGCACTCTTACATATGCTGATGTAAGGAGATATAAACAATTGAACGATCAATATATCAATACAAATATACCCCAGCTCAATTGATGTATGTAATGTATCCATAACAATTTAATCATTTGGGTTTCATCCCTGGCATTCACTTTGCAATCAGATTGATAAGGTACCGGTGTCTCGAGAGAGGATCATCTAAATGTTGACTTATCTTATCTAACTAAGTGCACACATTTTAAAGCATCTGAGATTTAGGAAAATAAGAACCTGTTTCCATTTTTTGGCAAGACAGTTGATTAATGCGCTTCAGTAAGTTTCTTACCTCCGGGTTTAATACCATAAAGCAGCCACCCAAATGTACAGTCAGCCTTGCTTAACATATTTCTTTTGATAACAGGTTACCATAGCAACAGTATAACCCCTAAAACACAGTGACTAATATTAAACAAATATTGTATGAAGCTGAATATGATATGAAGAATTATTTACATCAACCAGGGCATGTCTGCCTGAGGGTACCTCGCTGTTGTCTCATTCCAAGTATAGTCAGAGGGCCAACCTAGTCAGAGCCTTCAGTCGGCGGTTGTAAGCCCTCGCTTATCTACCCCAATCTACTATTGACAATTTTGGTTTAAAATGGCTGCGTTTTCCCGTCTAACCTTTCAAGCGAAAGGAGATTTTTGCCATTGAGTTGGTAAGGCGAAAATGACCGTAACGACAATATGAGCAACACTTATTTGACAACCGAATTATCGTAGTTAGAAGACATAGCAGATGTTTGACAGTATGGCAAGACAACACCCGATATCACTGCGGAAGGCGGCGTGGTCCATTGTAATAACTAAAACTGTGTAATATGACATCTGCTTTCCCTAACAATTTTGCATGTCTTCTGTTTTAGTGAGACCAACCATACAGTCTGGGTTAAAAAGAAAAAAAAATACCATAATCGACTAAAGGTTATTATGTGTGATAGAAACATCCACTCACTTGCATGATTTTTAAATCTGATAATATACACAACACGCAAAAACGCCTGGCACTATAAATTATTGAATAAAAGCGTATAGCCTAATAAATCACGGTCTCCTACACAGCCGAGATTACTTGCTGGGGTAAGGTGCTGAGATTCAAAAATTGTTTATGATCGATCTTTCTCTGCGTTTGGTCTCTTTTGGGTTCTAATTTAAACATCAGACTGGTGGATAATTAAAAGTGCATGAAAATGCAGTGAAACTGACTGATTGTTTACCCCTCATGCACGTTTTTATCCACAAATATAAACATAGCCATATGGTGGCCGGGTGGAGTATGATAAAATCAAGAGCTGTGAAATTAATTAAAGAGACAAATACTTAAGTTTAAGTGAAATCTTTAGCTGGTCATTTACCAGCATGAATTTAATTTTAAAAATCAAACAATTTAAAAGTTCAAGTAAATATTTCAAGAAAGTTTATTGGAAAGACGATTCATACAAGTCGATGGGAGAGGATCTAAAGCACGTTGCTTTTTGGAGACATTAACATGTATAAAGTCGAAACCGCGGTATCACTAAGGCAGACAGAAGATCAAAAGTGATAAGTTATGAATAAATAAAAGTAAGATTGTGCTTTTAATGTTAATTGCTTTGCATTTCGTAGCAGAAGTTATTCCTCCTCTTCGTGATCGCGCCCCCTCCACGCAAGCTATTTAAGGAAGTTTAAAATTACGTGACTTCGATTTATACTCGTAAAGCTTGCTGATCAATCAAAGATTCCTTGACTTTTCGAATTGTCGAAGTTGGTTCTCAAAATGAACCACGTTTTCCTATTCTTGCTTCCCCTGGCAATATGTTTGTCTTCTTTGTCGGCTTTTACCATAGACCAGAATGCAAAGAGTTCTGCTTTAAACATGGGCAAAAAGTATGAGGACAACCACGAATTTGTTCTTGACGAAAGGGAGGCGAGAGAAACGTTTCCTAATGAAAACTCTGATTTCAACGACGTTGGGAAAACAGACGATGATCTGTTTTTCGCGTTAGAAGATGACACCAAATGGAAAAACAAGAAAAGGTAACAAATTGAACTTGAATATTTTACTATAAAAGTCAAAAAGGAACCTGAATAATAACGTAACAAAACTGATAACTTTGCAGAGAAATTTTTTTAAAGTAGACTAATACCATATTTTAATGTCACTGAGAAAGTTTTGAACATGGTAGCGTCGGTTTTGTTTTCAGACATTCTCATTAAAAAAAGAAAACTCTGACTGATTTCTGTCAACGTGCTTGGCTACACTGACACGGTAGCAAGGCCAACATTTTATTTCTTGAGAATAAAGAACAGAGTTGTGGAAGAACCTAGCCTGCGATGTAGGCCCAAAAGAGGCTCTGTGAATAAAAAGATCAACAAGAAGAATTTAACGAAACAAAGCTAAAAATTATGAGGCGATGTGTACACCATCCTTATTTACCTGTACGGCGAATTAGGTTTATTGCTATTCTGTTGAGTAGTATTTTATTAATTGCGGCTTTGTTATTTATTAGTATGGATTACAGTGAATGGGAAAGATCAAATGGACTCAAACTTAATGACGACGAAAAGGAGGAGAAGGAAGTGGAAGAAGAGAAAGGAGTCATCAAAAAGTTGATCAAAAAGTTTAAGAACTTGCTGCACAAACTTGGCAAACGAAGATAAAATCCAGAGCAGATGAAGGTTAGGATAAAGATAAAGGATTGCTGTCAGTCGGGCGCAAATGAGATTGAACTGTACACGATACATAATCTCCTAATTAGAGTAATAAGAAACTCAGTGCAAAAAGCTGCGACTCTTGGTTTTAGAAGAAACAGAGGCAGAAACAGTTTCAAGGTAAATACAACACATCATTAGAGAAAATATGTCCAATTTTCAAGGGTTCGTTTGGATCCATGGCCTGAAATAAAATCCACAGAGGACTGGAATCATTATTTCATAGGGCTAGTTTAGTTCATGTTTGGTTCCTTAAATGGACACAGCAAGGGCTAAATCTGTTTTCAGGACTAACTTGTCACTTTGGGGCTAAAAGAGATAGTTTATTTTAAAACAACTTTAGCTACAACATCGAATTCTTTTGCTGGTATCTTTTTCTTTAGAACAATTTTGGATTTATACAATAACAATAAAATGGTGTGTCATCGACATTTTGAAAAGTTCGGCCACCCCAAGAATGCTCTGCGTTTTGACAAGGCCACTTTTGCATATGGACAAATTAAATGGCTCCTCGGCTCTTTTTCGAGTAAACATTGAAAACACTATCATCAGGAAACAGTGTCTTGGTGTGAAAGCTTTCTATCCAACAGGAGCACAAGAATGTTGCATCCAGCTGTCTTTTAATATTCTGTACACGAACCTGTGTGAAGTGAGATACAAGTGTTAATACTTTTACTTGTGAACGTATACCGTTTAGGGTTAGAATAGGGACTTTAAGATCCAACGACGCGGACGGTAACGAGAGCGTCAAAAAAAACAACAATAACAACAATACGTTTAATTAGCAAAACAACAACTTTGCACGTACACCACGTCTTTTTGTGCATTTCTCTGCCCGTTATTGCACGACTACGGCGTGAACATGCCTAATTTCGCGTTTTATGGAGGACGTAAACGAGCAACGACGAAATTTTATTTCTCTTTCTGTACTTGGATATGGTGCCTAGGAATTCAACTCCAGGAGGTTTCGCCTACATTGACAAAGTAAGTGAGTAGGAATAATTGCGACAAAGACTGAAACAACGCAAATGCTCTTTTTAAGCGACGTTCTCATTGCTGTTGCGTCGTTGGATCTTAAAGTCCCTAATTTCAGTGCTGTGGTGACGTAACTGGAACAGTTACCAAATTTATCTCAAGCATAAAATTTCCACTGATAAAAATGTGTTTTAATGGCTTCGCATACTATTTAAAACCCGAAAAAAGGTCATTTGACTGGGAGGAATGCTGCAACCGCGTTCCAAGAGCTTGGGAAAGCCGTGGGGACGAGTTAAAGAGTATCCGGGAAAATGTAAGAAATGCCGATTGGCTGTTGGTTGAGGTATTGGTTGTGTACTACACCTGTTAGCTTGTATGGTTTTTTGGCCTTCCTTCTCTCCCATCATCATGTAAGTTAGATCATGTAACACCCCGTATTTTGATTAAGGATCAGTAGTAATCGTTACCTTGTTTAGGTACCATCCGGCTGCATATCCCGCATTGTCACGTCTGATGTTTAGTTTGGTCACTAGTCCCAAGTTTGGTGAAATGACGTTGAATGTGTCCGTACTAAAAGAAACAACAAACAAACCTTAGTGAACTATTTACCTGGATATTCAGGCCCAGTTTATCATACTAAGCTTTAAAGGAATGCAATGCTTAGTACTAACCTGCTTCTCTCAAAAGCATTTTTACTTCCCGCCATTTCTACTTCTCCTGTGTTCCCTGTTTGACCGAAAAGCTCTACAAAAACTCTAGAGTCAGTTCCAGCCAAATACTTGTTTCCCGTGTAAATTGTCACTATGTAGTTACCAGCTGCAAAATAAATTGTTTAAGTAAAAGAAATGAACTTTTTGCTCAGTGCTGAGACTACAAACCGTTACGTCCATTTGGCCAGTCTATGCCTATAATCATAAACTTTTTCAGAAAGTAATGATAGCAAGATACACATCTGCGAAATGACCTTCATAAAGGTGACACGCAAGGCTTTCAACAGGCAGTAAGAGCTGTTCATAGCTGTACCTGTGGTGGATAGTGCGCATACCTTAAAACACTGGCTATGGTGTGGTGTTAAGGCGTGGTGTGAGTGGGTGTCCTGTGGGCATTGCCTTAAGTTGGGGTAAACAAATGCACACCGTACCTTGAGTCAGTGCTTCGGGACACTTGTACAACAAGTTAATCTGCATCACATCTAGGGCAGACAGCGAGTTGATATTACCAAGCGACATGCTTGGATCTGCGATAGCCTGTATGGTATCTCCTCCATTCCTACTAAATTCCTTGTTAGAGTAATGCATGATTGATTGAAAGTCGTAAGGCTGACCCAGTGAGGTCACCTCGCCACGAGTGCGGATAGCAAACTGTTGGATTTGTTCTAAGTCAAGAAAAAAACAATTTCATAGTCTTTATCTACCTCCTATTCCATACGACTGTCATGCGTTATAAAACAACGCAACAAATACTGTTAACAAGATTTATAAATAAAATCAATAAGAATCTAAAATAAAATTATTAAAATATTTATTGAATATTCACATCTGGTGACGAAAACACAAAGTTCTTACGAGTTCCTAGTCAATCACGCCGATAGGGGCATATCTGTAAACAGGACAATCTGGGACCTTCACAACATCTTCATTCTATGCTTCATTCCTTTCACGGGTTAAGCTGAACTCAACAATCTGGCCTACTCCCAATTTGTGGGTCTTCATAGCTCAGTTGGTAAAGCACTGCAGCGCTAACGGAGAGGGCATAAGTTCGAATCCCTTTCAATTCCCGAAAACTTTTTTCGGGTTAATTTGCAATTGATTAACAAAAATTGATTAATAACAATTACTACTGCGACGATCACATCTTCAATAAAATTTACAATATGGAATGTTACTTCGTCGCGGTTTCGCTGTGTTGCAGCACTAGAGCGTTGAAATCAACTTGAGAATCAGAATTACCAGGCAAGATGTTATCCCACAAAATCTTGATAAACTTGTCTCTGTCAGGTCGTGTATGTTCGTGGAAAAAACCCAACGCGTGCATGAGTTCATGAGTCACGTGACCCCTGTTTTTGCAGCCACTCCCGAGTGACAGCAGCTGTTTCCCGCCTTTTTTACCGATATGTGACTGACAAAAATTCCTGCAACAGAGCGAATGTTATCAGCAATTGTGCAATTTCATCCAAAGCGTCAATATAACTAGAACTGTTTAATTTTATCTAAGTCGATAAATCTAAACGAAAGATTATTCAGCTAAGAAAGAAAACCACCAGCGCTAAAATTAAATTAAATTTTGTGGTTATTAATATGGCCTGTAGCTTTGCTGAGTTATGTGTCTCGTCCTTATTGTATTGTCATTTATTACTACCCAACCAACATTCCCGAAATATTCCAGCTTTCCCGCCGGTTTTCTGAGTTTGTAAGTAGTAATAATGGAAATATTCCTTCTCACTTTGCGTCTTCGTAGAACTCTATATAATCGGCCTGATCTGTCCTCTCCACAAATCGTATGCAGGTGTGTTTAGCAATGACATCAGCTGCCTCTCTGATCGTCTTTTTATCTTCGTCACCTAAAACAGGATAGGACGTCAAACGGCAAATTCACGCACGAGAACTTACGCTTTGATAATCTATACATCAAGCTTCATTATAGCAAGACTTAGCAGCTCTGATGTTTCTGTTATTGTGTGTACCATGATAATTGGTTGGTTGTTATGGGAACTATGTCGTGCTTACCAAGTCCGCTGAACCAGCCTCCAGTCTTAACTGTATAGGCAATGACTACCTTGGTAACCTCCCCTTTTTCGTAGGTAGCAGGCCAGATATATCGGCGATTTATCACTGCTGATCGCTTTTGTTTGTTGCGAAAACTTTGGTGGGAAGCGCCTTTCTGCTCTAAAAAACAGTAAAAAAATATAAGGCATAACAGCACAAATGCTATAGTATGTAATAAGGTGCGTCATAGAGGAGATCTCGCGCGCTCGCCAGCGGAGCACCATGGGTAAGTAAATCTACCCATCCCAGAAAATTTGGTAATCACGTGCACCGAGCGAGCGACCGTCCGTCCGCACCACAGGCATACCAATGAAAAATAACTCAATCAACAGGTATGGCAACCCAAATGCAACTCGAGATTATTTTGGCGGGAAATCGCATAGCCACCCGTGTCACAACTAAATAGTCAATAGAGACGAAAACGGAAAGTGGAAATTGTTTCTGTATCCGTGTTGTCTAAAGTATTCAGCTTAGATTGATTGTCATGCCCACAAATTGGAATACAGCGGAAGAGAAACACAGAGAAAAAGAGAAAGTTGGCGGCAGGCTAGCGAGAGACAAACGAGGAAAAGGGCGACAGAGATCTGGAGCGAGAGATAAGAAAAACAAAGGAGACATATTAGGGCCATTTATACCAGGAAAAGTAAGACGCGTCTTACATAGAACCCAGGGGCGGATCTAGGGGGATGGTGCAGGGGGTGCGCACCCCCCCCCCCCGAGATGACCTGCGGTTTTCTAATACAACTGGTGTTCTGCAAAAAAAGAAACTATGTGGTTTATTGGTGTTGAAGTAGAGCAAGAGACGAGTGCAGCCCTCCTAAAAAAAATCCTGGATCCGCCCCTGGAACCACGCGAACTTTCCGTATAAACGCCACATTTCGTCTAAAATAAGACGCGGCTTAGCTAAGACGCGTCTTATTTTAGAACAGCTCTTAACACCTGTTCTTATATAAGACGCGTCTTAGCTAAGACGAGAAAAGCTTCGTATAAATGACCCTCGTGTGCTCCCTCGTGTCTTACATAAAACGGGAACGCATAGCACGCATGCGTTAATTTTTGGCGGGAAAATTATCGCTTGCCCCGCTGTGGATTGGCAGGCCACTGGCGGGAAAAAATTGTTTACAAAACACAATGCGTTTTCGTTTCCTTGTCCATTCTGCATTATTTTTTCTTCGGTCAAATACAATGAGCACGCCGTTATTAAAGGTGAAAAGAAACACTTGTTCCATCGCGGAGGAAAAAGGTTTTTTGTTATTATGTAAGGAGAAGGCGATAACAGACCTCCTGGACAAATGCGTGACATCTGCTGGTGTAAGTAGACCCTTTTAAACTATCACAATTTATATTTACTTATCAAATTGCTATCTTCGTATTATAAACTTACACTTTAAAAGTAAGTTTAAGTATATAGAAGACTTAGATAAGACATGCTCGTATAAATGGTCCCGTTCGCGTCTTATTTAAGTAGCGTCTTATTTTTCCTGGTATAAATGGCCCTGTTTTTTGTTGGAAGAACAACATGAAAATTTTGTAGCAGCGGTGACAAATTCTAGCGGCCATGAAATGCAAGGTGAAAATGAGTGACAGCGAAAAAAAAGTGAACGAGAAGACTTGAGACATTTTCTCCAAAAAACGTGTAACTAAGAAATTTCTGGAAGTTTCACGTTGTAGTCGTGAAAAACAACGGCAAAGAAATTTACAAAAAAAGTGTGCTGCACGTGCAAAGTTTCTTTTTTACTAATTAGACCTATTGTTGTTTTTTCACCGTTCTCATTGCCTTCGTCGATGAGCATTACATGATTTTATATTTTTTTTGAACGTTTGAACAAACTTTAAATATTATCGAGAGCTTCGCTTTTAGCCCTGGCTAAATATACATATTATCGTTGGGTATTAGCAGTTTGCTTTAAAATTTCTGCTCTTTTAATTTTTTTCTGTTTTTCGTTAAAAAAATACATATATACTAAAATATATTCATATGTTCACCGATAGATATAACATAGTTTTGAAGGTTTTTGCTCTCCAAAATAACATAAGAGCTTGCAGGGACATAGAAATGCACATTTTAATGTGAACTATGGCTATTTACCTTTTTCTTTAATAAACGTTCGCTAGTTTAAACTATGCATGATTGACTTTGCTGCTAATATTGATAAAAGTTCACTGTTACTCACCGGATAACCATAAACTTTTCGCCTGTAAGGCTAAAACAAAACCAAGGAGCAATTCGAAACAGTTCATATTAAAGCAAGCTAAAGCATCTGTTCCCCTTCCTGAAAACGGTTACTTTAGATGACAAGACCGTTATAATCTTAATTGTTTCAAAACAACCCCCATGGCTTTTTGAAAAGCACTATTATTGGTTATGCAGTGTAAATATTTCAGGATCTCCACGGTTACATTAGCCTGCACGAATTTTTCGCTTCAATACTTTCGGGTTTCCTTTGTAATAGTGCATGGGTATTTATAACTTTCTGGGTACTATATGTAAGAAATTTGCCGCTTTCTCCCTTCATGTAAGAAAAGACTCAACACCGCGAAAAAAATACCGAAAAAAAAAATCAAAAAGTGGATTAAGTGCGAGAAATAATAAAGGACTCTGTTGTGCTACTGACCCTGGAAGGTCCAATACACTCGGCCGTTACCAGGTTCAAATTGTTTTGCAGCCAAATATTCTGAATATTTACTGACGCCATCTTACATATATGTCTACACCATTGTCTCATGACAAACTGACGCGTTTTAGAAAACCAAGCCTTGGATATTCACTACGGAGGCGTTCATGACTTATTTTATTTTATTTTATTAACTTTGCCCTGAAGAATACAAAAAAAACAACAACTGAAGATATGCAAACACTAGTAATAAGAACGTAACAATACACTAAACAATAACTTAAATATTTGGGCAGGGACACCGCGATAGCTAAAGCCAGTTACTGCGGACCCAAAAAATAAAAGGATATAAAAGTGGCCATTTAAATCACATGCAGCAGCTAATTTCTTGGTCTAAAAACAACTGGCTGTGTTACATTTCAAGCAAATACTTTTGAAGCTCCTTGGAGAGTCCGGGTCATAGTTTATTGCTAGAGCCCTCGAGTAATAGCCGTAAAGAACAGATTTAAAGTTCTCAAAAGTAACATTATCTAGCTCAAGACTAGTATTAAGCAGGTTCCAGATTCTAGTGGTTCTAATGAAAAAAGATTTCTGAAAGGTAGAATTCCTGCATTTTTAGGCACAAAAGATTGAGAGCTCTTAGGATATACGGTATGCGTAGCCTTGTAAAAGTATACTAGATCTAGTAACTCGTGCCAGTAGCACACAGGAAGTAGGTTTACAGACATTAGTCTTTCTTTGTAAGAGATATTTGTTAAAAAAGGCAGCAACGAATGAATTTGGTGGCACGTCTTTGGATAAACCCGTCAGACTCCTTTTGAGTTTTTGTGGACCTGAAATTTCAAAAGTTCAATCCCGTTGGGGCGCCTAGACCTGGGATTTTGCGTTTTCAGCCAAGATTAGAAATTAGTTCAATCCCTTGAACCTAGCCAAGATGAGCACGAATAAATGTGCGCCTTACGGAAGTACTGTGAATAAACCTAGAGTTTGCTTCGGGTATGCTGAGGGCCGAATGTCTAAAGCAGGCTTAATCTCAGGTAATATTTTCTGTATTTTGTAATCTCGTTTTTAAAATTTTCCTAAAAATTGATTCCATTCGCTACAATACAATAGTTTAGTTTATTGACACTCCCCTGGTGGGGCTTTTCAGTGACAATGCGACTTTAAAAAAAAAAAAAAAACTAATTAAGATAAGAGAAGTAGTTAACAATTCGATTAAAAAGAAAGAATGCGGTGAACAAAGCAATATAAACATACCTATTTAAGAATTAATCGTATAATAAATATTCTCACTACGTACTATACAATATGCATATTTTAAGTTAAAATAAAATAAGATACTAGTAAGATACTAAAATACTATCATAACGTGCTATTTAAAAAGTCAGTAATCAACTTATTTTTCAGACAAAATTTAAAAGTGGAAATCGATTTTGCAGTTTTAAGAGTACTGTCTAGATTGTTCCAAATGTGCACCATGCGGTAGTGGAATGTTCTCTGTCCGGTACTCGACTTATACAAGGGGATGTTTAATAATTGGCAACTTCGAGTCACGCGCCCGGTGACCGCAATTATTGTTGTAAATTGATCGCTGAGGTAATGTGGAGCTTGACCAGTCATGCATTTAAATGCCATGAGAGCGTCGCGGAAGAACAGCTTTTGTTTAATTGGAAACCAACGTAGATCTCTTAGTGCGGGGGTTATATGATCAAATTTCCTGGTATCTGTAATAATGCGCGCGGCAAAGTTCTGCACTGACTGTAGTCTACAGATATTTTTGTTCGAGGTGTTCGACCACACTGTGGAACAGTACAGTAATTTGCTAAAGACTAGTGCATTTATTACTGTCACCAGTTGGTTACGGTCAAGAACATGTTTAACCCGACTGATTTGTGCGAGGCTTGACATACAAGATGACGTAGTTTTTAGAACATGGTCATCAAACGTTAGTTGCGGATCTAAAACAACCCCAAGATCTTTGGCCGAAGATGTAAGAGCGAGATCTTTTCCTAGAAGAGATATTTTGAAGTCGGGGAGTTTGGCAAGTAGTTGTCGGCTTCCAAAGACTACGAGTTTTGTTTTCTCAGGATTTAAAAGTAGAAAATTGTTAAAACACCAATTACGTATTAAAAGAAGGTCGCTATTTAGATCGTTCATAGCAGTCGGACAATCACGCATCTTAAAAGAAATCTGAAGTTTAGTGTCATCTACGTAACATTGCGTTAAACAGTTTCTAGGAACAGAAGGTAAGTCGTTAATGTAAATACTAAAAAGAAGCGGCCCAAGAATGCTTCCTTGAGGGACACCACTATTTCGCTCTGATTAGTCTCCGAATTATTGTTCTCGATAAGGAATCGGTTAACTTTAATTTTAATGTTTCCACTAGCCTAGTTGTTACAAATAGGACTAGCGAACAGGTTCCTAGAAAATCGTTGGTCTCGGGAACTTTAATGATGCCATTTCGAAGTCTTGAAAGCAATTAAAATGTTAGAGGAACGAGATCACGGTTTGTTGTTGTGTTTCTTCTACGGCCGTCTAAGAGTTTCGAACATTTTGGCTCCTTCTGCTTCAAGGTTTCACGGATTTTACCCGTTATCTCAAATTGCGCACAGTAAAACGTCATTAAAATGGTCAGTTAACGAAACACGCACGTATGGACTAGTTATACCTTAGTATCGAGCAGTTGGAAGAGCAAATGCACCAACAAATGTTTTGTCTTGTTTATGTAGCTTGGAATAGAGTTCTACTTTTCAAATTTTGGAGGCTCAAGTTCAAAACTTATTTTCTCGTTTATTCCGAAGCGAGAAACGTTATGAACACTAGATTTAATACTGTTTACATGTCTCAATTCCACAGGAGGTTTCCAAGGTTTTCTTGTACAATCCCACGAAACTGACCAAAAGCGAATGATAAAACGAAGACAAACTTCAGTTACATACCGAACAAACTGTGGAGCCAAGCCTCAGTTAAGGCATCGTTTCTTCAAAATGTCACACCTGATCTTTAATTGGGATAACTGCCTCTAGTCTGAAGACAAATCTGGCAACAGCCATGTTCTGCTGTATGTAATAAAATGTCAGCAGAATTCACTGAAGCTACATATTGCGTAAATAATGAATGTCTAAGGACAAAATATTGTGTAGTATATGCAGATGGGGGGGGGGGCTCACTAACATAATTTTTTTTACATACTTAAAGGAACCGCCAGTTGTTAATAAATTACTTTCATTTATTCACATGAAAAAATATGCACTATATTACACAACTGACTGAAGCAGTAAATATTCCTTGTAATCTCTTTCTTTTTTACAATAAATGGCAGCCGAAGGTTTCATTACCTACAGCAGTAAGACGTTATGTAATCGTTAAAGAGAAGAACGGTCCCCGCCCGCTCTCATTCTCATACGTGTTTTGCAATCGCGGCACCGCCCGCAACGTGTCTACAGGCATTTAAAGTTCCATGTTCAAATTTTAAATGTCTTTTTTTTTAGCAACGAAGGAAACCGTTTTCTTTTCCTAAGATCAAAATCCCCTCACATAAAGAGCCTTTACCAAATTTGGACACTTGACTGGACTAAACAGCTCGTTCTCACTGCATTCCCTCACATAATCGGACGCACGCAAAAAGGTTTCCCGATATCATCAGTTCAGCGCGCGGCTGGCATTCTGTATTGTCAGACCTCCCCGAAGTTTGTGTGCCCAGTTGAGGCTGCGTGCTTTTGGGCTGCCTGTTGCCCGGTCAGTGGTGTGTTGCAAACTAGACAGCGAAGGGAGAACTTGGACAAGTTTGTAAACTGACGTTTCTGCAAAGAAACAATACATCATTCAAGGAATGGAAAAGAAAGGTGAACAGCTTACATGTAAGTTGATTTAAAGGGTAGACAACAGGAAATACGGGTGAATGTGAACGGTTGAACGTGTTCGAAAAATTTTGTAAAACACGATCCTCAGTGTTTTTCCAGAGCCATAAACGGGTGCGCATGTCATATAAAATGGAGTAAACTGCAAAACACTGCTCTTTTAGCGGTACTTTTGTTGTAACGGTAGGTACTTGAAAGTTGACAGGTCAAATTTTGAAGTGTCTCTAATCGTCCACGTTTAACTTAATTGTAACAAAGCTTTTGTTTAGTTTGTTTTAAATTAAAAATTAATTTATACGAATTGTAATACAGACGCTAGGACCTGTAGCTCTGCCGTTTGCACTGACTGTATTAGGTCTGAATAGCTAACCTTTTTGGCCTCTGCAGCTATCTCAAGTGCTTCAGCAAGCCTCATATCATCTGTGACAGGGAACACAGTTTGTACTGGCTCAGCTGAATTATTAGAACTTGGAACAGCAACAGGGTCATAATGAATCCCATCATACACCAGATATACACAGTCTCTGTAACCACACCCTTCTCCTGCAATTACAAGCAATAGAAAGAACTTTCCATTGGTTTACTAGCAGTACACAACCAACAAGCTGGGATGTAGGGAGAAAAACAGAAATGTTTGTAATCAAAGGCTGAAGCAGATATTTTCACTTCGTGAAAGGATTATACAAACATTTCCCGCCTTGGGACAGATCATCTTTCGGAGCTAATAGATCCATGAAAGGTGTGCAAAAAGTACAGTACTAAGAAAAAACCAAGGAGAAAGAAGGGTTCCCTCCCTTCAAGTTCTTGGTTGGTTGCAATTATGTATCAAGGATTCAAATTATTTGACTCCTGGGAGAAGTACCAAATACAAACTGTAGCCAAATGAGCCAAGAGTAAAAAGGGTAGATTGCACCCCCTCGAATATGAACCACCAAACAGAATGATTTGAGCCATTCGATTTGGATGGCCAATCAGAATATGTGATGATTACCCCATATAAACACAAGGTATATACCTTGCATCTTACCATATCTATCAACTCTTCCTGACTCTGTATCAGCTACAGCAATTTGTGTTTGGTAATGTTTGCTAAGGATTGACAACTCAATAGCACCTGAGCATCGTTAAAAAAAATACAGAAATGTAAAAGGTTAATGCAGAAAAAAGACAAAAAAGTGAACTTTTTGAGTTGAGTCTTAAAATACCTTATTGGTACTTAATTTGCAACTCTTTAACTTCACGATTTTCGGGACTGCAAAAAAAATCGTGAAAATAAGTGCTCACAAAATTTAAGCCCTCACAATTACATTCTTATATACATGTACATTATACTACTACATGAGGAATTTCTGCAATTTGATTGGCTTAGAGCAGTGGTATTTCAGCTTAATTTGAAATACCTACATGTGAAAATTACAAACCTTTTGCTGGTAGTAGTATAAACAAATAATAGCATGATTTGCCCGTGATATTTGGCATAAATACCACTCGTGATATTTCAAAATTGTCTCAAATTTCACTCGCCTAACGGCTCATGAAATTACGTATAACAATTTTGAAATATCACTGGTGGTATTTATGCCAAATATCACTACAAATCATACCATTACCTATACAAATTCAAATCAGAGAAAAGAAGATTAAGTTGAACTAGCCGTCATATACAGGATAAGTACCAACAATATTACTTTTTAACTGTTGTACTTGCTGTACTTGTTGTATCTTCAGTAAGTGAAGTTGCATTCACACATTGCTTTTTCAGTTTAACCAGACATTTGAAAACTTTCAGACTTTTTTCACAAATAACTAAAGTCGAGAATATTTAAATCACAAAATTTAATGCCCTTTTCTCATATTTGTGTGTTGAAATTGAGAAAATAAAACCCCATGAAATACTCTTTGCCAAAATCGTGCAATTAAATACCTGTGAAATTAAATACCAATGAAGTACTATAATATCATCACAAAAATCTGCTACTTGTATACCGACTGATAAATAACATTTCGGAGACATCTAGCCTACTTACAACTAGTGGAGTGTTGTACAGTTTTAAATTGTTTATGCAATATTTTGTGTTGTTTTAATGTTTAATTGCATAAGCATGCATGCAGCTAAAAACAGTATACAGAGATGTGTTAGAATACCTCCCCAGTGATCCTCATCCAGTATCCATTTACAGTACTCAGTGTTTTCTTGACCCAGAAACACAGAATTGTACAATTGAGGATCACTTGAAACACACTTTGCTATCAGCTGTCTTAGCTCTGAGGCAAATGATGTCACACCAAGCATAACATAGCTAAAAGAAAATAACATAAAGGTGTTGCTATGGAAATACGGTACTCCACTATTTTAACCATTTCATGGTATCAAAGTTCTGCTCAATTTTCTCTGCAGTTTTTGATAATTTATCAATTCTGTGGAAACTGCAGTCATTCATGATTGGAGTTCAGAGTCAAAGTAGGAAATCAGTTATCTTTACATTTTAGGGCTTTAAGCTTGAATTAATTCTGAAAGTGCAGTTAAACAAACATAGCACTGTACCTTTCTTACCTAACACTTGCAAAAAGGCAGGAATTATCAGCTGGAACAACTCTATGTATGAAGGAAAAAAAGAACAATTAAACAGTGCAACAAACAGACCATATATTGTACAAGTATGTGATGAAGGCGTAGTGTGGTTGAGTTGATACTTAGCAGAAATCTCAAGTTCGAATCCTCAGCCATGCTTGTAAATAATCAACTGGTTTCCTCCCTTTCAAAAGGAATGCTTATACCTGTTATGTTCCATTTAATACATAGTTTTAATCATTTGCTGCCCCCCACCTGCAAAATATTATTTCACAATAACTAATTTCACAAAATAATTTCATTCAAATTTTTGATAGCAGATACACTTCCAAACCTGTTAATTAAATTTTGGGATCTTTATTAATTCTGACCCACTTATGCCACTGAACCACATTGAACCTTCCTGCACTTAGCCATCTTGACTAGTTCCTTGTGATGTGCCCTAAATACTGTTATGAACTGCAAATTATGATGGAAGTTCACAAAATGGATATAATAAAATAATAATTACTTTCTTGACATTTTTCCAAGTGCTGCACTGCTTAAAGATTTCTTGTAACCATCCAGTGATGCTCTTGGAGCATTTTTGTCTTCCTCAATTATTAACGTATCTCCAGATCTGACATCCACATATGATATTACATCATCTTTATTCTTCCACATAAGCTGTTTTGGTTTTGCAAAGAAACAATACATCATTCAGGGAATGGAAAAGAAAGGTGAAAAGCTTACATGTAAGTTGATTTAGGGGTAGACAACAGGAAATACGGGTGAATGTGAACGGTTGAACGTGTTCGAGAAATTTTGTAAAACACAATCCTGAGTGTTTTTCCAGCGCCATAAACGGGTGCGCATGTCATATAAAATGGAGTAAACTGCAAAACACTGCTCTTTTAGCGGTACTTTTGTTGTAACGGTAGGTACTTGAAAGTTGACAGGTCAAATTTTGAAGTGTCTCTAATCGTCCACGTTTAACTTAATTGTAACAAAGCTTTTGTTTAGTTTGTTTTAAATTAAAAATTAATTTATACGAATTGTAATACAGACGCTAGGACCTGTAGCTCTGCCGTTTGCACTGACTGTATTAGGTCTGAATAGCTAACCTTTTTAGCCTCTGCAGCTATCTCAAGTGCTTCAGCAAGCCTCATATCATCTGTGACCGGGAACACAGTTTGTACTGGCTCAGCTGAATTATTAGAACTTGGAACAGCAACAGGGTCATAATGAATCCCATCATACACCAGATATACACAGTCTCTGTAACCACACCCTTCTCCTGCAATTACAAGCAATAGAAAGAACTTTCCATTGGTTTACTAGCAGTACACAACCAACAAGCTGGGATGTAGGGAGAAAAACAGAAATGTTTGTAATCAAAGGCTGAAGCAGATATTTTCACTTCGTGAAAGGATTATACAAACATTTCCCGCCTTGGGACAGATCATCTTTCAGAGCTAATAGATCCATGAAAGGTGTGCAAAAAGTACAGTACTAAGAAAAAACCAAGGAGAAAGAAGGGTTCCCTCCCTTCAAGTTCTTGGTTGGTTGCAATTATGTATCAAGGATTCAAATTATTTGACTCCTGGGAGAAGTACCAAATACAAACTGTAGCCAAATGAGCCAAGAGTAAAAAGGGTAGATTGCACCCCCTCGAATATGAACCACCAAACTTTCAAAACAGAATGATTTGAACCATTCGATTTGGATGGCCAATCAGAATATGTGATGATTACCCCATATAAACACAAGGTACTAATGGAGTCCTCTCCTACCCAGATCGTCTATACCTTGCATCTTACCATATCTATCAACTCTTCCTGACTCTGTATCAGCTACAGCAATTTCTGTTTGGTAATGTTTGCTAAGGATTGACAACTCAATAGCACCTGAGTATCGTTAAAAAAAATACAGAAATGTAAAAGGTTAATGCAGAAAAAAGACAAAAAAGTGAACTTTTTGAGTTGAGTCTTAAAATACCTTATTGGTACTTAATTTGTGACTCTTTAACTTCACGATTTTCGGGACTACAAAAAAAATTGTGAAAATAAATGCTCACAAAATTTAAGCCCTCGCAATTACATTCTTATATACATGTACATTATACTACTACATGAGGAATTTCTGCAATTTGATTGGCTTAGAGCAGTGGTATTTCAGCTTAATTTGAAATACCTACATGTGAAAATTACAAACCGTTTGCTGGTAGTAGTATAAACAAATAATAGCATGATTTGCACGTGATATTTGGCATAAATACCACTCCTGATATTTCAAAATTGTCTCAAATTTCACCCGCCTAACGGCTTGTGAAATTACATATAACAATTTTGAAATATCACTGGTGGTATTTATGCCAAATATCACTACAAATCATACCATTACCTATACAAATTCAAATCAGAGAAAAGAAAATTAACTTGAACTAGCCGTCATATACAGGATAAGTACCAACAATATAACTTTTTAACTGTTGTACTTGCTGTACTTGTTGTATCTTCAGTAAGTGAAGTTAATTGCATTCACACTTTGCTTTTTCAGTTTAACCAGACATTTGAAAACTTTCAGACTTTTTTCACAAATAAATAAAGTCGAGAACACTTAAATCACAAAATTTAATGCGCTTTTCTCATATTTGTGTGTTGAAATTGAGAAAATAAAACCCCATGAAATACTCTTTGCCAAAATCGTGCAATTAAGTACCTGTGAAATTAAATACCAATGAAGTACTATAATATCATCACAAAAATCTGCTACTTGTATACTGACTGATAAATAACATTTCGGAGACATCTAGCCTACTTACAACTATAGAGGAGTGTTGTACAGTTTTAAATTGTTTATGCAATATTTTGTGTTGTTTTAATGTTTAATTGCATAAGCATGCATGCAGCTAAAAACAGTATACAGAGATGTGTTAGAATACCTCCCCAGTGATCCTCATCCAGTATCCATTTACAGTACTCAGTGTTTTCTTGACCCAGAAACACAGAATTGTACAATTGAGGATCACTTGAAACACACTTTGCTATCAGCTGTCTTAGCTCTGAGGCAAATGATGTCACACCAAGCATAACATAGCTAAAAGAAAATAACATAAAGGTGTTGCTATAGAAGTAAAGTACTCCACTATTTTAACCATTTCATGGTATCAAAGTTCTGTTCAATTTTCTCTGCATTTTTTGATAATTTATCAATTCTGTGGAAACTGCAGTCATTCATGATTGGAGTTCAGAGTCAAAGTAGGAAATCAGTTATCTTTACATTTTAGGGCTTTAAGCTTGAATTAATTCTGAAAGTGCAGTTAAACAAACATAGCACTGTACCTTTCTTACCTAACACTTGCAAAAAGGCAGGAATTATCAGCTGGAACAACTCTATGTATGAAGGAAAAAAAGACCAACTAAACAGTGCAACAAACAGACCATATATTGTACAAGTATGTGATGAAGGCGTAGTGTGGTTGAGTTGATACTTAGCAGAAATCTCAAGTTCGAATCCTCAGCCATGCTTGTAAATAATCAACTGGTTTCCTCCCTTTCAAAAGGAATGCTTATACCTGTTATGTTCCATTTAATACATAGTTTTAATCATTTGCTGCCCCCACCTGCAAAATATTATTTCACAATAACTAATTTCACAAAATAATTTCATTCAAATTTTTGATAGCAGATACACTTCCAAACCTGTTAATTAAATTTTGGGATCTTTATTAATTCTGACCCACTTATGCCACTGAACCACATTGAACCTCCCTGCACTTAGCCATCTTGACTAGTTCCTTGTGATGTGCCCTAAATACTGTTATGAACTGCAAATTATGATGGAAGTTCACAAAATGGATATAATAAAATAATAATTACTTTCTTGAAATTTTTCCAAGTGCTGCACTGCTTAAAGATTTCTTGTAACCATCCAGTGATGGTCTTGGAGCATTTTTGTCTTCCTCAATTATTAATGTATCTCCAGATCTGACATCCACAGATGATATTACATCATCTTTATTCTTCCACATAAGCTGTTTTGGTGGAAATCCTAAAAGAACTATTTAAAGCAGACAAGAAATGTAATTTATATATGACCAGCGGCTTTGTTTTGCCCTCTTAATGATGGCAATAATTTTTGGTTTGATTTACATCACGGAATTGCACCTATATTATATTAATCCATGTTTATGAACCTGCGAGGTACCTCCGATCATCTTCAGACAAGTGGCGTCTTGTTATTAAACCCTATAACTTAAAGACATACGGTTTCAGGGCTTTTTCAGTCATCGCCCCTATACTCTGGAACGATTTGCCTGTTGACATTAGGTCGATCGATGATGTAAATAAGTTTAAATCTAATTTGAAGACCTTTCTTTTTAAACGAGTTTATGAACTATCTTAGCTTTTTTATTTTGTATTTTTGTGACTATGTATATATGTATATATGTATATATGTAATGATTTTAGGATTTTTATTTTTTATTCAGACCTTTTTGAAGTAATGTAAAGCGCTTAGAACTTAAAAGTATAAGCGCTATATAAATATTTTATTATATTATTATATTATATAAAATTTTAAGTACCATGACTATTTGCGGGCTCATAAAGGATGCCAATGTGTTGCATACTTTGACTCTCTGAGTGAAGTGTTAGTTTATTGTTTCCATGATACAAAGATAATTTAACTTAAGCAAATCGATACTTTGTATTCTGACGAGATGATCACAAGATGCTTAAATTGCACTACCCTGCCTATTTGGATCCAGATGTGTAAGCTATGATAAAATATTCAAGCCTTTGTGATGTGGATTGAATCATCTGTATTTGTGGTTAAATGTGTCCCATGTTAACTTTTTAAAGAAACTCATTACTTCTTTGCGCATGTGGTGGGACATCAGTCATCAGCCAGATCTTTTCTTGAAGGTCAGCAATGGTGGATGTTGTCAGCAATCCTTCAAGAATGTTTCTTCTCCCTCCTTTGTACTGACATCTCAATACCTTCAGGTTTTTAAAAAGGTAATTATATAAAAAATAATATGCATAAACTACAATAATGATAAAAATAATAATAATAATAACATACACTTCACAATATTGGTTGCCAACAAATAATACGTAGGTCAACCCAATTCTATATCAGAGTCAACTATTAAGCCAGATTGAAATCAAGAGTTGATCTTCATGATTCAGCAATGATTTCCAAGTTAGTTCCCATAGGTTCTTTGCCCTCTTAACCTCATGTTTATTTGGATCCTTTTTCTTCCTTCTGGCTCAGTAGAGAATCACTGGAATGAATTCAGAAGTTGCAATCATCCATCTTGTAGCAAGTCTAAAACTGGTTTCGGAACTTGTGACTTTAATAGTGTTGTCTGTTTGTTTATTTATTTCTTTGTTGTGTTTTGAACAATGTAAAAAACTTGGGTATTACAATCACATGCAGAAAATTATACAGACTGGCTCCCAGCAAACTACAGATTAGGCTCTTATTATGGATTTGCAAAATAATTTGGCTGTTTAGTTTAGTGAGGTACTGTAGAGCTCTGCAGTACCGACCAGCCATATAAACTATAACAGTTGATCCTTATACCGAGTCATCTACGCCAAGCAACCGCTTTGTATTAATTGTGCATCAATTGAATTCGATTTTTTGAAAAATTCTTGTCAGTGCAATTAACAAAATAAGGAAATAATTCCCAACGAACTGCCTAAATAGTATGAAATTATTTTACGCGTAAAATCGTAGCCAAAAACTTGCCAAGACTCACCAGAGACGCCATCTTCAAACGTCGGTCAAAAAGGGACTGGAACCGAAAAAATGCTCGCGGGCGCCTTAGGGTGCTCAATCCCACCACCCCTACCCCCTGCTTCCCTGCGCAACTTTTTGTTTACGATGCAAAGCAGTTGTCTTTCCTTTCTGAATAATTCAGGTTACGGAAATTAACCAGTCCAACTAGGAAAAGGGAGAAAATTTTTCAGTCGGCCAAAGATGTGTCGGCCTGTGGTCGACATACACCGAAGCATTCCGCCGCACCCGAGCAAACCTCTCAACAAGAATGTCAAGAATCCGGATCCAAGTTTATGACAAGTCAGAAAAATGAAATAATAAAAGATCTTCTTGTCACTTGTCGGTTATAGAAGATGGCCCCATGTGACAGGAAGTGGACCTGCCCCTATGTGACTATTGGCCACTCCAGAAAATACCATAACATACCATAATGCTTTTTGATTGTCGCCCCAAAGTTTTGCATAAGCATTGTCTTCAGTTTCTCTTGGGAGTTAAAATGGCCCCAAGAGAAACTGAAAACAATGCTTATGCAAAATTTTGGGGTGACAAACAAAGAACATTATGGTATGTCATGGTATTTCTGGAGTGGTCAATTGGTTTATTGTCACGTGTCTTTAGGAAGGACTGAACAAGACTGTCTGAGACATCGACAAAAATACTCTGGTTTGTTCCCCGTTAATCCTAACACAGGAGTGGATTACTTCTAAAAATCACGAATTGAAGTAGCCGAAATAACTGGTAAGCTCCTCTGTAAGTTACTTAAGGAGTTTGAAATCATTTGTCATTTTGTGCTTTGGCTCTGTTCAAGTGTCATATGCAATATATCAAAGGATATTGAATCCAGAAATTAGTCATTTGAATAAGGAGTCAAAATAGCAAAGGGGAGTTTTGGTTTTTTACAGCAAATTAAGTTAGCTCTGTTGTTGTAAATGGGAACATGTTCCTTTGGCATGCAGTAATTGAAATCGAAATATTACTTCAGTTTCACGTCGTGACGCACGTCGACTGGTAAATCGCGTGACTGTGTTGCGTGCACGTCATGTGATAAGGATTTGCAAGAGTCTGCGCTGCTTACGATGTCACGCGAAAGTTGCGATCGGGCGGGTTTTTGTTATTTGGGTCTTGACAGAATAAATTTTATAGTGATTTTACTTACAGTTGTGTTTGGATGGCTGTCAATTTTGTTCGTTTTTTTCCTCTTTAGTAATTTCTTTTTTCCTTTACTTCTTTGCTACTCATTTTCCCTTTTTTTGTTTTTGTTTTTCCATTTCGAATATAGTATGTTTTCAGTACAGCGTCTTCGCTTCTGCTAATCACTGCGTTACTCGTTTATTTATATGGATTAAAAGCCCCTACATAGTACTTGAACAACTTTTTTCTTTATTGCATCAAACATTTGTCGAGAGGTGAAAGTGGCGTTCACTTCACCATTCTAAGAAAAATATCACAAAACTCACAGTTTTCTGACTCGCTTACCACATTGTCACCACTGGCTTGTTTCGATTACCATTTTTATAAATTTTACTTGTTTTTTGAAACGTTCTTTTTGTAGTTTAAAGAGTACAGAAATGGCCCAATCAACAGTCAAACTGGCCTTCTCAACCTTGCTAGGCATTCTGGGTTGGCACGGTGTATTTTTGCTGTTTCTAATAATCGCACTCAAGCTTTTCCTTTGGGAGCCTCATCAGGAATCCAACATTTAGATGTCCTTGTACCTGGAATGTGGCTTATGGTACCATTATGTTCCTATTTCCTTCTCTCACCTCCTACACAATGGCAGTCTTTGCTTACTTTCGACAAGATAGTAACAGCGCTCCTTGGAAGGTTTTGAAGAAATTCTACGTTATCAAATACTCCTGTCCTTATTACGATGAGCGAACTGAGTGGGATTTTCACGCTGATCACTGCATTAAATGCCGACAGCTGAGGCGCGATTGGTCTTTGGTGAAGATCGCTGTGTCAGCAGTTTTTTCTCTTCTCTATCCATTGGTCTGGCTTTCACTAAGCTTTCTTCAAACAGCTTACTACGTTTGCGCTCATGTTGGTCCACGAAGCGACATCCTACAAAATGTTTGCGATGTGACCATCCTAAAGCCAGACGACTATGACATGGCCTACGGTTTGGCGGCGATTCGTTCAAAGACCGTTGGTAGCATTCTCTTTGTGTGCACACTATTTTTCGTAGGGGTCTTCGTGATACTCTATGGTGAAATGAAAAGTTATTTGTCCAAAAAGTTTGACTGGGACCCAAGTGGAAAAGGTGCATCGAACAGTCTACAAGTTCAGGTTTCCATTCAACCGGGCCCTACATCCGGGTCTGCTGAAACGGCTAGTCTCCATAGCAACAGGGATACACCTGTTGCAATGGACTCCGCAGCTGCAGAGAACGGAAGGCCGGTACGTATATCACGTGGATTTAAATTGATTACTAGGAGCAGAAATAAAATACTACGACGAGTAATACCTTTCCAAGGAAGGATTATTCTCTCTTGGTCGTCCACTTTTATGAAGTGAAAAAATGTTCCTACATGCCATAGTTTTGTCGATATTGCAAAAATGTACAAAATATACAACCAAGCAAACAAATTAGCACCTAAATTGAATAGCCTAAAAATTACTAACACTATTTCTCATTGTCATTTTAGTCTCCGCAATCAGTTAACTGCGGCAACCGAGCGATAACTATCAATTTGAGCAATGTGTTTGCTGAAACACTTCAAGGCTGTCTTCAAGACGGCGCATGGCAAGGAATCGACATATGCTGTACGCAACAGGAAGAGAGCGGAAGCCGACATGGATCTTACACACCGTTCCGCCAGCTTCCTCGCTCTGCACGGATACAGCAGTAACAAGCGGGACAACCTGGTTATGAATCATTACCCTCTGTGACGTAGAAAAGCTAAAACAATAATAAACGCTATAAGAAGAGAATCAATGAAAAGAGGGAAATATATTTTTTTGTTTTTTGTTGTTAAGTTGTAATCTTTTAATAAAGCAGTACGTTTTTTGTAGTATTAAAAGCTTAAACCGGAGGCTTAAGAGCGAATCCATGCAAAAATCGACCAAAATCGCCGATTCGTGGCAAGGCTCAAAAAATCAAAATCGCTCTTCTTTTGCAGACTGGTAGACATTAGTAAGTATACAAACGCTATGTAGTTTTTTCTTCGAAAGATCTGTTCGTTTCCGAGAAAAACGAAAAAAACCGTTTCAAGCCCTACCGTCGATTTCGCAAGCCAAAAACAGGGTTGAAATTCATCATGATTCGCTGGACTGGCGTTCCAATACAGCCGCGCTAGGAAGAAAACTTATTGCTAAAATTTTAAGTTTAACTCGTCGTTGATCAAAATATATAATATTTTTAGCATTACAACAGTCTAAGTAATTATAAAAAAAGCTAAAGCGTACGACTACCTGATGTTTAGCCACAAAAGGGCGTTGAAAACAACGACGATTTTCATCATGTGCCTTTGATCAGAATTTTTTCAGATTGCAGGCAAATACACTACAGGCATCAAACCATTATGTTATGCAAAAATTATTTTGGGGAAATAATTTCAAGCTTCTCAGAAATTATTTGAAAATCGTTTTACAGACAACATAAAGTAACGCCATCTTAACACATGCGTGACCATCGTCAGTCGACCAGGCAAAGGTCATGAAACGTCTCTCGGAAAAAGGTTTGGTAATATTCACGCACAAAGTTCTAAATGTTAAAGTACTCACCCTGTTCTTTGTTTCAGGTCTAGTTTTACGGCAAAATGTAAAATGTTTCCCGTTGCCATCTGTTCAAATTTGCCATTCTATATTAAACTCTGTTTGAGACTCATAACCAACAGGCATGCTTTCTAACGAAGTTCGCTTAGTAAACAAGTAGTAAACCCTCTCTTCCTTATCTGTCAACAACTTTTGTCTCAAAATGCTGCTAGACACCGCAGAAGGAAGCGCCAATCTGAAGGATAAAGCGCCCATGCGAACGTTTTGTGACTCAGTATGCAAATTACTGTCAACAGTAATATCAGATTACAGCTGTCAAGATCCCGGGGCCCGGGGTCTGGACCCGCTAATAGCAGGCGAAAAGCAAACGTACAACCTGGTATAATATAACATTTTTGAAAATGAAGAATTTAATTGGTAGCCTCAATGAAGATTTTCATTGCTTCGAGACGTGGGCATTATCAAATCAACAGATGTCTTAACAAAAAATTGTGTACATGTTTTCTTCCCATCTTCACAGATGGAACTTCCAGTTGTTGGCTGCACGTGGGCAATTCTGGCCTGCACGTGCGGTATTTCAGAGTGCCTTCTTAATATATGACAAATGTAATTTCTGCTGTGCTAAATGCCACTTTTCGTGAATTGAAACAAACATTTTTGGGGAGCGGGGGGGGGGAGGGCGGCGGTGGAGTACAAAAAAAAATATATATTCGCGCAAGGCAAAATTAAATGAAAAAAATTTATGCACGCCAATTAACCCTAAAAAATATTCATGCTACGGCCTAAAACTGAAATTCATGAAGGAATTTGATAAGGAAAAAATTTCCGCGGCACAAAAATTCCCCACCCCTCCCCCATAACTCTTCTAATGGTCCGTCCCTAATAGATAAGATTTCTCTTCGTGATCCCCAGTGTCCTGCGTTCTTGTAACATTCTGCAAGCGCATCTGCTACTGAGCTTGAAGTCAATGGCTTCGTCATTGGCCATTTCCCCACACGTTGGCTTGAATGAGGAACAAGTCAGTCGTTTGAAGTAAATGTAAAAAAAAAATAAAAAAAAAATGAAACTACAACAACAAATGCCATCAGAACTGGACTATGATCTTTAAATTTAAAAAAAATATATATATATATCTATATATTTACTCTGGGGAAATCGGGTTTAATTTCAAACTAAGAGAAAAAGTGAAAGGTTTATAGTATCGGACAGATTAGGTGGATTGGTACCGTACCCGGGAGACTCTGGGTTATCTAAGAGAGTTGACAACTATGATAAACTTTATACAGTATTCGTGGATTGAATCTAAGTGACTAATTAGTATATAATACAGTGAATAAACCAAGAGTACCTGAACCTACAGGAATGAGGATACCGGTTTGCTGATAAATATATTCTGAAATGTTCTTCCTCTAACTCTTTTGTCGGCTTTAACAGGTTTCCCTCTTCTTTCAATTATGTGATTGGCGCTTTCCTGTGGAACTTGGCACGAACTGGAATAACTGTTCCGTCGCCATCCAATACCGAGCTCAGAACGATGGAAAGGGGATATATTAAAAGAACTTAGGGCGCTTTCCATTTGTCAGAACTGGCCGGCTGGACCTTTGCCTGAGTTTTGCCTAAAAACGTTCTCTTTCGAGTATACCATTGCGGATTTGACTGATCTAGCTGAAGAGTTTGATTAAAAGGGAAATTATCATTGCGACGGGAATGGTCTGGCTGGTCAGTTCTGAGCTAAATAAAGTCTGTTTCGCTTTCAATACCAGAAAGAGACCATGTCAGTCAACCTATGCCCAGTTACGTCCTTAATAGTTTGACAGCGACAAAGGAACAATCTCAGTTGATCTCTGCTTATCCCTCCTATCAAACGAACACAGAGTACCTACTAATGACTCGGAGGAGCACGAACCTTCCATAGCTTCATCGAAGAAGAGCGCACACAAACAGTGTTTTTGCAGAGATCTTTTTTCTTTTTCAAGTGGGAATGAACGGTTGAATCAAAATAAACTAAATTTAATTCGATAATGTTAATCAAATGCCTAAAATGTCAAAATATTAAAGATAATTCTCAGGTAAAATAATGTCAACTGCAGTATTTTTGAAGAAGGAGGAGTATAAAAGATGAATCTTCTTCAGTGTACTGGAAGTAACGGGTGAAAGTCGGTGAACCTCGTCACGTGTATACTCGGCACCGGAAGTAGACCCTTGGCACACTCCTATGCAAATCAGATTACCCGTGAAGTGAACGGATCCACGAGCAAGCAACTTCGCTTTGTTGACAGTTAAACTACCGAGCTTTGTTTTATAGACGGCTTTTTTAAGGTCCAGGGTTCTCAAAATTTTAACAAACATGAGATGTTAACTTGAAAACATTAGAGAAAACAGAGGGATGAAGAAATTACCAGAAAGCTGTCACGCACCTTCAACGGACACATATTCCAGCGGACTTCACGACTACGGTAAGATAGGTGATAAGACGGCAAAATGAAACAACTTGGAGCTTGAAGTACAACAGATACAGGTTAAGGTGAGCTTTTTTAAAAAGTTGTTCTATATATCAAGGCTACCAGCGTCGTAAAAGGAAACCTAAAGTCAAATTGTTGGTGGTGGTTGTGTGACTCGTGTGTTGGATGCCGTTATTTTATGTTGTCTGTAACACGAATTTCAAATTATTTCTGAGAAGCTCAAAATGATTTCCCCAAAATAATTTTAACATAACATAATAGTTTGATGCTTGTAGTGTTTTCCCCTTCAATCTTGAAAAATTCTGATCAAAGGCACATGACGAAAATCGTCGCTTTTTTCAACTACCTTCCGTGGTTGAACAACAGGTAGACATACGCTTTAGCTTTTTTATAATTACTGAGACTGTTGTAATGCTAAAAATATTATATATTTTGGTCAACGACTAGTTATACTTACAATTTTAGCAACAAGCTTTTTTCTAGCGCGGTTGTTTTGAAATGCAAGTCGAGCGAATCATAGTGAATTTCAACCCTGTTTTCTGCTTGCGAAATCGACCGCGGGGCTTGAAACGGTTTTCTTGTTTTTCTCGGAAACGAACAGATCTTTCGAAGAAAAAACTACATCGCGTTTGTACACTTACTAAAGTCTATCAGTATGCCAAAGAAGAGCGATTTTTATTTTTTGAGCCTTGCCGCACTTTGGTCGACATTTGCATGGAGTTGCTCTTAACACCAGAGAAGGAGCAGTTAATCAAAGCAACGCTAACTCACAGAACTTGTGGCTAGTTGTTAGGTTTCTACTCCTGTTCTTGTTTAAAAGGGTTTTTTAGATAAATACTAGTAAATAAAAATACATCGAATATGTTTATCACATAAAAAATGTGTTCGATTTTTGTTTTATCAGGCAAAAGGAGATCATTAAAGACGAAAAGAAATTTGGAGGGGATTAGCTTTTAATGTGATTTCCCCCCATAATTTTGCCTATTTCCCTTTCTGTCTTTACTTAATATTGGTCTGCTTTGAAAGCTGTCTGTCATTTAAGCTACATCATGTAATTTTTTAATCAATCGCCAATAACTAAACAGTCAGGTCCTTAACCCTAATGTTAACGTCCCTTGTTATTCATTTTCAAATCACTCCGGCATTATTCAGACGCTTAAGAGGTCTTAAGGGTGTAGCATGATAAGAACAATCATCTTCACATTCGACTTTGAACTATTGGATTCTGTTCAGTGTTTTTTATTGTTCTGTTTTCAAAAGCTCAAAATGTGTGCCTGCTGTTTTTGATGGCTGATAATTTCCGTAATACTTCATATAAATGAAGTGTTGAAAATTTGAAGACTATTTAAGAAGCCGCTAGTGAATGGACCGCTATCGCACGGTTGGGGGGGGAGGGGGTTCGGGGCGATAGCATCAGTGTAGGAAGCATACGAATGAAGAAAATTTTATTCACCTCCCTTCTGATTCTTTTCCGACGATGAAGAAAAAAGAAATAGGAATTAAAGCTTCTGAGCAGCAATCTGTGAGATCGATCATGCCTGAATAGGGATCGATACTTTATATTAAGTCGGTTGAATTGGCCGATTAACTCAGCGTTCTGCGTAATACGACGAATGAGGTCAGCTCTGCCCCATAGGGCAGTGTGGGAAGCGGGAGTTCCGCTGAAAGTAGATTTTTTTGGGCAACCACACCTGCCCTTCAAAGAGACTGATGTTGAATTGATCAGTACACTAGTTATCAAAAGTCTCAAAACATTCCGTTCATTTCCTAAAATAATCTTGACTCATTTATGAATTATGACTGCTCGTACCACACTTATCACCTGACTGCAAGTATTTTTTACTGCAGGGCACTGTGCGCGTTTAAGTTTTTGGATCTCCACATGTTACATCATGAATACAATAGGCTCTCAGTGTTCAGTTCTTTGTCCTCACTCGTGACACGATAAACCTTCGCTTCCACAACTGCAGAGAAAGTTTTTTTTGATATATTTTGTGGTAAATGCTTGACTTGTCTGGAGCAGTGAATATAAATTGCGTTTGGGTTGTATTTTTAATTACATCACATCGAAGGGCGCAAGCAATATCGTGTTCCAGTCTCGTGTTCTTGTCATTTGATGAACTATGTGACTTGTTCCACGATGTCGGTCTTGCGATTTTGCTTCGATCTTACTCTGTTGTTTGGCTGACATACTGGAAAAAATTAGATACTATTTCAATCTACTTGTCAGTAAGAGAAGCAGTATCTTGTTCTTACTTGAGGTAAGGTTGTATTTTTGGCCTTTTTAGTCTTTTAAGCCTTTTATATGTGCGTCATAATAGTCAAGTGTTAAGTTTGGCTGTAATTAGTGTTAGTTTTTTTAAAAGTCCTTTGCGCGGATTCCCCTGAAATTAATGAAGTTAATGTGACGGGAGCTTCCTCGATAATTATTACTTTTTTTTATTAGCGGTCTGTATAAAGATGAGCCATTATTTTGTCTTGAGCGGCCTAAAGTAACCTTATTCACAAAATCAGTTGTTATAAACTCACACCGCAAAAATTTCACCCTCAAAGTCTTAACCTACAGATTCTGTGAGACAATCGTGATCGACAAAGAAGACAATGACGGTGCAAACAGTTCAACTGAGGCTTCTCAACGTGCTTGAAATGATGGGATGGCATGGCATGTACCTTCTGTTTCTGATAGTCGCATTCAAGCTTTTCCTTCCGGAGCAAGATGATTTTTTGTGTCCCTGCACTTGGTTTGTGGCTTATGGCGCGATCATGTTGCTTCTTCCTTCTCTTACATCCTACACGATCGCGGTGTTTGCTTACTTTCGACAAGAAGATGACAGCGGTCCTTGGGAAGTTTTGAAATCACTTTATGTATTTAAATTCGCCTGCAATTTTCACAACAACCGAAGCGAGTGGGATTTTCACGTCAAGCGTTGTATTCGTTGCAAGCTGGTGGAACGCGACTGGCCTCTGGTAAAGATTGCTGTATCAGCAATTCTGTCTTTATTATATCCATTAGCCTGGCTTTCCCTAAGTTTTCTCCAATCATCTTACTACGTATGCACTCAAGTTGGGCCAACGAATGAAACTTTGCAAAATTACTGCAAGGTGGAGTCTACGAACATGACGAAGACAAATTATACAAAGGCTTACGGTTTAGCGGTTATTCGTTCTAAGGCCTTGGGAAGTATTCTTTTTACCAGTACGCTCTTCTTGCTGGGAGTATTTGCGATAATATACGGGGAAATGAAAAGTTACTTAATCAAAAGGTATGACTGGACCCCAAGAGGAAGTCGCCTTGCAAAAAAACAAGTTAATGTGCGTATTATACCGAGTTATTCTCCTGGCACTTTAAGAGCAGCAAAGTCTGAAATATCTAGGGATATAACTGTCGCAAGAAAGGACGAAACTGCTGGCATTGAGAGACAGGTAGGTTTATCCAGGGGCATGCCCAAAGGACGAGGGAGCTCTGGGGACTCCAGGAGCCTCCCCCACCCTTCCCGGCGCATGCCCTCTTTTCCAACTGTTATAATATTTTGGGTTTATCATGGACTACAACTTTATTTACTCGTTTAAACGACGCGGATGGAAGCAAATTATCAATAAACACCTCAACCAATCAGAAGAATGCGGTTTTTTTCGAGGATAGTATTAAGAGAAACAAATAAAAAATAAATAAATAAATAAATAAATAAATAAAAAACAAGTACAGTACAACTCGTGGTGAACTTGGTAATCTACGCAATCCAGACGATAGAGTTTATCTCAGCAAAAAAGCGAGGTATTGGAACTTAATGTTATTTGCAGATGCTTTAGCGTAGGGGTTGTCTGTGATTTACGAAATTTGATTTTGAAATGAATCTAACCCTTGTACAAACGCCGCGGCGTTTAACTGAGTAAATACGGGAAGTCTGATAGGCGAGAGTCTACTGAAATCAAATACTTTTCAATGACCTTAAAAGGATTCAAGGACTTTTTAAGACGGCTACTAAAATTCAAGACCTTTTCAAGATTATACAACCATGGATGAACATTCACTAAAAATTCTATTTTTCTCGCTAGTTAGTAATCTCATGCGATGTACAGCGTTTAATCCGGTCATGATAAGTTCGACTGATGCAACTAAACAATCTGTTAATGTGGGCCTTTAATACATTATCTTACTAAGTTGAAATCTTTTGAGATTATTTCCACATTGGAGTGCTGTTTGAGTGCTGCTCAGTTATGAGCGTTGTTGATATTTGAACTTTGTATTACGTCATACGATTTCAAATTGTTTTCTTTTTCTTTCATGTCTAATTTTAGTTTCAGTTTCCTTTTCAACTGCAAGCAGGAAATGCGAGCAAAGTTATCAAAATAAATGTAAACAGTACATTTACTGAAACCCTACAGAGATATGTCAATAGTGGTGGCATTTGGGAACGGATTGAAGTCCATTGCTGTCAACAGGAAGAAGTAACAAACTGTCGAGGATCTTTAAGTTCATTCAGTTTACCATCTCGTGCAAGCCGGACAGCTGGACCAAAAGGTTATCAATCGTTTGACCAACTGATTAAATGAAAGCCAGCATTTTTCAGATAATAATATATAACAGATTTAGCCATGGCTAAAAGCGGAGCTTCCATTAATAAGTTTATAATTTAAATCAAACAATAAACTTGTAATCCACTAATCAGTTAACTTAAGGGCCAGTCTGCAGAGTATGGCAGAATTCGACGAAATCTCGTGCGTGCAGAGCTGATTTTAGCCGCGTGCAGCGCGTGCAATTCGATTTGCGCTACCAGAATAAGGGGGAATGCCCATAGAGAGGCTAAGTATCAGAAGGATGCGAGTTTTAGGCGCATTTCCAGCTGTTTTAGATGACCTAAATTTCAAATTTTCCCGGGGGAGCATGCCTCCCGACCCCCTGGTATGTTCATGCTTCACCGTTCAGTTCCCCCTAAAGAAGGGCCGTAAACAAGATTAATGACAAATTGCCAGTCCATTCATTCGTACATAACCTCTCCATACTGATGGGAAAGAAAAAATATAAGCTAGGGATGTGGAAATGGTGTGGGACAACTGAGAGTTTAGGATAGGTTTGGCAAAAAATATCATGGCTACGCCCCTCTGAGTCAGGTGCCAATCTCTCAGGCCCAACGCTGCCGCGTGCAATGCTACGATTTTGGTGTGCGCAATAAGCTTTTTTAAAACTGAAGGCTCGTGCGTGCAGTTGCCATACATGCATACTGGCTTAAGGGCACATTCATGTGACTTTGAGGGAAAGGCTGAGTGACTTTAGAGTGAAACATCTTACATCGAGTTTATAGCATTATATGTACACTTAAAAAAATAGCAATCCGCTTCGATCACTTTCAAGAGCCTTAATGGCTCTTGATCACTGTAGCTTGAGATTAGGCCTGGAAAACAAATTCTTGGAAAACAAATCAGGCCGAATTTTTTGCGTTCGACAAGTTTACTTTACAAAATCTTGCCATCAAATCTGGGGGTGTACAAAACCAATCTTTTATACTTTTTATACATCACCTCTGAGGTGAAACAGTACTATAGTATTTATCATACGGACCTCGCACAGAATGCAGTATTTCACAATTTTTCAAGACAAATTGCAGTCAGTCAATATTCAGGGCGATCAATCGATAGTTTTCATCTAGAATATCTCAGTCTTACTCAAGAAATTGAAAATTGCTTCGTGCTCAAAAAAATTTATTCATTATTATCTAAAATAAGTCAATCTAAAGCTACTGGCCTAGATCTGATCTCTGTGAGACTGCTTCGTGAATGTGTAGACTTGATTGCACCTTCTTTTTCGGTTGCATCCTTAATCGTTGTATTGTCTCTGGAGTTTTTCCTGATGATTGGAAATGTTCCAAAGTTATTCTTCTTTTCAAACAAGGCAAACGCGATGACTTGAATAACGATCGTCCAATCTCAATCATTCCTATAGTGGTGAAAGTGATGCAAATTATAGCTTACGATCAGATCTTCACACATTTAATTGTTAATAATTTACTTTCTAGCCACCGGTTAGGGTTTCGTCAGCTTCACTCGACTGTCACTGCACTACTCGAGGCTATCAACAATTGGGCTCTTAATATCGACAAGGGTGGAGTTAATGCTGTAATAATACGTGTTCTCGTTCACTTTTTTTTCACTGCCGCTCATTTTCACCTTGCATTTGATTGGTAGCAGCTTACATTTCCCATTTTGTCACCGCCACTACAAAATTTCCATGTTGTTCTTCCAACAAGAAAAATGTCTCCTGTTTTTTACCTGTCGTTCTATAGATCTCTGTCGCCCTTTTTGTCTTTGCGCTTCGCTGGCCTACCACCTACTTTCTCGATTTCTCCGTCTCTCTCTTGCTTTATATTCCAAATTTGTGGACATGACAATTAATCTAAGCTCAATACCTTAGGCAACACTAATCCAGAAATAATTTCCGCTTTCAGTTTTCGTCTTTATTGACTCTTTAGCTGTCTCTGCTTTACTAGACGCCGGTGGCTATGCTATATCTCGCCAAAATAACCTAGAGTTGCATTTGGGTTGCCATACCTGTTGATTAAGTTATTTTACATTGGTTTGCCTGTGGTGCGGACGGGTGGTCGGGCGGGCGGGCGTACGGTCACGTGATTATCAAGTTTTTTCGGATGGTTAGATTACTGCATTTTTTACCCATGGTGCTCTGCTGCGCGAGCTTCGCGCGCAAGAGCTCCGCTATAATTCAGAGACATTCAAATTTCGGCTCCACTACCCAGTACAAAATGAATAGAAAAACCTTTAGGTTTATTTTGGCTGTTTCGGCCGAGCACTGCAGATATAACAATACGTTATACAACATCTTCTATTACATTCAAATATGTGGTGAAAAACTAGAACAGAGCTGAGCGACAGTTTACTCAGAATAGTGTCAGAACAGAGGCCAGAAAAAAACCTGCCGGAAAAAAACCTCAGTAGGATCTATGGCTCATGCTCTGAAAAGCCCATCTTACGACGGCTATACGGCTGGAAGGTCTTTGCCTTTATTAACAAAACAAGTATTCCAACAAAGGACGGCAAACTCTAAATAATTTAAGGAAACGCAAACAAGCTAAGAAACCCTTGCGAAACTCGAACTGTCACTAGTAAATCAAATATATACCAAAAAAAATACATAAAAAATAACGTGAGCTAGCCTAGAATGCTTTCTCACGTGATAAGCATCCATTTTATAGCGCTCCATTTTACCGATACTGCACTTCAACTGCCGCAGAAGTATTTCATTTCCGGCTAATTTGTATCCAGTCAAACGCCGTAAATTCCATTTTTCATTCCCTTTGGGCCTCAGTTTGGTCCAAAAATAAGGGGTGGGTGGGCCCCTCCCCTGGATCCGCCACTGTATAAATAGGAATATTTTCGCATTCAAGTGATTTCGTAAGGTCCGTTTGGCTGAAAGCTTGGTGCTTATAACTAAGAGATATATTCTTTGCATTTCTGTTACTTTCTGTACACTTTAACGATAAACTTTTAAAATAGACCCCTAGGCCTTTCTATATGTAGTTTACTAAAAATATTATCTCAATTAAGTGATTTTGTAAGTTCCATATGGCCAGAGACGCCATCTTCAAACGTCGGTCAAAAAGGGACTGGAACCGAAAAAATGCTCGCGGGCGCCTTAGGGTGCTCAATCCCACCACCCCTACCCCCTGCTTCCCTGCGCAACTTTTTGTTTACTATGCAAAGCAGTTGTCTTTCCTTTCTGAATAATTCAGGTTACGGAAATTAACCAGTCCAACTAGGAAAAGGGAGAAAATTTTTCAGTCGGCCAAAGATGTGTCGGCCTGTGGTCGACATACACCGAAGCATCCCGCCGCACCCGAGCAAACCTCTCAACAAGAATGTCAAGAATCCGGATCCAAGTTTATGACAAGTCAGAAAAATGAAATAATAAAAGATCTTCTTGTCACTTGTCGGTTATAGAAGATGGCCCCATGTGACAGGAAGTGGACCTGCCCCTATGTGACCATTGGTTTATTGTCACGTGTCTTTAGGAAGGACTGAACAAGACTGTCTGAGACATCGACAAAAATACTCTGGTTTGTTCCCCGTTAATCCTAACACGGGAGTGGATTACTTCTAAAAATCACGAATTCAAGTAGCCGAAATAACTGGTAAGCTCCTCTGTAAGTTACTTAAGGAGTTTGAAATCATTTGTCATTTTGTGCTTTGGCTCTGTTCAAGTGTCATATGCAATATATCAAAGGATATTGAATCCAGAAATTAGTCATTTGAATAAGGAGTCAAAATAGCAAAGGGGAGTTTTGGTTTTTTACAGCAAATTAAGTTAGCTCTGTTGTTGTAAATGGGAACATGTTCCTTTGGCATGCAGTAATTGAAATCGAAATATTACTTCAGTTTCACGTCGTGACGCACGTCGACTGGTAAATCGCGTGACTGTGTTGCGTGCACGTCATGTGATAAGGATTTGCAAGAGTCTGCGCTGCTTACGATGTCACGCGAAAGTTGCGATCGGGCGGGTTTTTGTTATTTGGGTCTTGACAGAATAAATTTTATAGTGATTTTACTTACAGTTGTGTTTGGATGGCTGTCAATTTTGTTCGTTTTTTTCCTCTTTAGTAATTTCTTTTTTCCTTTACTTCTTTGCTACTCATTTTCCCTTTTTTTGTTTTTGTTTTTCCATTTCGAATATAGTATGTTTTCAGTACAGCGTCTTCGCTTCTGTTAATCACTGCGTTACTCGTTTATTTATATGGATTAAAAGCCCCTACATAGTACTTGAACAACTTTTTTCTTTATTGCATCAAACATTTTTCGAGAGGTGAAAGTGGCGTTCACTTCACCATTCTAAGAAAAAGATCACAAAACTCACAGTTTTCTGACTCGCTTACCACATTGTCACCACTGGCTTGTTTCGATTACCATTTTTATAAATTTTACTTGTTTTTTGAAACGTTCTTTTTGTAGTTTAAAGAGTACAGAAATGGCCCGATCAACAGTCAAACTGGCCTTCTCAACCTTGCTAGGCATTCTGGGTTGGCACGGTGTATTTTTGCTGTTTCTAATAATCGCACTCAAGCTTTTCCTTTGGGAGCCTTATCAGGAATCCAACAGTTCATGTCCTTGTACCTGGAATGTGGCTTATGGTACCATTATGTTCCTATTTCCTTCTCTCACCTCCTACACAATGGCAGTCTTTGCTTACTTTCGACAAGATAGTAACAGCGCTCCTTGGATGGTTTTGAAGAAATTCTACGTTATCAAATACTCCTGTCCTTATTACGATGAGCGAACTGAGTGGGATTTTCACGCTGATCACTGCATTAAATGCCGACAGCTGAGGCGCGATTGGTCTTTGGTGAAGATCGCTGTGTCAGCAGTTTTTTCTCTTCTCTATCCATTGGTCTGGCTTTCACTAAGCTTTCTTCAAACAGCTTACTACGTTTGCGCTCATGTTGGTCCACGAAGCGACATCCTACAAAATGTTTGCGATGTGACCATCCTACAGCCAGACGACTATAACATGGCCTACGGTTTGGCGGCGATTCGTTCGAAGACCATTGGTAGCATTCTCTTTGTGTGCACACTATTTTTCGTAGGGGTTTTCGTGATACTCTATGGTGAAATGAAAAGTTATTTGTCCAAAAAGTTTGACTGGGACCCAAGTGGAAAAGGTGCATCGAACAATCTACAAGTTCAGGTTTCCATTCAACCGGGCCCTACATCCGGGTCTGCTGAAACGGCTAGTCTCCATAGCAACAGGGATACACCTGTTGCAATGGACTCCGCAGCTGCAGAGAACGGAAGGCCGGTACGTATATCACGTGGATTTAAATTGATTACTAGGAGCAGAAATAAAATATTACGACGAGTAATACCTTTCCAAGGAAGGATTATTCTCTCTTGGTCGTCCACTTTTATGAAGTGAAAAAATGTTCCTACATGCCATAGTTTTGTCGATATTGCAAAAATGTACAAAATATACAACCAAGCAAACAAATTAGCACCTAAATTGAATAGCCTAAAAATTACTAACACTATTTCTCATTGTCATTTTAGTCTCCGCAAGCAGTTAACTGCGGCAACCGAGCGATAACTATCAATTTGAGCAATGTGTTTGCTGAAACACTTCAAGGCTGTCTTCAAGACGGCGCATGGCAAGGAATCGACATATGCTGTACGCAACAGGAAGAGAGCGGAAGCCGACATGGATCTTACACACCGTTCCGCCAGCTTCCTCGCTCTGCACGGATACAGCAGCAACAAGCGGGACAACCTGGTTATGAATCATTACCCTCTGTGACGTAGAAAAGCTAAAACAATAATAAACGCTATAAGAACAGAATCAATGAAAAGAGGGAAAGATATTTTTTTGTTTTTTGTTGTTAAGTTGTAATCTTTTAATAAAGCAGTACGTTTTTTGTAATATTAAAAGCTTAAACCGGAGACTTAACACCAGAGAAGGAGCAGTTAATCAAAGCAACGCTAACTCACAGAACTTGTGGCTAGTTGTTAGGTTTCTACTCCTGTTCTTGTTTAAAAGGGTTTTTTAGATAAATACTAGTAAATAAAAATACATCGAATATGTTTATCACATAAAAAATGTGTTCGATTTTTGTTTTATCAGGCAAAAGGAGATTATTAAAGACGAAAAGAAATTTGGAGGGGATTAGCTTTTAATGTGATTTCCCCCCATAATTTTGCCTATTTCCCTTTCTGTCTTTACTTAATATTGGTCTGCTTTGAAAGCTGTCTGTCATTTAAGCTACATCATGTAATTTTTTAATCAATCACCAATAACTAAACAGTCAGGTCCTTAACCCTAATGTTAACGTCCCTTGTTATTCATTTTCAAATCACTCCGGCATTATTCAGACGCTTAAGAGGTCTTAAGGGTGTAGCATGATAAGAACAATCATCTTCACATTCGACTTTGAACTATTGGATTCTGTTCAGTGTTTTTTATTGTTCTGTTTTCAAAAGCTCAAAATGTGTGCCTGCTGTTTTTGATGGCTGATAATTTCCGTAATACTTCATATAAATGAAGTGTTGAAAATTTGAAGACTATTTAAGAAGCCGCTAGTGAATGGACCGTTATCGCACGGTCGGGGGGGAGGGGGTTCGGGGCGATAGCATCAGTGTAGGAAGCATACGAATGAAGAAAATTTTGTTCACCTCCCTTCTGATTCTCTTCCGACGATGAAGAAAAAAGAAATAGGAAGTAAAGCTTCTGAGCAGCAGTCTGTGAGATCGATCATGCCTGAATAGGGATGAATTTAGAGAATTGGCCGATTAACTCAGCGTTCTGCGTAATATGACCAATGAGGTCAGCTCTGCCCCATAGGGCAGTGTGGGAAGCGGGAGTTCCGCTGAAAGTAGATTTTTTTGGGCAACCACACCTGCCCTTCAAAGAGACTGATGTTGAATTGATCAGTACACTAGTTATCAAAAGTCTCAAAACATTCCGTTCATTTCCTAAAATAATCTTGACTCATTTATGAATTATGACTGCTCGTACCACACTTATCACCTGACTGTCGCAAGTATTTTTTACTGCAGGGCACTGTGCGCGTTTAAGTTTTTGGGTCTCCACATGTTACATCATGAATACAATAGGCTCTCAGTGTTCAGTTCTTTGTCCTCACTCGTGACACGATAAACCTTCGCTTTCACAACTGCAGAGAAAGGTTTTTTTGATATATTTTGTGGTAAATGCTTGACTTGTCTGGAGCAGTGAATATAAATTGCGTTTGGGTTGTATTTTTAATTACATCATATCGAAGGGCGCAAGCAATATCGTGTTCCAGTCTCGTGTTCTTGTCATTTGATGAACTATGTGACTTGTTCCACGATGTCGGTCTTGCGATTTTGCTTCGATCTTACTCTGTTGTTTGGCTGACATACTGGAAAAAATTAGATACTATTTCAATCTACTTGTCAGTAAGAGAAGCAGTATCTTGTTCTTACTTGAGGTAAGGTTGTATTTTTGGCCTTTTTAGTCTTTTAAGCCTTTTATATGTGCGTCATAATAGTCAAGTGTTAAGTTTGGCTGTAATTAGTGTTAGTTTTTTTAAAAGTCCTTTGCGCGGATTCCCCTGAAATTAATGAAGTTAATGTGACGGGAGCTTCCTCGATAATTATTACTTTTTTTTATTAGCGGTCTGTATAAAGATGAGCCATTATTTTGTCTTGAGCGGCCTAAAGTAACCTTATTCACAAAATCAGTTGTTATAAACTCACACCGCAAAAATTTCACCCTCAAAGTCTTAACCTACAGATTCTGTGAGACAATCGTGATCGACAAAGAAGACAATGACGGTGCAAACAGTTCAACTGAGGCTTCTCAACGTGCTTGAAATGATGGGATGGCATGGCATGTACCTTCTGTTTCTGATAGTCGCATTCAAGCTTTTCCTTCCGGAGCAAGATGATTTTTTGTGTCCCTGTACTTGGTTTGTGGCTTATGGCGCGATCATGTTGTTTCTTCCATCTCTTACATCCTACACGATCGCGGTGTTTGCTTACTTTCGACAAGAAGATGACAGCGGTCCTTGGGAAGTTTTGAAATCACTTTATGTATTTAAATTCGCCTGCAATTTTCACAACAACCGAAGCGAGTGGGATTTTCACGTCAAGCGTTGTATTCGTTGCAAGCTGGTGGAACGCGACTGGCCTCTGGTAAAGATTGCTGTATCAGCAATTCTGTCTTTATTATATCCATTAGCCTGGCTTTCCCTAAGTTTTCTCCAATCATCTTACTACGTATGCACTCAAGTTGGGCCAACGAATGAAACTTTGCAAAATTACTGCAAGGTGGAGTCTACGAACATGACGAAGACAAATTATACAAAGGCTTACGGTTTAGCGGTTATTCGTTCTAAGGCCTTGGGAAGTATTCTTTTTACCAGTACGCTCTTCTTGCTGGGAATATTTGCGATAATATACGGGGAAATGAAAAGTTACTTAATCAAAAGGTATGACTGGACCCCAAGAGGAAGTCGCCTTGCAAAAAAACAAGTTAATGTGCGTATTATACCGAGTTATTCTCCTGGCACTTTAAGAGCAGCAAAGTCTGACATATCTAGGGATATAACTGTCGCAAGAAAGGACGAAACTGCTGGCATTGAGAGACAGGTAGGTTTATCCAGGGGCATGCCCAAAGGACGAGGGAGCTCTGGGGACTCCAGGAGCCTCCCCCACCCTTCCCGGCGCATGCCCTCTTTTCCAACTGTTATAATATTTTGGGTTTATCATGGACTACAACTTTATTTACTCGTTTAAACGACGCGGATGGAAGCAAATTATCAATAAACACCTCAACCAATCAGAAGAATGCGGTTTTTTTCGAGGATAGTATCAAGAGAAAAAAATAAAAAATAAATAAATAAATAAATAAATAAAAAACAAGTACAGTACAACTCGTGGTGAACTTTGTAATCTACGCAATCCAGACGATAGAGTTTATCTCAGCAAAAAAGCGAGGTATTGGAACTTAATGTTATTTGCAGATGCTTTAGCGTATGGGGGTTGTCTGTGATTTACGAAATTTGATTTTGAAATGAATCTAACCCTTGTACAAAAGCCACGGCGTTTAACTTAGTAAATACGGGAAGTCTGATAGGCGAGAGTCTACTGAAATCAAATACTTTTCAATGACCTTAAAAGGATTCAAGGACGTTTTAAGACGGCTACTAAAATTCAAGACCTTTTCAAGATTATACAACCATGGATGAACATTCACTAAAAATTCTATTTTTCTCGCTAGTTAGTAATCTCATGCGATGTACAGCGTTTAATCCGGTCATGATAAGTTCGACTGATGCAACTAAACAATCTGTTAATGTGGGCCTTTAATACATTATCTTACTAAGTTGAAATCTTTTGAGATTATTTCCACATTGGAGTGCTGTTTGTTTGTTTGTTTTCTTTCAGTTCCTTAATAACTGCATACTTTTACAAAATTGTGTGATTTCAGTTATGGGCGTTGTTGATATTTGAACTTTGTATTACGTCATACGATTTCAAATTGTTTTCTTTTTCTTTTATGTCTAATTTTAGTTTCAGTTTCCTTTTCAACTGCCAGCAGGAAATGCGAGCAAAGTTATCAAAATAAATGTAAACAGTACATTTACTGAAACCCTACAGAGATATGTTAATGGTGGTGGCATTTGGGAACGGATTGAAGTCCATTGCTGTCAACAGGAAGAAGGAACAAACTGTCGAGGATCTTTAAGTTCATTCAGTTTACCATCTCGTGCAAGCCGGACAGCTGGACCAAAAGGTTATCAATCGTTTGATCAACTGATTAAATGAAAGCCAGCATTTTTCAGATAATAATATATAACAGATTTAGCCAGGGCTAAAAGCGGAGCTACCATTAATAAATTTATAATTTAATGCAAACAATAAACTTGTAATCCATTAGTCAGTTAACCTAAGGGCCAGTCTGCAGAGTATGGCAGAACTCGACGAGATCTCGTGCGTGCAGAGCTGATTTTAGCCGAGAGCACCGCGTGCAATACGATCTGTGCTACCAGAATAAGGGGGGAATGCCTACAGAGAGGTTAAGTATCAGAAGGATGCGAGTTTTAGGCGCATTCCAGCTGTTTTAAATGACCTAAATTTCAAATTTTCCTGGGGGAGCATGCCCCCGGACCCCCTAGTATGTTCATGCTTCACCGTTCAGTTCCCCCTAAAGAAGGGCTATAAACAAGATTACAGACAAATTGCCAGTCCATTCATTCGTATATAACCTCACGATATTGATGAGAAAGAAAAAGTGTAAGCTAGGGATGTGGAAATGGTGTGGGAGAACTGAGAGGTTAGGATAGATGTGGCAAAAAATATCATGGCTACGCCCCTGTAAGTCAGGTGCAAATCTCTTAGGCCCAACGCTGCCGCGTGCAATGTTACGATTTTGGTGTGCGCAATAAGCTTTTTTAAAACTGAAGGCTCGTGCGTGCAGTTGCCATACATGCATACTGGCTTAAGGTCACATTTGTGGGACTTTGAGGGAAAGGCTAAGTGACTTTAGAGTGAAACATCTTACATAGAGTTGATAGCATTATATGTATACTTAAAAAATAGCAATCCTGTTCGATCACATTCAAGAGCCATAATGGCTCTTGATCACAGTAGCTTGAGATTAGGCCTGGAAAACATATTCTTGGAAAACAAATCAGGCCGAATTTTTTGCGTTCGACAAGTTTACTTTACAAAATCTTGCCAACAAATTTGGGGGTGTGCAAAACCAATCTTTTATACTTTTTATACATCACCTCTGAGGTGAAACAGTACTACAGTATTTATCATAAGGACCTCGGACAGAATGCAGTATTTCACAATTTTTCAAGACAAATTGCACTCAGTCAATATTCAGGACGATCAATCGATACTTCTCATCTAGAATATCTCAATCTTACTCAAGAAGTTGAAAATTGCTTCATGCTCCAAAAAACGGATGTAGCTACTGTTTATTTATTATTATCTAAAATAAGTCAATCTAAAGCTACTGGCCTAGATCTGATCTCTGTGAGACTGCTTCGTGAATATGTTGACTTGATTGCACCTTCTCTTTCGGTTCCATCTTTAATCACTGTATTGTCTCTGGAGTTTTTCCTGATGATTGGAAATGTTGCAAAGTTATTCTTCTTTTCAAACAAGGCAAACGCGATCACTTAAATAACTATCGTCCAATCTCAATCATTCCTGTAGTGGCGAAAGTGATGAAAAGAATAGTTTACGATCAGGTCCTCACACTGATTTAATTGTTAATAATTTACTTTCTAGCTAGCCGTTAGGGTTCCGTCAGCTTCACTCGACTGTCACTGCACTACTCGAGGCTACCAACAATTGGGCTCTTAATATCGACAAGGGTGGAGTTAATGCTGTAGTCTTCCTTGATAGTAAAATAGTACGTGTTCTCGGTCACTTTTTTTCACTGCCGCTCATTTTCACCTTGCATTTGATTGGTGGTCGCTAGCATTTCTTATAATGTCACCGCCACTACAAAATTTTCATGTTGTTCTTCTAACAAAAAAATGTCTCTTTTTTTTACCTCTCTTTATAGATCTCGGTCGCCCTTTTTCTCTTTGAGCTTCGCTGGCCTGCCGCCTACTTTCTCTATTTCTCTGTCTTTCTCTTGCTCTATATTCCACTAATCCAGAAATAATTTCCGCTTTCCGTTTTCGTCTTTATTGACTCTTTAGCTGTCTCTGCTTTACTAGACTCCGGTGACTATGCTATATCTCGCCAAAATAACCTAGAGTTGCATTTGGGTGCCATACCTGTTGATTAAGTTATTTTACATTGGTTTGCCTGTGGTACAGACGGATGGTCGGGCGGGCGGGCAGGCGTACGGTCACGTGATTATCAAGTTTTTTCGGATGGGTAGATTACTGCATTTTTTACCTATGGTGCTCCGATGCGCAAGCTTCGCGCGCAAGAGCTCCGCTATAATTCAGAGACATTCAAATTTCGGCTCCACTACCCAGTACAACATGAATAGAAAAACCTTTAGGTTTATTTTGGCTGTTTCGGCCGAGCACCGCACATATAACAATACGTTATACAACATCTTCTATTGCATTCAAATACGTGGTGGAAAAACTAGAACAGAGCTGAGCGACAGTTTACTCAGAATACTTTCAGAACAGAGGCCAGAAAAAAACCTGCCGGAAAAAACCTCAGTAGGATCTATGGCTCATGCTCTGAAAATCCCATCTTACGAAGGCTACACGGCTGGAAGGTCTTCGCCTTTATTTACAAAACAAGTATTCCAACAAAGGACGACAAACTCTAAACAATTTAAGGAAACGCAAACAAGCTAAGAAACCCCTGCGAAACTCGAACTGTCTCTAGTAAATCAAATATATACTAAAAAAATAAATAAAAAATAACGTGAGCTAGACGAGGTGTCGGCCCAGAATGCCTTCCCACGTGATAAGCATCCCTTTCATATGGCTCCATTCTACCCATACTGCACTTCAACTGCCCCAGTCCCTACTGCTCCCGAACTGCTCCCGTGCCGCAGAAATATTTCATTTCAGGCTAATTCGTATCCAGTCAAACGCTGTAAATTCAATTTTTCATTCCCTACGGGCCTCAGTTTGGTCCAAAAATAAGAGGTGGGTGGGCCCCGCCCCTGGATCCGTCACTGTATAAATAGGAATATTTTCTCATTCAATTGATTTCGTAAGGTCCGTTTGGCTGAAAGCTTGGTGCTTATAACTAAGAGATATATTCTTTGCATTTCTGTTACTTTCTATACACTTTAACGATAAACTTTTAACATAGACCCCTAGTCGTTTCTATATGTAGTGTACTAAAAATATTATCTCAGTTGAGTGATTTTTTAAGTCCCATCGGGCTGAAGCTTGGTGCTTTTAACTCAGTGAAATATTTTTTGCATCTTTTCAACTTTGTATATACTTAGCCTCCTCCGCAGGCTTCACTGTCCGGTTTTGATTTGGGGATAGCGGAGAGACAAAAGCCGTTTACCAGGACCTACAATAGTTTGTTAGTTTGTCGAAAGGATAAAAAAAAAATAGCGTTAGAAAAGCTTTTCCAGGATATTCCTTCATTCGAATCTTCCCGGACCAGCAAAGTCCAGGAATGTCTTTTTTAACTACTATCAAATAAAGTTGGGAGTGTAAATCTCAGTGTGACGGTTTTCACAATCTTGTTGTCAAAACTATTTCAGGTTGTCCCAGTAGAGGCCAGTCGCCAAAAAAAGAGTGAAATCCTTAAAATACGAAAACTAGTCATTTACAGAAGGGGTTCTTCTTAAGACTAAACTGTTATTTTAAAGATATTTTACATTATCATGGTAAACCAATTCGGATGCCTTCTGTGACACAAAGGTTAAAAGACAGATTTTACGAACATCGACGCTGTTGACAATTGGGAACTTAAAAGCAACGACGACGACGAAGGTGACAAAAACGTCTGTAATAAAGTGAATGCCTGCTGTTTCAAACTTCATCGCTCTTATATTCCATGTTCAAGTTGTCAAATGTTGGTGAGTTTTTCTGAAGTTCAATTCCAAAGGACTGTATTTAAGTTTTAAAACGAAAATCGTTGTCTTGTGTTCACGTGACCATCTGCTAAACAGCGTAGCACGTAGTCAGCAGGCGTCTAAAGGGGTAAGGCAGGAGGAAGGAAAAAAGGGAGAAGAATCTCCCTCTAAACCCCCAAACCCCGTCCCCTCCACCCCGACCCCACACGGCCACACAGGCTATCTATTAGTCTGTTCAAGGAGGGCAAAAAGTCGGGAAAAAAAAGCGCGAAAAACCGCTTGAAGGCTGGGGAGGGAGGGTCGCTCACTGTCCCTTGATGCTCTTGCGCATTTTTCCTTGTCCGCTTTTTTTTCCACCTGTCTACGATGACCGAGAGCCTGGCATAGGCTAGCTATTTATCTGCTTAAAACCTGGGTACTAAAGGTCTCTACTAAAGTTGTCTATGACTATATGCAATAAAATGAATTGGTGATGTCACGAGTAGTATAAGTATAGGTAATAGCATGATTTGTAGTGATATTTGGCATAAGTACCACCAGTGATATTTCGAAATTGTTATACATAATTTCACGAGCCGTTAGGCGAGTAAAATTTGAGACAATTTTGAAATACCACGAATACCATGCCTAATATCACGTACAAATCATGCTATTATTTGTGGTTTATACTACTACCCACAAAAGGTTTGTAATTTTCACATGTAGGTATTTCAAATTAAGCTGAAATACCACTGCTCTAAGCCAATCAAATTGCAGAAATTTCTCATATAGTTGTATAAAGGACGTAATTCCACTCTATTGGTTACGAGCAACGGGGGCGGGAATTGGTTTGAACACCTGTGGTTCTAGTCTCACTTACTACTATCATGTTGTTTCCTTAGACATGAGAAAAAGTTTTGTCGTAGTCTCTGTGGCCTCAGATGGAGGTAAGATATAAAGGGTCCTGGGTATCATGTGTTTTCAAGGCCAAAAAAATGACATTTACTCCGCCGTTACTCTCTCTCTCTCTCTTTCCCGTTTAGCTGCGTTTCCTAGGGCACATTCTAAGAGCGTCCAGTGATGACCCTGTATGTGCCTTAAGGGAAAAGGAGACCAAGGAAACAAATATTCCTGCACAAGGATGCTATTTGGAGATGCCGAAAACGACCTTCATCCTGACGCTTTTGCAGCATAAGCTTAAAAAAGTATCAAAGTCGTGTAGTTATTTATTATGGCTCAAAGTTGTTTTCTTTATAAAAGCTCCTCAGTGATTTTTGGTGATTACAAATTAGTGCAAACGGAATGTAAAAACAACGACAACAACAACGAAACAACAGGGGCAGCCAACGAGAATATAGTTCAAAACCACTTAAACATGGCATTGTTAGACGTAGTTTAGTATTTAAACCGTAGATATAAGCATATTTTTATCTCTTAAAAAGTTTTGATCTGTTCGGATTTCCTAGCTGAAAGTCTAGTGATCCGAAAATTATAGGGATCAAAACTTACCTTTTCGAAAATTTCAGCCAGAAAAAAGGCTCACGAAAATTCTAGGTGACCTTTTTAGGGCAAAAATCCGTTAAAAATGGGCAATTATACCATTTTTTAGACGTTCGAAAATCCTAGGAGAGGCAGACAAGCAAGAAATTTTACAACAAATGTTCCGAAAATTCTCGATCTCAAATCGTCTTCCGAACAGATATTTTCCGAAAATTGACGTTGGGTGCCAGCCACTTTATCGACGATTTTCACAAACACAAGGTAACTAATTTTTATTTCTATCTTTGTCGAAAAATACAATTTAGGACGTATTTTGTTTATTTTCATACATTCTCATATAATTCAAAGTCTTACGAACTTCCACAGAGTTTGGGCTGCCTGTGAGCGAAGAAGCGCTCACTATTTCCTGCCTTTTTTCTGTTTTTTGCTACTACAGTGCATGTATTTCAGCCTGTGTTATCTATTCAACTCCGCTAAGGGTTTATCCCCATTTATTAATGGACTCTTTTTTCAAATTTGAGCTACGAAGTCGCTAAAAAGATAGAAAATCGCAGCAAACACATGCACCAAAAAGGGCCTTATTTTCCGCAGAGCAAGGAGGCCGCGCATTGTGGACGTTTTGGGACACTGGGAACGAACACTTATTCAAAGATGGCGCGCGGAAGGCATGGTTGGTTTTCTCCCGTTTTCCATCTACTTTGCGAGGTTAGTAGCGATTATAGATAGATCAAACAGAAAGAACTGTATTATTTATCTTTTTAAACAGTTTTAGAAGTGCTTGTGATAATGGTTTACTTTACATTTGGTAAGATCTTGACCCTCACTCTCGAGGCTCATGTGCTTAATGTAGCTTATCAGGCTTAAGCACAACTCTTTCAATAATTCAATCTCACCCTTCAGGGAGTTTTCAACGATTTGATTTTTAAAGGAAAATCGGTGCATTTCCAAAATCGTATGAGGGTTTTATTTGCAAATTGGCCTTTTTAAAAAGTGCAATGGAGCAAACTGTGTATTTGTGTGCTTAGTAGCCAAGCCTTTGCCTTGTCAGTGGGAAGCGGGGGTGTTTTTGGGAGAAGAACTGGAAGGGAGATCTCCTTCATTTAGATTCTTCTCTCTCTCTGAGGGTAGCATTTTTGGGATGGGGTGGGGGAGGGGGTTGGGGGCTAGGAGGGTTGCATTTGAGGGGACAACTGGAATGAAAAAAAGCCTTTCAATTAAATTATTGGAATTGAATTTAGGGCATAACACTAATGAGGCTATTATAAAAATTATTCATTTCTAATTAGGGAAAGGGTAATTCAAAAATGGTAATGACAAATTGGAAATTAAAATCAAGATGCCCCTGATTAAAGGGTACAGGGTATGGACACCAAGGTAAAACAGACATCTAGAGTTGGTCCCTGAAGAAGCAAGATTCCTGACTGTTGATGAAGATGATGATTATTTTTTTCATATCAGATATGTCCAGCAGATGTGTCAAGACTTCAACAGCCAGGATTTTGAGCTAATTATCTTTGGCATTGTAAGTGCTGTATATTGCTATAGCATATGTATTCAAGCTCCTGAGTGAACCAGATAAACTAAACTGCTAATACAGCTTCTTCAAAGTAAGATTGAGGCATGGCTTCATCAGATTTTTTTGGGACATACCTGGCCTAATTTAACACAAAACTCAAAACTTTTTCAAATTTGATGTATCTGTAAAATGAGAGATATGCTAGTGAAGGAAAAAAATATTTTTGAGTGACTTGACTTCTTCTTTATTTCTGTCAATATGTGGCAAGTTGTTTCTTGTTTACTAGTGAGAATTAAGACAGAGATTCAACAAAATTTTCAGACTCAAAGGAAGAATGAAAAACATTTTTGGTAATTGCTCTCCTTAGCCAATATTTTATGTGTATTTATCTATATTTAAATGAATGTTTCTTGAGATCTTTTCATGCAAGACAGCTAAAATCTCTAGGACAGTTTGAGGCCAAAGAGTACATTTTTTTCAAATTCAGATTCCAATTCAGTATGGAATTAATTTTTGACTGATAGCATGAAGATGGCATCAAGTTTGTTTTTTTGACTACCTAAACATTCAGGATCGAAGTGACCCTGCATATGATTTCAGAGACGAAGGTGATAACATGCTCACAACATTCTTCCATTTAAAAACAAAAGAAATTGACTTTAACACACCTACAAAGGATGCTAGAGCACAGTTTAATGAGCCTGTGCCTTTGTCTCACAGAACATGCTAAAAACAATAAAGTGTGCATCATAGAACAATGAAGTGTGAGCAGGCGAACATGGAAAACTGTTAACCTCTGATAAAAAAAGCTAGCGTGCAAGACGACACCTACTTAAGTGTGCAACTTAGTGTGCTATATGGCACGCAAACTTACCGGACGAGAAGTGAAAGTCATTGTGATACAATCATTTGATGTGAAAGCCGAAGCTCTTATCGGTAAAGAATGGTCAGCTCCATGATCAGAAAAACAAAGCTGAAACGTTTTCTACAAACAAGTCAAGGATTTAGTAAATCAGACTCTTTGAACTGTTGGTTTATATTGAGCCTGACTTTTTTCCGAAATATCACAAACGTATTTCTTCTAGCTTTCTTTTAGAGCACCCTCAAGTTCAAGGTTGAAATAATACTGAACGAATTGCCTCGACCGCATAACACGAGCTAACACGATCTTCAATCTTTCAATCTTTTTTTATTTCACACTATGTAAGGCATTTACGCAAATGTATGTACATTAAGATAGGATCAACCAAGTAGCTGATAAATAATCATTAAACTAAAAGACATTAAGTTCATTTGTTTACAGTTTCTAAAGTAGCAAGAGCTTTCTTGTTGGACACCATCATGTTCAGATAATTGGCAGCATCACAGAGAGGAAATAAAATCTCAAATAATATCAGTGATAGAACATATAAGAAAGTTTAAGATCAGATTTGATTGATTAGAAGATAGGACTTCCATTCTTTCTTAAACTTATGATGGCAGACACTTGAGGCCAAGTGGTACAGTCTCCCAGATTTTTGGAGCAGAGAATTTAAAGGACATCCTACCTTAGTTGGTGGATATTCTTGGCCTAAGATAAATCAGATTACTGACAAATCTTGTATTATAATGGTGTATATGCGATGCTTGATTCAGGACATCAAGGAAGATGTCAGGAATGCTATCAGTTTCATTTCTCATTCTATGTATAAGGCAACATATTTTTAATTTATATACAGTATATTATATCTAATTTAGGGATTGTTAGGAGTTTGAAATAGGGAGCAGTACTCTCTCTAGGATGTGCAATACAAATACAATCTAATCTGGTTTTGCTGGCACATCCCAAAGCAAGAATACTGTAACTCAAATAGGGATATATTAAAATGTAATTAAGTTGTTTCAGTATATTCAGATCTATGAAATATCTTAGTTTTGAGAGGATTTGTAAATTTTTAGCTAATCTATTATTTACATGTTGTGTCTGTGGTTGCCAATCAAGATGTTTTATAAACTAAAATACCTTATGTAATCTTTCTGTTCAATACCAGTGATGTTTATCTTTGGGTGGCATCTAGATGATGAGACTGACATAATTATAGTTGGTCTTTGCAGAATTAATAGCTAATTTATAAATGATTTAGAGCACAGGAGTCATAAATTTGTTTTTAAGCTCTTGATTCATTATGGATTCAAGTTGTTTTAAGTTCTTGCTAGAGAAGAATAAATTGGAATCATCAGCAAAGCTCCGCACTGAAAGTTTGCCAACACAGTTTAGTAAATTGTTCACAAAAATAAAAGGGGACCTAGAGTCAAGCCGTGGGATTTACAGCAGGTAATATTTTTATAGCTAGATTTAGTAGAGTCAATTTCAACATATTGTCTTCAAAAGGTTGAGTTTGATCGTCCGGGTGGATGTAGTCCTGAATAGGACTGTTGTTGTTGATGGTTACTGACGTTTCGACAACCTGTGCAGTAGTCATCTTCAGAGTTAAAGTGAGTTGTATCACGTCAGTTGATATTATACTCTGGTTATTGATCTGATTGGTCAATTATGTCGCGATGTTATTGGTCGTCTGTCAGTTAAGTCGTGATGTTATAAAGACTAGTAATCAGTGATTGGTACGTTTCGATCCGTCTATTGTCCCAGTTAAACAGTCGTCTATTGCTAGTCAAATTGTCAGTTCTCCAGTTGTTCTCTCGTAGTTAGTTTTGCTTGATCTCCTCAATAAGTGGCTTGTACAGCGCTGGTATTGTCTTCAGTTGTGCAAACAACTTTTGAACCAATTATGTGGTATACCCCGAATTCCATATAGATAGAGTTTAGAGAGCAGTATTTTATGATTTACTGTGTCAAAAGCCTTTTATAGGTAAAGAAAAAAACCACATGTTATTTGACCTTTATCAGTAGCAAGCTTCAGATTGTCAGTAATTTCAAGAATAGCTTGTTCAGTGGAATATCCTTTCCTAAATCCAAACTGATGTTTGTTCAAGATTTGGTGTTATCTATGAATGAATATAATTGGTTATAGACTAGACGCGCAAGCACTTTACTGAGTGGTGAGAGAGTTACTATGGGCCGATAGTTGCTAGAGTCTGTAGCATCACCACCCTTATACACCAGGCAGATTTGTGAGACTTTTAAAATATCAGGAACAATTCCAGTTTCAATAGACTGGTTATAGATATATGTTAAAGGTATTGACAATGGCTGGGCAGCTATTTTGATTAATTTATTAGGAATGTCTAAGGATGGCTTATGATAATTTAAACATTTAAATAGTGAACATACTTGGTTTCAGTAACACAGGACATAACAAAGCTAGCTTTTAAGTGGAGTCATTCTTATGAATTGGGTCAGACTTCCTTCACGATTTTCAGTTTTTTTGGCCAGGTTTTGACCCACATTGACAAAATGCTTATTCAAGTGATCAGCGATCTCAGCCTTATTAGTGTAGGCTCTATTGTTATGTTTAATTTTCGCGATGGGGGTTTGTCCCTTCGAATCGCGCTTAACTAGCATACCATCAATTTCCAAGATGCCCTCAGGTTGTTTTGCCACAGGTCAAAGTGTTGTGAGAAGTAATTCTTTTTGCAAATGTTCTTAAGCAGATTCAGTTTATTAGCATACTTTTTATATTCTGTCACCTTAATTGAATTGTTAGAAAGAAAGTGTGTTTTGTATAATTTATGCTTAGTTTTACTTGATTTGAGAAATTATACCATTAGTTATCCACCGCTTTGTACACAATTTCTGTTTCTTTTGGGACAATTAGACTAAATTGCCTAATTAGTGCATGTTTATCTGCAATTGATTGTGTTTCTTATCTGGTATATTTGTAACACAGACACCTGCGGGGTTGTCATTAAGAGCCCGGAGCCGGGGATTTTCCCTGGCTACTAAGAGAGTGGCCCCCAGCTACTTTTACTGGAAAATAGAAGAAAAATAGAACCAAAAGAAATCCCAAGCCATTTGATTCCCTGCCTACTTGTTGTATTTACCTGGCAACTTGAAATCAAGATGGGGTTTTTGTTTTTGGGAGTAGGTATTTCAACCAAAACAGATTCTACGAGGGGCATATCCAAAGTTATAACTTACCATAGGAATCATGTTAAAGCTTTACTGACATAAAGAGCAACCCCTCCCACCGGGGTTGGAAAATCAGTTTTGTAGATGTTGTAGTTAGTCAGCTGAGTCATCTAGTCTGGTTTCAGAAATTCCTAATACATCAGGCTGTTCACTTAAAAGAATACAGCATATCTTCAAGCAGGCTAATATTTTTTGATAAGCTACTAATGTTTACAAGGAAGAAATGAAGAGGATTTTGCTCCTGTTTTACTCAGAACCTTATTCAAACTGGGAATATCATAGTAATCAGATTGAGAGTTAATTGATATATGATCAGGGTCGGCATCATCAGATTTGTCGGAGTTGGGTAGCAAATTATATAAATCTAAATCTTTCAAATTATCTATCTGCAAGTGACAGGATCCATTTAGAATATGAAATTCTCTGTCATCTAAGTCATGAAAAGGTGAAGCTTGCAGACTATTTTGGGGATAATTCAGATTGAACATGTATGTGTCTATAGGTTAAGTATTATTATAGGGCACATAATAATTGTAGAGAAGAAAAAAGAATTACGAATTACTGCTTAGCTGTAAATCTTTAGCTATAAAATTATAATTATTATGAAGTCTATCCTTTGAAGTGTTTTCATTTTTGGTACATAAGTGTGAAGGTACGTATTGATGTGCACCACATGCGATCGGTAGAAAGATTGAAATATGATCTTGTACAGCCACCGGGAATCTTTTTCAAAAACTGTAATTTTTGTGATTGTTTCAAAAATTACTGCTAAACGAGAAATCTCCAAGTGGACTGTTTGTAGCAACACAGAAAACGCTAACTTCGATTGTTGCAGACCCATGCAAGTAAACTTTGCATGTCATGTATAATTTGAAACCTCTTGCTTTTACACACATTGAAATTTTTTTCTAAATACATACAACAGCAACCTAAGCTTTCTAAAATCAGCTAAAAGCAAGAAGAAACAGTCATGTTTTTAATACTCCAGGTTTTTCTAAGACTTTTAAATTCATTCGAGATCATTAAGTTTTTAGACAAGAAACTTCATCTGCACTACAGCGGAATTCACAGAAGCAAATTTCAAATGCTTGTTTGTTTACTTTTTATCAGAGGAAATTTTTTTGCCTAGAGCTGGTGATCAAAAGTTACACCTTTTCATTGCAAAAGTGCAGAGTGAGCAGGGAATTTTGTTGTCCGTTCTTTGGAAGTTGGGGTAGAGGCTATCCAATAAAAGATTAAATTTGTATGAGAGTTACGTTTTTTTTAAGTACCTTTTGTTTTACTTTAGCATGTTAATCTTTGTCAACTTGCACACTAAGCATGTCATCGATCACACTATATTAAAACAAAGGTTTAGGATGCTAACTACACCGAAACAAAACATAGTGTGTCCTTGATTGTTTCAGTAATTAATTATGCACATAAAGTGTATCTTTGGACACACTAAGCGTGTTGTGTCAGCGTGTTGCGAGTGTGTCATCACCTTTCTCCCTGAAATCATATGGAGGGTCACAAATGTTAATATGCTCTTAAAATTAAGTCTTTAAATGAACTTTTTCGCATAAATAGCAATTTGTCCAGGAGTAGCAGGCACAATTTACTTTGAACAAGCTGTGCCACTTTGTTAAATGACAATTATGTAATACTAGGTTCTGGCTTAGTATAGTTTGCTGACTGGCTGTCTCATTGACTGACTGACTTACTGATTCACTGAAAGACTAAATGACTAACTAGTCCAGTTGACTGACTGAGTGACTATTAATGGCCGACTTAAAGTTGGGTGACCAACCAACCAACTTACTGACTTATTGATGGACTGGCTGACTAATTTGCTGACTTCCTGACTGACTGGCTGGCAAGCTTGCTGACTGGCTGACTTGCCAAGTTACTGACTCAGTGACTGGCTGAATGGCTGACTTTTTGACTGACTGACTAATTGTCTTCAACCGACTGACTGAATGGCTGACCTGCTAAACACCTGCCTTATTGACTAACTGAATATAACTGACTGGCTGACATGCTGAGTGAGTGACTGATTGACTAACCAAGTGACTCATTGATGGACTGACAAACTCTCTGACTGTCTTGCTGACTGACTGATCTGGAGTAGCAGACACAATCTGCTTTGAACAAGCTGTGTCACATTGTTAGATAATAAGTATATAATGCTAAGTTCTGCTTTGATTCCTACATTTGATTGGACTGATAATAATGGCTGACTTGTTGGCTTGTTGACTGATTTGATGATGTACTGGCGGACTGATCGACTGACTTAATAATTAACTTACTGACTGTCTAAATGACTGACTTACAGTTGACTGACTAATCAACTGACTGACTTATTGATAAACCGGCTACTTGCTGACTGACTGACTCATTGACTAACTGACCAACTGGTTGACTTGCTGAGTGACTGTCTCATTAACTGACAGAATAGCTGACCTGCTAAATGACTGCGTTATTGAATAACTAATGATAACTGAGTGAGTGACTGATTGACTAACTAACTGACTCATTAGCTTACTGACAGACTGACTGACTGACCTATTTACTGACAGACTAGCTGACTTACTGACTGGCTCAATTACTGAATGAGTGACTGATGACTGACTGGCTGACTTTCTAACTTGCTGATTGATTGACTGATAGTATAGTAAAGGATAGGACAGGATTGTTGTAATTCCTTTGTTACAGAAGCAACTCTCAGTCATTGTGTTTGCTTAATGTTCACACTACTCCAACTAATTGGCTGACTGACTGATTGACTGGTGGCTGACTTGCTGACTGACTTACTGACTTCTCTGCTTATCAACTTACTGACCAACTGACTGGCTGACTGGTTCAATTACTGACTGGCTGACTGACTGACTATGTGGCTGATAGACTGCTTGACTTACTGGCTAGCTCATTGACTAATTGACTTGACTGGGTGGCTACATACTGAGATTCATGTTACGAAAAGGCATTAATTTTAATTCCTTCATGATGTGAATCAAGGTTACTGTGATTGCTGATAAAAATGACTGATTTTTCATTTCAGATCAGATTTGTCCAGCAGATGTGTCGAGACTTGAAGAGCCAGGATATTGAGCTTATCTCCACTACTGTGAGTGCTTACAGATTGCTTTGTAATTCAGCTTTTAACTTAATCAGGTAAACTGAAGTCGTGCAGCTTGTTTAAAGTAAGATAGACGTACACTTTCATCAGCTATTAGTGGCCATACCTGGCCTAAATTCAAAACTGTTTCAAATTTAATGTCTCTGTAAAATGAGAGATACATCTAGCATGTCTGAATATAATAAACAAGTGAATGAAAAACACTACTTGAGTGACTTGACTTCTTCTTGATGTTTACATTTGGCAGCTGTTTCTTGTTTACCACTGAGAAGACAGAGATTCAACAAAATTTTCAAACTGGGCATGAAAGGAAGAATAAAACAGTTTTTTAAAAGCATTTATTGAAATCAAATGAATGTTTGTTTTGATCTATTCATGATGGACTGCTAAAAGCTCTAAAACAGTTTGAGGCCAAAGAGTACATTGTGTACAGACCAGTTCCAACAAGTAGCACATGTGTAAATGGGACTGAAAAAATTGTTCATTTTCAAATTCATTTAGAAATTATTTTGTATTATTGAGATTATGATAGCATTAAGGACCTTGGGTTTTTTCTTTCCAGCTTAATTGTTTTAAATAATCATATGGATGCAGTTAAAATCAAATCTTAAAATTTTAAAAGTTTTTTTACATGACAAATGCCAATTCATACGTGATCTGTTTTGAGCAAGCTGCACTACAATGTTGGCATAATAATGCCAAGTTCTTCTTTTAGTCATTTATCATAGTTCTGCAATCTACATGATGCCATTTGAGTGGACTGATTTATTGACTGATTGACCTTTTCTTTGAATGAGTGGTCCTTAGCTGATTGACCGACTGACTAAATGAGTGACTTGCTGACTAACTAAATGACTGTCTTGCTGATGAGATGACTGACTACATGACCGATTGATGGACTGTCTAACTGTCTTACTAACCAACTTCCTGCAGATTATATTACTGATTAACTGACTAAATAACTGACTGACGGACTCACTGACTTATTTGGTGACTGACTGACTTATTGACTGACAAAATGGCTAACTTGTTGTTGACTGACGGACTAATTTACTTACTGAATGACTGACTAAAAGTTGACTGACAAACTGGAAAATGGATTGACTGATTAGCTGACTTGCTTTACTGACTGACTGGATGGCTTTCATGCCAATTGAGTGGCTGTCAATTTGACTAGATTACTGATGGACTGGCTGATTGACTGACTGACTGCCTAACATGTTGACTGATTGACTTGCTGACTGACAAACTCATTGATTGACTTGTTGAGTAACTGACTGACTTATTGACCTACTGACTAGTTAACTGACTGGCTGACTGACTGACCAGGAGGGAGGATCAAAGACCGGACCTGGGAGACGGCGGAAATCGAGCCTACTGTCTGACATACAAACTGAACAACAGAGTGACTGACTGAAAAGCTGACTAATTTACTTACTAACTAATCAGCTGACTAAATAACTGAGCAACTCAGTAACTGGCTAACTGTCTAACTGACTGATTGACTAACTGAGCAAATTAGTTACTGGCTAACTGTCTAACTTACTGAATGACTTAGTAACTGAGTTACTAGCTGATTGCTTAACTGTTTAACTGACTGGCTGACAGAATGGCTGACTGAATAACTGACAGAATGACTGACTGATTGAACACCATACCAAGTGTCTGACTAACTTCAAGCAATAAACCAACTGGCTGACTGAGCTGAAAAAGCCACTGACTGGCTGACTGGCTACTCCTGACTGACAGACTGACTAACTGACTGACTGATCAACTGACTGAGTGACTGACTGTGTAAGGAGGGGAGGGGACTGTTATCAAGGCAGGAGTGCCGTTTGCTAGTACAGTCAAGGGGTGTGTGTTTTTAAATTATTATACAGTACCGTTCAAAAGTAAGTTGACACTCGATTCTCGATTGTTGCGTCTCTATTCCCGATTCCTGCAAGACTTATCAAACCGGAACGGCCTCTGTTTACAAACGATTATAAAGGGTTTTGTTTCGAGTAATTTGCTCTCTACTCTCGATACTCAATTGCTGCGAGAATCTACAATCTTTGTTCAAGTTTTGTGCAATCTTCTAACTTCGCTCACGTCAAAAAAAATCTCTCTAATCTATAAAATAACAAACTCTACTCAGCGTTTGATTCTTGCGAGAAATTCCTGAACTATGCAGATTATACAGTAGCAGTTTACATTTGCATTCGCTCACACGGCAAGGGTGACACTTTGCGTCGAATTCTTAAATATGTTCGAACGGCATTTTGCATCATTTAAATGGCAGAAGTTGTCAGTAATTTCCCGTGGGATGCCTGTGGCACACCACGTAAAAACGAGCAATTGCAAAGCCCGCTAATAGGATTGCGGAAAATCTCTATCGATTATTTCTTCTTCCGAGCTGACCAGTGGGATTGTACAAAATCTTTATCGATTTTCAATCAATTTGCTTCCTCTGAACGTTTCGGAACGTGCCAGTCTGGGAACGTGCCAAATTTGTCGCTTGTCAGTTTCCCACTCGAATGTTAGGACGCCTTTTTAAACAGCAAAATCCTTCGGAATGCTGGCAAGTCACTGGAAGCGACCTAGTAGACCTAGGCCAAATTATTTCTTTTTATTTTGGGTTTTTCCCATCATGATTCTTTTTAGGTTAGGTCTAGCTTTTTCTTGACGTTTTAGTAGCGTCTGGTTGTAGGGACGGGATTTCGCATAGTTTTTTTGCTAGAGTTCAGTTTTTTCTTTTCTTATCGAAAACACCTTGACGATGGGAGGTTAAATCGCGTAAATTTCAACTCGTACCCTTGACGATTGGCGGTGAAATCGCGAAAATATTGTCCTCGTCGATCGATGACTCGCTTTCCACATGAATTGGACTTTTGGATGGGACACGGATCCGGACCTTAGTGAACTTATTATACCTCGGAATCATGGATAACCGTTGGAACTTTTTTAACTTTGAGACCTTGGAAACACATTGCAATTTAATTTTTAACCGGATCAAGAGCTTCTTGGAATATTAACTTTCATCTAGGATTAAAACATTGGAACTTTATCAACTATTTCTTTCCGATTTCCTTTATTTTGCCAAATTCAGATAGAACGCAACGATGCTTACATAGACCAATGCATCCCACGGGAACGACTTTTGGCGTCTTGTTATCTGTAGAATCCAAAATACTTGTAAAAGGAAGCTTGTGTAAATAAATGTTAAATACGCGACGGTGTGTAAACAAAGTCTCAAGGCGCTTCTCGTTGCTTTCGAATTTTACTCGCCGATATTTTTTCGATTGCCTGTTTGTGAATGGCCATCGGCATTATCGCAGTTGATTATCGGTGTCTACAGTCTGAGGGTGTCTTTTTTTCGCTGGTAACTTTACTTTGTAATTTGACCTCTTGACGAGAATTGCTGTTTTCGCGATATGCGATAGCATCTCCCTTTGATATTTCACCCTTTGTTTTTTATGAGACGTGATTTCCTACATAAAAGTTTCGAAAAATCCAGAAACGTCCAGGAGCTTTGAAAACAATATTTTGTCTCGTGCAGTACAATCCAATTTTGAAGTTAACATCGCGCAAGTTTTCATCACAGTAGTTGCAGAAAGTTCACGCATATCATGTTCAATCGCGGAGGAAAGAAGAGAGACTTACGAGAGATTATCTCAAAGGCCTCAAACTTAAAAGAACGCGCTAAATTTCCTAGTAGAATTAAAACCATTTGTTTCACGAAAGTTTTCAAGGATCACGAGAGCAATTTCAGAGCAAGAGATTAGTCATGTTACGGACGGACGTGTATGTTACAGCTGATCTTTATCAAGCGAAGCGACGTTACAAAATAAACATCCTGTTGCTTGTACCGCGGAGGGGAGCAGAACTCCCATATGAAAGGGGGGGATGCTCGTCGTCTCTCTTAGGGGTGTAAATTTCTGATTTGGTCTCACTTAGGGTGTTCTGAGCAAAACGTCATTATATTAAGCCGTAAAGGTCTCTTTTAGGGTTGCACGCGAAGATATACATTTAATAGTCAGTTCGTTTCATTTACTCAATTCGTGTAATCAAAGTTTTCTATAACATGAATAATTAAAGAACATTGCAACAAAATGGTCTCTTTTAGGGGTTAAAAAAAGGTTGGTCCACCTCCAGGTTGGTCTCCTTCACGGGTTTTTCAAAATTTCCGACCAGCATCCCCGCCCCTTTCATATTTGAGTCCCCCGGGTAAAAAATATACCTATTGCGTGACATTGCGCTACATCTCTTGCAGCGTGACGCGTCACAAAAAACAGCAAAAATCCCGTCAGGGAGGAGCTCTGGTGGCCATTTTTTCCCATTTAACCTCTGGGACGGAGGTAACCGTTTAACCTCTGGTGCCGAGGTTCCCGTTTAACCTCTGGGACCGAGTTAATAGTTCGAGCACCTCCCTGCACTTGCTGGGCCGGAGTTTGGTGACCGTCAGCAAGCTCGACAGCCCCCCCCCGGTAAGTCGCATCCGCACGGATTAGTCAAGCAGGCTTCAGAGAGTTGGCCATCTCTCACCGCCCTATAACCCCACCGGAAATAATCGACCTAACTTTGCCTTAGAAAATCGACCTATATATTTAGATCGAAAACTCATTTCGCTCCCTTATGGTACGCTTCTTCACAGGCGCATGCGTTTTTGGCCCCCCAAAATTATTTGGACTTTTCGTTGATTCATACACAACATCCCCATTCACTCATTTGTAAAACATGTTTTTTCTTCAAAATCTCGGCTAGCCCAGCTTTCAACAAACTCCTGTTAATAATAATATTTATTGAGATGACTTTTTCATATAAAATATGGTTTTCAAAAAGGATCTCATAAAATTAAAAAAAGAAAATACAAAACACACAATTCGCAAAGACATTAAAAAGCTAAAATATGAAAAAACTATTAAAATGTACAAGATATTAACTCAAATTCATTGAAATTACAAATTTAATAAGATTACGTTTAAAAATATTCAGATTCACGGATTGTCTGATTGCCTGGCTAAGGGAGTCAAAATCCTTGATGGCATGAAACGCATTTAAGTTACAAATTTAAAAAGATTACGTTTAAAAATATTAAGATTCACGGATTGTCTGATTGCCTGGCTAAAGGATTTAAAATCCTTGATGGCATGAAATGCAGTGCGTTGTTTGCCCCAATTCCTCTTTACACTTGGAGGTCTGAGATTCAGCTTAGTTCTGGTATTATAATCATGTTGTTCTTGCTGTCTTATGAAGTTCATATCATGCTCAACAAGTCCATTTAAACACTTATACACATAACTACATCTTCTCTGAAAATGCCCTTTTTCTAATGGAACCCACTTATGAGTGGCAAGTGCATGCATAGCAGATGAATAAAGAGGTCTGTCTGAAATTATTTTAGCCGCCTTAGTCTGCAAGACTTGCAAACTGGTCATTAAGGTTACATTATGCTTGTCTCCCCAAACAAGGTCTGCAGAATCAAATAAAGGCACGACAAGACTATTATAAAAAAGAAGGAGTGCACTAAAAGGTAATAAATGCTTAATGTGATTAAGGAGACCAAGCCTTTGATTAGTTTTACCAGCAATGTATTCAACATGATTTGTCCATGTAAAATCAGGTGATATAACAATTCCAAGGTATTTGAAGTGTTGACATTATTTACATTGTGGTCGAAGATTGATACTATTACAGCCATTTTTCTTTCCAATTTCATATTACTTCCTACAAGCATACATTTGGTTTTCTCGAGATTCAAAGTTAGCTTGTGATTGTTTAGCCATTTCGCTATGGCCAACAAGTCGCGATCTAGATTATCACTGAGCTCCTGGGACGATGAGCTGTAAGAGTAAATCACGGTGTCGTCTGCATAGAGGGATGCATTACAACAAAACATATGCCTATAGCTTAGACAACAAGATCTGATGTTCCACCGTATCAAAAGCTTTTGTTAGGTCCAAAAACACGGCTCCACATAGTCTACCCTGTTCCTCATTGAGAAGGAGTGGACAGTCCCTTCTGAAATCCAAACTGTTTTCCTGAGAGGCATTTATTGGCAACCAGGAAGTGGTATAACTGTGTATGTACAGCTTTCTCAAGAATCTTGCTGAGTGTAGGCAGAATAGAGATAGGTCGGTAGTTTGATGCATTTGTCCTGTTCCCTGAGTTAAACAGGGCTGTATTTTAAAACATGTCCGCAATTTAGGAAATTTACCAGTTTTAATTGATAGATTCAGTAACTCAGTAACAGATAGTGCAATTGTATGAGCAGAGTTTTTGAGCAAACTTGCGCGAATTTTGTCCAAGCCGATCGCCTTGTTTGTCTTCAGAGTGAGGTGCTGCTGAAGCACAAATCATTCCTCTAGTTCGGCCAACTGGAACTGAGACTTTGGCAAATCTGTTTTTGAATTACAACTCGGCTAAGTAGTTGTTATTTTATCAGCGAGTCGCTTACCAATAGATGCAAAAAAGCTATTCATTGCTGAAGCAATAGATTTAGGTGTAGTGTGCTGAATTTCATCAGAAATAATGCACTGGACACTTTCTGAAGTAGAGTTACGATAACAAACTTCATTGACCTCATTCCAAACTTTCTTCTTCGCATTCCCTTTGGCATCCTGAAACAAGTCACAGTAATACTTCATCTTGGCAGATTTAACTAAGCAGTTGACCTTGTCTCTCAGTTTTCTATAGGTGTTCCAGTGTTGAGAGGAGTTTGATTTCAATGCCTTTCGATGAATCCAGTCTCGTTCTTTCATTCGTTCTCAGTGATGCGCCACGGAACATTCCTAAGTTCATTGTTAAATAAATTAGCATCAAAATTCTTGTAAGAGCGATACTCAAATGATCTCAGTTGGGCCTTAATAAAAACAGCAGCTTTCAAAATGCAAAACACCAAGTAGTGATCACTCAGCAGAACCGGAATAACACCAGATTTAACAACACGATGATCATTATTGACAAAAATTAAATCAATCAGTGCCCTAGAGGTGTCAGTTATTCGAGTGGGCTCTTTTATTAACTGAGTCAAGTCAAAAGTGCCCGAAAAATTGAGTAGTTCGTGTTTATCATTTTTTGGCAATTTCGAATTGGACATCATATTAGTGTTAAGGTTTCCTAAAATGATCACATCTGATTTTACCAGGTCAACATTAGGCATGCCAAAATAAAGGTTTGGAAGTCAGTATTTGGATCTCTATAAGCACAGCAAATTAATGTGGGTTTGCATTTGACCCGAATCAACTCAATCCATAAACATTCCTGGCTGCCAGTGTAAATGTCATTCCATAGACGAAATGCCAATCCTTGCCTGATATGAATCGTAACACCACCATATCCCTCTTTCTCTCCAATGCGGTCATGTCTAACACACACAAACCCAGGAAGTTTAATTTCCACATCGCTTGTAGAACTGTCCAACCAAGTTTCAGACAAAGTACGTTGATGGTCTTGTTGTCAATCCCCTCGAGATGCAAAGAGTCTGATTTTCAAGTGAGCAATCTTGAGACCTCGAGTGGTCTTAATACCATCGAATGTCAGGTAGCCAGGATTTGACTCAATATCTCCAGCCAAGGCAATAAGAGTCAGGGCAAAGCAGGTGTGCTGAAAAAGTTTACAGAGCATTACGCCCTTCTGAAGTCGATCAAACTCGTACCTATGGGTCGGTTGACTTTGGCGAAATGAAGCTCCTGCAATTTCAGCCCTGCAATTGATCTGTGAAATGAAAAATGTTTCTCTGTAGTCTGATAAGGTGTTCTCCCATGAGTATGAAATCCTATGACGTTCGAAAGCCATGTAAATAGAGAGAAAGACACATAAATTTGCTGAGAGCCTGAAACTGCGGCCAGCTGCCATCGTCAATCAATAGGGAGCATTGAATTCCTTTCAGTTTGTATTTGAGGAAACTTTCCGACTTGAAAACAGTAGGATGACTTATATTACTAGGATGACTGGGATAACTAGAATGACTAGGATTACTGGGATGACTGAGATGAATTGGATGAATAGGATGACTGGGACAACTGGGATGACTACTAAGGATGACTTAGATGACTAGGATGACTGGTATGAATAGACCCATTGGTAATATTATATTAAAATTCACACTTGGCTCCGAGGCTTTGGGAAATAAAACAAAAGAAATCATCTTGAGGCTCAGCAATGAATAATACATTTCTTTTGTTTTATACCCCCGAGGCTGGGGGCCAAGTATGACCGTGAGGAATGGGATTACTGGGATGACAAGAATGACTGGTATGAATTGGATGGCTAGGATTTCTGGGATGACTGTGATGAATGGGATTACTGTGGTGACAAGGATGACTGAGAGTTGAGCACAATTATGCAAATTTAGAGCGCTTTTGCTAGTTTAAAACAATTTGTTAAATAAGATAGTAGCTTCTTGGTGTAATAAATGACAACCAATTTATGGTTTTTACAACTTTCTGATTATGTCATTTCATATACAGTCTGAAAGTGCTTTGAAAACAATTTTTAGTGTCATGCAATACAATCCGTTCGTATAATTTTTCATCACAGTAGCTGCAGTCATGTGCTAGGCAACAAGTAGTTCATGCGTATCATGTTTGCGGAAAAATTAGCAGGCCAATTTTATGAGAGATTTCCTGAAACTTTAAAGAACACGGTAAATTTCCAAGTAGAATTAAAACCATTGTTTCTCAAAAGTTTCCCAGGATCATGAACACAATTTCAGAGCAAAATATTAGTCACGTTATAGACGGACGTGTATGTTACAGCTGATCTTTATCAATTTAAGCGGCCGGATAAGCCCAGAATTGTTTGACGTTACAAAATAAACATGCTCTTGCTTGTATGCGAGTATGCACTGTTTGTATGCATTAGGAGCAGGCATTTGAAACTTTATTTGAGGAAACAAAGGGTGATACAGCTGGCCTTAAAGAAACATTCGCTTTATAACTTGAATTGGTCTTGTTTAGAGTATACAGTCGCTTGCATGAATACAGTTGACTTCCGATAACTCAAACCTTCAAGGGAAATAGAAAAAAGTTCGAGTTATCTGGAGTTCAAGTTATCGGGAGCTCGAAGGAAATAGCCGAGAGTAAGGTAAAAAACACTTTTCACTGCACAGTAAACATTTTAATCACATTTAATTGTAGAAATGTCAAGTGAAAATTAAAAGATACTTCTAGATTGTAAATCAGAACGTAACATAACAAAAGGTAGCCTAAACAGAGCATGCCTTTTACTGTTTTGAGAAGTAAAGCTGCTTCATGTTAGCCCGTGACCATCAACATTAGCCTCCACTAGTGAACTATACTCCTACAACACATCAAAAGGAAATCCTAAATTCTACGTTTCGGACGCCAGTAGATGGCTTTTTTCCCGACTTTTTAAGGGCCCAAAACATGGTTCAAGATATCGAGGGTAAAATCATATAGAAAATGACCTGAGGGGAAACGAGAATTGGTTCCAGTTAGCGGGATTTGAGTTACCATGGGGTTCAAGTTACCGAGGGTAAAATTACAGTGAATGCATGATGGAAATCCAGGGGAAATCGATTTTGGTTCGAGTTAGTGAGGGTTTGAGTTATCGGGAGTCGACTGTATAACCATGCTGCGTTGTGTTACAGCCATACAAAATTATCGAGAAATCAGTCATGGGTGAATCTTTTGTTTTCCTTCTTGCAAGACTCAATCCCCGACTTGATTCTCGATAGTTTGTTCTCCATTCTCGATTCTCTATTTGCGCAGGAATCGAAAATCGTGAATCGAATTGAGACTCGCAATGGACTGTCAACTTACTTTTGAACGGTACTGTAATCATATGTGCTAAATTATTCCTACAATGGTTGCTCACTGGTATTCATGAAAATGTGATACAGTCAAAGCTTTTGTAATTTGGGCACTAAGGGGACAATAGAAGGTGTCCATATTAACAGCTTGACTGTATTGAGAAGGTGGAATTTAGAGAAAGTGTAATGGCTTTCTTTCCCCCAGGAACAAAGCAAACTCTCCATAATGATAAGCTTTCTAAGTGGGCATCTGTAAAGCAAGGTTTGAATGTCATGGGAAATTGGTCTTTTCTGAAAATAACTGATGAGCATTATTGAATATTTTAAACTTTTGTTTCCAGATCAGATGCTACAGGAACACTGGACAAGGATCTTCACAAGAGCCTCTGTTATCTTCAGTACTGTAAGTGCTGTATGTTTTGTGTTTTAATCCAGCTCTTAAGCGAACCAGATAAACAGAACTGTTTGGTTAAAAATTTTATTAAGCTATACCATGTACCTTAAATTCTTTCATTTGAAAATTATTTCACCATCTAGTGTACCACAGTTGGGAGTTAAGAATTTTATCAATCTTTAATGACTGTTTCCAATAAAACAGAAAAATTAAATAACGAATTGTTTTGTAAATATCATGCAAAATAAAAGAGAATAATTCCAAATTAAGTAAAACCCGCCTGTAATTCCCAGTAAACCCTGTAACCACTAGTAGTACAGTAGCCCCCCTTTAACCAGCTGTAACCTCTTGTATTCTCTTGTGACCCCCTGGGACCCCTCATAACCCCCTGTAATTCCTTGTTATCCCTTATAACCCTCCTTAATGAAAAAGAAGAGTCAGACTGGTTTAGAAATTGAAGAAACAAATTAAAAAAAGAAATTTGCCTTTAAGGGTAATTAATAATGATCTTGATGCTCAACTGAATAAATGACTGACTGACTAACTGAGCAACTGAATAACTGCCTGACTGACAGACAGAGCAACTGAGTAACTGACTGGGTGACTGGATAACTAAGCAATGTCAAGCAATGTACTAACTGACTGGCTATGTGACTGACAGACTGACAAATCAATTAAGTGACAAACTGACTTACTAACTGAGGAACTAGCTAAGTGACTGACTTACTTACTGACCAACTGACTGATTGACTGACTGATCAACTGATTAATTTGCTTTGCTACCCATTTTGACTGACTGACTGAGCAACTAAGTTACAGGCTGACGGTCTCCCTGAAAGGAGGATATTACCATCTTCCCAGCTTGCCTTGTGCCTTTTATGGGGTGATTTTTCACGGTCTGTGAGATGAAAACATGAATCTTACCTAAAGTTTTGGAGAAATTTCCGCTGCTTTATGGATAAGAAATGGAGGTGAAGTAGGTCTTAGCGTAATTTCTCATCTTTGATGTGGATGACAGAATGATTTTGTGATTAATTTATCCTGTTTTTTTTTGTAAGATTTGACTGTGTGACCTTTCTCTCGTCATGTGTAGCTGCTTATCTACTGTATACATAGTATTTTTGAATAAATATTCATTTCAGTGATGAAACAAGGAGGCGATTTAGAATTGAGACAGAAATCCACTCTATCATACTGAAAAACTTGGAATGAACCCAGTCAACTCCTTTTGACTCCACATTTTCCCAGACCAACCTGTAATTCGAAGCAATGTAACTAAATTTCTTGGGGTGTACCTAGACAAACATCTTACTTGGAAATATCACATTAACTTTGTCTGTAAACAAATCACTGAATCAATCAGTATTTTATCCAGGATGTGTTTCTACTTATCTTGTAAGACCAAACTCATGCTGCACTACACATTGCACTACACTCCATGTGGTGGTCTAATACATATCTAATTTAAACAGAATTTACTATTTACATAAGCGGGCTGTGCAAGCTATTACTGCTCCTCTATTCTCCAAGTTGGACTTTCCAGATATTTTCCAAGTCATTACGCTCGATACTGCAAAATTTATGTTTCGCGACCACAATAATCTGCTGCCTCCACTCTTCCACAATCTGTTTATGACAAACAGTCAAGTCGATAGATATGACACCAGAACAACCAGTAATCATTGAGTGCATTCCTGTTGTAAGAACACCAAGAAATTTACAATTCTTTGCAAAGGACCTAGAATCTGGAACTATCTTCCTGCATCTTTTACAAACTTGTCAAGCTTTTCTATATTTAAGAACAAAGTGCTAGAGTTTTTATTAAAATGGTTATTGATCAGAATTTGTTTAGCCCCACTTCTACGCAGCCCTTATTTCTTATAATATTGTGATGTCGAGGTGGCCTCTCCTATAAGCCTGGTGGTTTCTTGAAGTCTCCTCGCCTAACAACCTGCTGTATCCTGTAAAATTTTATCATCAATGTGGAGTATTTTTAGCGCTATCTGTTATGATGAGAGACAAGCTCCCATTGTGCACGGAGTGCATTTGGTAATATTGTCGACAAGTTTCCTTTTAAAAAGCATTATTTTTCTTTTTCGTGCATTCAGACAGGAGATTACTGTATCTGTAGTTACTGTTTTGTGGCAGTAGTGTTGAAAGTCAACAGTGTTTGAAGCTGCGAAAGGTGCATACGTGTCGGTTTATACACCAGCTCAGAAATAGATATCTACTAGTCATGTTAATTACAAATGTATTAAAAATCACGTATGGAGTTTCTCACAGTCAGGTTCTTTTATACCTTTGATATTCAATGCATAGTTTACTACAAATTGCGTAGCCAGCATTTGAGAAGTATAATTTAATTTTTATTTCATTGCGGACCCCTGTAACAAGGGTTTATCAGCTTTTATTTAAAAGCGGTCAAACAATCTCGATGGAGAATTTCAATGGTTAACAAAATCTTAGGCCTGAAAAGGGCATCTGTAACTATTTTGTGAAATTCTATAGTGTGATTGATACAGTTTATGCAGAGTATATACTGGATTATTTCGTGTATCTCTCTTGTGCCCTTGTGTTTTCCGTGTGGCAACACTTTCAAATGAGTCATACAGTGAGGTTTGGCCATTGATAATATAGTTTGAGCACAATACATGACAGGAAGATGGTAATATAATCCTCCTTTGTCTGCTTGTAACTGACTGACTGGCTGATTGAATGCCTGATTATATATTACTGACTGAGTGACTGATTGATTGAGCAACTTACAGTACCAAGATACTGACTAATCAAGCAACTGACTGACAGGCTGACTGTGCAACTGGGTACCTGACTGGCTGACAGAATGACTGATTGAGCAATTATCTGACTGACTGTGCAACTGGGTACCTGACCCACTGATAGAATGACTGATTGAGCAACTGACGGACTGTGCAATTGGGTAAAGGCTGGCTAACAGAATGACTGATTGATCAACTGACTAACTGACTGACTGTGCAACTGGGTACCTGACCTGCAAAAAGAATAACTGATTGAGCAACTGATTGACTGACTGACTGTGTAACTGGGTACCTGACTGGCTGACAGAATGACTGATTGAGCCATTGACTGAATGACTGGCTGACGGTAAGCAACTGACTGACTGGGACTGACTGGTGTCTGCAAAGCAGGGGTCAATTTAATAAAACCTTCACGAGTGTAATTTACAAGTGTATCCATTGTTTTAGAGTCTGGGCAAAATATGGACTTTACTCCATTCTAATGAGCTTTAATTTTCTGTTTTCTTGTACAGAGGTTTATGATAACAAGAATTGAACCAAAAGAAAGTTATACTAATACATATGAAACAAAGAAATGTACACAGGGAAAAACCTTAATAAATTAATTAAAGGAATTTAAAAAATTCACACATGACAGTAAAGATATATCCAAACTGTGAAGGACAAAACATAAAATACAGCAATCGTATACAAGTGATCCTCAAATAATGGTCACAAGTGTTACTCAAAAGGGTAGGATAAGTAAAAATTAAATTAAGCCCATGGAACTGCTGGTCCTAAATCATTGGAAACAGTCTGAAACAATAGCTACACTTGCAAAGTTATATTTGTAAAAGTTCTATAAAATTGATATCAGAAGTGTTATTTGCTACAACAGTCAAGGGGAGGATGTTTATAAATATTATAATCATATGTGGTAAATTATTCCAACATGGTTGCTCACTGGTATTCATGAAAATGTGATGCTGTCAAACTTTTTTAATATTGACACTAAGGGTGCCATAGAAAGTGTCCATATTCACAGTTTGTCTGTTGTCTGAGGAGGTTGAATTTAGAGAAAGTTTAAAGGCTTTCTTTTCCCAGGGACCAAGCATACTGTCTGTAATAATAAGCTTTCCAACAAAGTGGGTGCCTGTAAGCTAAGCAGGGTTTGAATGTAATGGGAAATAGGTCTGTTCTGATAATCACTGACGAACTTCATTGAGTATTTTAAACTTTTGTTTCCAGATCAGATGCCACAGAAAGACTGGAGAAGGACTTTCACGAGCAAAGAGCCTCTGTTATCTTCAGTACTGTATGTGCTTTATGTTTTGCTTTGTAATCCAGCTCTTGAGTGAACCAGATAAACAGGGTTGTTGGCCAGGTGATTTTAAAGTTTGATTTAGTTAATCCAGGGGAAAGCTGTTGTAACACAACTTATTGTACTTAATTCTTTCATTTCAGAGTTATTTCACCATCAAGTGTACCACTTTTGGGAGTAAAAGTTTATCAATCTTACTTTTTCCAATAATACAACAACAACAACAACAATAAAAACTAAAAAAACCGTGATAAATAAAATGCAAAATAAAAGAACAAAATTCCAAAATAAAATTAAATCAAGTACAGTTGTACAGCTTGGTGAACATTGTTTATATTATGGTGAAAATAAAAATTTAACCCAGGATCATTCAATTGAGTGTAGTTCTGAACAGCTACAGCTGTTGGTGATTCAGTAACTGGCATTTCAAAAGTGTATAAAAGAAATCAACAGGGTCGAACAAATATTTTATTATTGACTTCTGAATAAACGATCTTGGTACTTCAAGACCAAGCAAATAAAATCATTATATTTGAAGGGATGCATTTAGCATTTCTGTTGAACTTTGTATGAATTAGACATTTTGCATTAAATATTGCTTGCAAATACAAGTTTTGTCGGCAGGAAATCATAATACAAAGACAGCTCAAACTCGTTGAAATCTGTTTGGTTTCAAGAACAATGATAGTTTGATTGACTGCTAAAATTCCAAGAGACGTGCACTTGTTGGTGAAGTACTTATTATCAGAAAGCCAATGCAAAAACCGTGGACAATTTCAGTTTTCTCCTGGATTAGCATTTATCAACTTTGTTCAACTGTGTCACACATTTGAAACAATAGCCAAGTTCTGCTGTTATAATAATAATAATAATAATAATAACAATAATAATAATAATAATAATGATTATTTGAATTATTATTATAATTATTATCATGTTATTATAGTACCTGTTAGTGTAGATATGCAATCCACATTGTACCCTCAAATTTCTTGCCACATTGATCTATTCAACTGACTGTCTGACAGAATAACTGACTTTACTGGAGGCAATTATACAACTATTAAAATAATAAAATTAATGACTGTCTCAGCAATTTAATAACCAGGGGTGTGCTTAATTGGGACTTAATAACCCAGGGATGGTAACAATGACTGGGGCGACTAGGGGGACAAGGATGATTAGGATGACATGGATGAGTATAATGACTGGGATGACTGTGATTGCTAGGGTGACTAGGATGACTTAAATGACTTGGATGACTAGGGTAACTGGGATGTCTGGGATGACTAGGATCGCTGGAATGACAAGTTTGACTGGGATTACTAACACCGCAGTAAAACGCACTGCGCATGAGCACAAAATTTAACACCCGCTCAGATTTTTATTTCCAGTCTAGTAAATAAACCAGTTGTGTAAGCATAACATTGCTGTTGCGCCACATTTAAAAACAAAAAGGCAGAAAGAGACAAAAAAGGTGGCAAAAAACTCACTTCATTCAACAGCTGATATATTTTTCTAGTGTCAAACTTTTGCATCACATGATTATCTGGTTGCACCAACGATGAAAATTATGTTTGAAGTTTGTAGGTCGCGAGTGCTTGATAAGACGAATTTGTTTTTACTGGCTTTCTTGCATGCTACCAGTTTGGCATTAGTTAATTTGGGAGAAGGTGATAGCTAAGAAAAGAATAGCAATACTTTTTAAAGAAACCACGTCATTATTATCATTAACACTGGAAACAAATAAGTAAAGTTTAGACTGTTCAATAATTTTTCTATTATCAGAGAAAACAAAACCTCAAAACAAAAGATGGTTTGGATTTATATTAATAGCAACCTCAACTTTGATGACTGCAGTCACGAATACCTGGAGCTTTCAGTGTATTGAATGATCTTGGCAGGAAACTAAAGATCCCATAAACGTACTTTCGTTCAAAAAAAGCCTATTATTTAGCCTATTTTATTTCTTATTAATTCTTTTCCATGGTTGTTCTTTGGTTGGAGACTTCAATAATTTCAGACTATGTGGCTCTGCTGCATCTCATGCGAACACGAAACTTCCTGCTGTTAAATACGTGGTACGAAAATTTCGACTCCTAAAAGCCATCGAACCAGCTCTCGCTCTCTGATTCTGAGAATGAAAAAAATAATAATAATAAATAGAGTTGTCAACTTGCTGCCAACCTCAATAGTGTAATTAAGCTTATGTTTCATGGCAATGAACTCAGAAGAGTTTCATTTCAAAACAAGAACTCACTGGTAACCTTGAATAAAACTACAAAGCGATTTTGCATTGTCGTTTTCCAAATAAAGCTCAAAGCAGTTTTAAGACGTCAAGACTGAGAAATTAAAGAACCGAAAATTAGAACTACAATACGCAAGCTTGCAGTGATAACTTTTTATGTCTTACTTCAGCCAGGTTAAGTGAAAAATGGAAGTCAAAAACTTTGTTTTCGTGAAAGAAAATCAGTTTACCCGATGTTCAAATTAGCCAGAATTACACACGTTATTATCAACTTACCTTTTCTGAATCTAATCGACTGTTTCAGTGAACTGTGCCTGGTTATCCATAAAAGTAATTTCAGTAACTACAAAATAGTCAACAATACGAGCAGCATCGAAGTAGAACAACTGAACCACAAGCTTCACACAGAATGAGGTCGAATGCCCCCAGGAGACTTTGTTCTGACTGCAAAGTGTGACTGAAAAAGTGACCAGAAATTCTCAACCAGCCGTTTTGCCACAGTGTTGGGATTACCAGGATGACTGGGATGACTAGGGTGACTGGAATGACTAGGGTGACTGGGATGACAGGTATTACTAGGATAACTGGGATGACGAGGATGACTGGGATGACCACAGTGACTAGTATGACTGGTATAACTTAGGTGATTAGGATGATTAGGGTGACTAGGGTGACTGGGATGACTAGGGTGCCTGGGATGACTGGGATGACTAGAGTGATTAGCATAAACTGGGATAACCTAGATGATTACGATGACTAGGGTGACTGGGGTGACTAGGGCGACTGGGATGATTAGGGTGACTAGGGTGACTGGGATGACTAAGGTGACTGGGATAATTAGGATGACTGGGATGACTAGGGTGACTGGGGTGACTGAGATGATTTGGATGACTGGGATGACTAGTGTGACTGGGGTGACTGGGATGATTAGGGTGACTGGGTTGACTAGTGTGACTAGTTTGACTGGGATGATTAGGGTGACTTGGATGACTAGGAGGACTGGGATGTCCAGGGTGACTGGGATGACTAGGGTGACTGAGAGGACAAGGGTGACTGCAATGATTAGGATGACTGGGATGACTAGGGTGACTGGGATAATTAGGATGACTGGGATGACTAGGGTGACTAGGGTGACTGGGATAATTAGGATGACTGGGATGACTAGGGTGACTAGGGTGACTGGGATAATTAGGATGACTAGGGTGACTAGGGTGACTGGGATAATTAGGATGATGGGGATGACTAGGGTTACTTGGATGACTAGGATGACTGGGATGACAAGGGTGACTAGGGTGACTGGGATGATTAGGATGACAGGGATGACTAGGGTGACTGGGATGACTAGGATGACTGGAATGACTTGTTGGACTAGGGTGACTAAGATAATTTGGATGACTGGGATGACTAGGGTGACTTGGGTGACTGGGATAATTAGGATGACGGGGATGACTAGGGTGACTGGGATGACTAGGATGACTGGGATGACTAGGGTGACTAGAGTGTCTGGGATGATTAGGATGACGGGGATGACTAGGGTGACTGGGATGACTAGGATGACTGGAATGACTTGTGTGACTAGGGTGACTAAGATAATTTGGATGACTGGGATGACTAGGGTGACTTGGGTGACTGGGATAATTAGGATGACGGGGATGACTAGGGTGACTGGGATGACTAGGATGACTGGGATGACTAGGGTGACTAGAGTGTCTGGGATGATTAGGATGACGGGGATGACTAGGGTGACTGGGATGACTAGGATGACTGGGATGACTTGGGTGACTAGGGTGACTAAGATAATTTGGATGACTGGGATCACTAGGGTTACTGGGATGACTAGGGTGACTTGGGTGACTGGGATAATTAGTATTACTGGGATAACTGGGGTGACTGGGATAATTAAGATGATTGGGATGACTAGGGTGACTGGGTGCCTGGGATGATTAGGATGACGGGGATGACTAGGGTGACTGGGATGACTTGGGTGACTAGGGTGACTAAGATAATTAGGATCACTGGGATGACTATGGTTACTGAGATGACTAGGGTGACTGGGATAATTAGGATTACTGGGATAACTGGGGTGACTGGGATAATTAGGATGACTGGGATGACTAGGGTTACTGGGATGACTAGGGTGACTTGGGTGACTGGGATAATTAGTATTACTGGGATAACTGGGGTGACTGGGATAATTAAGATGATTGGGATGACTAGGGTGACTGGGATGACTTGGGTGACTAGGGTGACTAAGATAATTAGGATGACTGGGATGACTATGGTTACTGGGATGACTAGGGTGACTTGGGTGACTGGGATAATTAGGATTACTGGGATAATTAGGATGACTGGGATGACTAGGGTGACTGAGGTGACTGTGAGTTCTTAAAGTCATTTGCTTTGCTGATGGCGAAATTCCCAATGTTGTTACTGACTGACCTGGTTCAATACTGGCCGAACGAGGATTTGCTAAACTGAATAGCTGAACACCTATTGACATCTATTCTGACTGAATTAAATCAGCGAATAATGGCCTAACGTTTAACACAGCTGTTTCAAAAGACATACTTATGTTTGAATTGACTTGTATTACAGCTGGAGGGGCTGATCAGTGGCAGTATTTTGGATGTGTTTTTTAATGGTATAGTTGGTAGATTGCATATCTGTGCTGATTCGTATATTCTTTTTCTGTGAACTTGATGAGTGCATTTCAAATCTCTTCTTGTTTCAATCAGCAAATTCTCAGCCGACCTAAGACATCTTTTGATGAGGGGGAGGGGGTGTGAGGAGAGAAGCATTTGTTTTCAGGTAAAACTGCAGTCGTGGCAAATTAGCAAATTAATCTGTTGTTTTGTTTTAGAGCTTGAATATCTGACTGGTATTCATCACTGCAACAAATTACCTTCCTAGTCTTGAAGGTCATTTTTCAGTTAATGTTTAAATGCTTAAATTCAATTCCATTTTCATTTCCACGTTCAGGGAAAATTTAGGCTACACAGTTTTCATCACAAGAAAATACGATTTGGCATGGGTGAACTGGAATATTACTTTAATTTGTTTTAATTGATTGCGAATTTGGATTGCGTGCCTAGCCTTCAAACCTCTGTGGAAAACAACAGCAAGTGCTTTGAGTATGGATCTTGTGGCTCTCATTCTGACATTCGTTGAATTAATTTTGCCAAGATAATCAGTCTAATGCTTACAAAGCGGAATAAGAATTACACAAGAACAACAACAGCAACAATGAAATGATTAAAATATCGCCATCAAAATTTCTGCTGCAGTGTTTTAAAGTACGTTTGACAAGCTCTGAGTAAAACTGGGCGTAGAAAATTTAGTTTACTTCTAAGGAGGTAAAGTGGGGAGATTTTGAAAACTTGCACTCATCTTTTTCAATTCCAGAGTGATCAACATGTTATTCCTCTTTATTTCTTAAAGTACATTACCGAGCAGAAGGGTGTTGATAATAAACGTAATTATGGTGAGTGGGGAGGCTTTGTCTTGATCAACTGTCAAATTCTCAGAACTGATGGTCAAGAAAATCCGCCGCAGTTAGTAAAGAGAATAACATGTTAAAGCTTGGGACTGAAAGTTCACAGTAACCTAAAGGACTTCAGATAAGCAGTTTGTTTTGTAGTAACAGTGCAATCCTTAGATACATGTGCAAATTGAAATTCTTATTAACAGCAACTTGTATCAAACTTGGAGTCTTTTTTTTCGGCCGTTATTTAGGCTTGTCACGCAAAGTCGTGAAGCCAAAAAACGACCG